AGCGAGAAGCAGAAGCGGCATAAACGCCAAAGACGTCATCACGTGACGTCTCGACATCATAACAGCAGCTGATGTATAAATGTCGAACCAGTGACTAACGGAGCGTATAGGTCGTGGACTATGTTGAGTTAACCTCACCACAGCCCCAGGCAGTGCTTTGCTCCGACTCCTAAATTCTATCAGGCAAGGAGCTACTCTGACAAGGGTGTCCTGAAAGGGCTTGCCATGCAAAAGATTGTCGAGTATGGAAGCAGAACACAGAACAAGGAACAATCAGCAAGCAGGTTCTGTCCGAGTCCGAGTAAGCTAGCAAAATCCACCACCAGCAAGCAATTCTGGACCCAAATCCCGATGACGCCCAGTAGAGTGCCATGCCTGAGCAACGGTAACTAGAATGTGGTCTGGCTGGAACAGCCTGGTACGGGGAAGTCAGGCTCTCTGACAGACTGCGGGCGGTACGGGAATGAAAATCAGGTTCGGAGCTGGATCCGAACCTGAATTTCGTTGTCGGCTCGTATGAAATGAAGGTATGGCAAGTCAGGTCGTTTGATAAGGTGCTGTTTCCGAATACCCCAGTTATAAAAGGCTTTCTTTCATAGTACAGAACATCTGCACGTGACTAGATTTAGTTTGGCTTCATAAAAAAAACCTGGAAACAATACTGCACCATGCTTAGTGGCCGTTTTCTTCGACAGTATGTTCGTTGCTTTGCCAAGCTGACCCCGAACCAGATGGGATTCCTTGGCTTGTCAAAATAATGCGGTGCGACTGCAGGGGACAGGTTTCCCAAGCCTTGGCGAATTTTGTGAAGCGCTTCGCTTCTCAGGGAAAATCATTTCACGCTTCTCAGGGAAAATCTACCAAGCAAGCCACTGCCACGATGCGTCAAATGCAGCATCATTGTACGTACAAGCTCTCTAGCAACATGCATGCGACGAAGACGCAGATAATAATTCGTGCAAGGAAGAACGAAGAGGGAAAGCCTACATCTTTGGAAATTCATTATTTGTATGTCTATGAAATCTAATAAGCATTATCATCAGATATAGATTTAATATATCACTCATGGACGAAGTATAAACATGGGAAAACAAAGACCTCAGCAGTGAGAGGATCCAAAAAAAAACGTGATGGAGATAGAATCCGGTTGTAATAACACAGTAAATAATTACAAAACGAATCTCATTCATTTTAGTGCACTTGAGAGAAGTTGCCTGTCGGACATACCATATCAGCCAGACTGAACCGTGGTAAAACACGAAGTTTGTGGACGGTGGAAGAACTGCATTTCGTGCCGCGATCTGTTCGGAGGGCGCAGCTAGGGTGCTGCTGTTCGTGGTGTGCTGGAGCCGCTAAAAACCACGGCACACCCAACCCAACTGCTCTTACTTTGTCGTGTTCTTCCGTAATCACCGTGATCCCAATCCAGCGTTCAGACTGTCAAAAGTGCATTTGTCTTCAAACTCGAATCACAGAGCTTCGCGCATCCTTGTCACTCCCGTAATATACGGACTAACTGTGCCGCCAGTGTCGCTTTACCGTAGACAAGAATCTTGTGCTGAGAATGTGCTTGTGTGACAACGAGGCAAAAATGTTCCCGCGCGAAATTTCTTGCTCTTCCACATTGCGGTTCGGGCCCACATAGGTGACCAGACGACCACCAGACCCCACCACACCACACCCCTCCCAGATTCAATGTCTTTCAGCTGGTCCCTCATTCTGTTCCACATCAAACCTGCAGTTCACCTCGCCCATGAACTTCTGTGTACGTGTACTGTACACTTCAAATTCCTCCAACCATGGCTTGTTGACCTCGAAATGCGGTTCGAGACGGGAACACACAGTGGTCCATGAGTGGCAGCGATTGTCGCCGCCCGCTAAGCTGGCACCACTTCGAACGGTGGAGCGCTTCTCACGACGAGGACATAGTGTCGTGATCACGATGAAACAGTGGGTGTGATCGCGTCGCGCAGCAAAAAAGGTCAACTCGAGAGAGATGATTGTCCAATTTCCGCACCTCACCATGCGGCATTATAGGCGCTCTTTAGTTTGATGACCTGACCAGACCTAAAATCCGCAAAGTGCGCCTCCTGTCCAGCATTTGTTCAAATGAGAGCTAGCTCGTTGAATCACAACTCCTTTTCCACTCACAGGAGCAAGTTCTCTTGTTGATTTTTTGTACGCAGCCATAGCCTGTACGGCAACATCAACAAAAGGCTCTCCTCCAAGTCAGCTTGGCTAAGCAAGAGCCTCAACCACTCGTACCATTCTGTTTGACGCTTTCTTATTTTCGTTTAGATATCCAGCAACTTCGCGAAGCAGCTCATAATGGGCGTCAGCTGTTCGAAGGCGGCGCATCTTCCCAGCTTCAAGAGAGCTCGGAAGCTTCGCGAAAAAGTCTCACACGCCATCCGGCGATGCAAATCAGTGGACGGTCGCGTCGCGAACATCCCCGACTCGGGGCGCTTCTCCGTCGAATCGTACCCTCTATCATCCCGCGCGTTCCCTCGATCGGAATCGGACCAAATCGCACCGTATCCGCGATCGGATTCGGATAAAATCATGGAGGCTTATAGCAGCTCCGACGGCAGTTCCCCGTGCACGCCGCGGCTGCTGCTGGAATGGCAACACCGCATCGGTGACGACTTCTTCGACGAGGCGCTCGAATTGGAATTTTACGAGTGCGAGGGGGACGAGTGCAACGCGGGGAACGAGTGTGACCAGCTGAACACGCGCAACGATGCTGAACGGACAGGCTTGGAGAATGGAATTCCGAAAGATGGGAGTTCTGTTGGGCTGTCCTCCTCGGAGTTGCCGCTGAGTTCGGAAGCCGGCGCGGTGAATGACGCCGAGGATCGGCGGGTCATCGTGGATCGGATGCTTGGTTCGGTGCAGGCTCGGGAAGGCCTTGATGCAGGCCTGTACGCCGGTTTGGGGAGGAACTACCCCATAGTTATGCGACTATCCGACTCGTGTCCGCTGCCGTCGTACGTGGTCGCCCACTCGTAACCACTCGCAGGCGCGTGAAATCGCAGAGGCGTCGCAGCCGTCGCACGCAGGATCGCTGCATGTTCCAAACATCGACGCGGCGAGTATGTTCCAGAAGGGGCTGTCTTTTCCGCGACAAACAACGCTCCAGGACTTATGATGTTCCAGAAGGTCCCGGTGCTTCTGACTAACAGTGTGCTACTAACAGTGTGCCACTTACACCATTCATTTGCTACGCATGAGCAGGGCATGTGATACTGACACTTGGTATTTGTCCTTGCATGTGATAGTGCGCCCAAGTTCTGTCAGCCATGAGGTTTCGACATTTGCTCGAACGTAAAGCAAGCAATTCCGTTAGCTCCATGCCATGGCCCTGCGAAGCGAACAGAAAAAGTAGGGAGCATGGCAGGTTGTGACAGGTGAAGGTTTAGCGCGACAAATGTACCTCTGTCCCTCATTAGTGGATTAATGCAAGGCTGTGCTATGTGTATCACAGTAACTTCCCAACACTTCGATGCCTCATTCAACGTAACCAGGACAACACTCGTTGTTAGCTGTGATTGTTAAACAAGCCCTCTCCAATGAGAGCAGTGAGCGAAGGCTGTGTTAATACAGTGTTTCCTGAAATCATTTCTTGATGATGATGAACATGCTTGCTAAACACCCAATCAGACACTGCTTCTCCCCTACAAAATTCATTCCCTTCACCCACCCCCCCAGCCCCCTCCACTACACCTTCCCCTTCCCCTTCCCCTTCCACACCCCATCCAGATGAAGGAATACCGTATCACCCCGGATATAAGCGCAGGCCTATGTTAAGCGCATGCGCTTATATCTGGAGCAATGCGCTTATGGCTGATCCTCGATTATAAGCGCACCCCCTGTAAAACCTTGACTTATTATAAGCGCATCAATAATTCTACAGTTAAATCCTAATTAATACAGTAACGATTTCCCTTTTGCAGCGAGTCCAGATCCGTTCCTACTTTGTTTGACTCGCTCGAGGCGAGCGATTGCAGGAGAAGCGAAACGGCGTGAAGCTGACTGACTGACAGCACATCGTTGGGAGGGGGGGGGAGGGAAGATGGGCGCTGGAAACGACTGTCGTGTGCGTTGTGCGAGAGAAAAAGGGGCAGGCGGGGGGGCTCGGGAACGACTGTGCCTCTGCGCTGCGAGCAAGCGACTCCGTGCGACTGGCTCGTACATTCATTCGGGGCGAGCTTGACACATCCCTCTGCGCTGTGACGTGTCCTCGCCCCTGTGCGGCGGCAGAAATCGCCCTCGCGCGATTCTCTGATTTGGGACGCTGTAATGTTCTGATTCGATTGAAATTGCACGACTGAGATGTACAGTTTGGTGAATTTAAAACATATTTCTGTAATTGTCATATTATAAGCGCATGCACTTATAATTTTGACTCAATTAGAAGCGCACCCCCCCAAAAAACACTGTTTTATTATAAGCGCACCTGCGCTTTTATCCGGGGTAATACGGTAAGATGTTTTGGTACGAGTATCAACACCCTATCCCAACAGTCCTGGCCTATCAATCTCCTCCTGAACTACCTTTATCATAAATCAACTGTGCTTGTACACAATCCCTTCCCTCGACACCCACTCATCCTTGCACTCCGCGCTGCACGCACCCTAGTCCTCCACCTCTGCGATGATCTCCTTAATCAGCTGCTGCTTGACTCCTGAGAGGTCTCAAAAGCCACTTATGAGGCATTAATCCCCATGCTCCCCACCCCTCTCATCATTCCTAGTCCTCCACCTCCGCGATGATCTCCTTGATCAGCTGCTGCTTGACTGCTTCTGCAAGTCTCCCTACCCTCACTCGCTGAACTCCCCCCCCTTCCCCTCCCCCTTCCATTCTAGTCCTCCACCTCCGCAATGATCTCCTTACTCAGCTGCTGCTTGACTGCTGAGACGTCTCAACAGGCATTCCACTCCATCCCCTCCACCCCAACTTCCCCTACCCCCACCCGCTCACCCTCTCTAAACCCTCTCATTCTAGTCCTCCACCTCGGCAATAATCTCCTTGATCAGCTGCTGCTTGTAATCCTCGAAGCTTCCCGGAAACTTCTTGGTTGTGCCATCGTCCACGACCCAGATCTCGGCCCTCTCCTCGTCGTCACACACGCGCGAGATGAGGCGCGAATCGTGAGACACCAGCACCACACCTCCGGTGAATTCGTCTAATGCATCTGCCAGAGCATCGATACTCTGTCAAGGGAACGGGGAGACAAGGGGGAGGCAAGATTGAGGGGAACGAGCCACAAATCATGCGACACCGACACCAAGCCCACTGGCACTGTAAGCCCCGCTCGTTCGTGGTGTGGTGCACCAATGCATGGTTCATGTATAATGCATTTGTCAGCGAGTCGATACTCTGTGGCCGAGACATGCTAATAGGTAACTGACTCAACACATGCCCTAGATTCCCGCACCAATCACCAACACACACCTGCATGTCAAGATAATGGTTTGGTTGGTTCATCCAGCAGCAGAATGTGCGGCCGGGCCATGCTGATCGCAGTGAACACCACCCGGACAAGTACCAGTGTGTTTGCAGCAAGGTTCAGGCACGAAACATGAGTGAGTGGCATGTCACCATACCTGCATGCCTCCATACCAGCAGACACCATACCTGCATGCCTCCATACCAGCAGACACCATACCTGCATGCCTCCATACCAGCAGACACCATACCGAGACTTTTCACCAAGGTTCTGGCATGAAACATGAGAGTGAGTGGATTAACAATATACCTGCATAACACCATACCTGCATGTCAAGATGGTTGGTTGGTTCATCCAGCAGCAGAATGTGCGACCGGGCCATGCTGATCGCAGTGACACCCTACGTGCTGACTCAACACAATGACCTAACTACGTGCACCAATCACCAACACATACCTGCATATCCAGATGGTTTGTCGGTTCATCCAGCAGCAGAATGTGCGGCCGGGCCATGCTGATAGGTAATTGTCCAAACAAATGACCTAAATACCTGCACTAGTCACCAACACACACCTGCATGTCCAGATGGTTTGTCGGCTCATCCAGAAGCAGAATGTGCGGTCGGGCCATGCTGATCGCCGTAAACACCACCCGAGCCTTCTGCCCTCCGCTCAGCTTCACGATCGGCGTCAGATGATTGTGGCTCGGCAGCCCAAACTTCCCGAGCCTGCTCCGAACCGCCTCCTGCCGGCTCGGGCCCTCCTGGTTCGGGTACAACCGGAGCAAATACTCTACTGGAGTCTCGTCAAACGCCAGAAGGTCCACAAAATGCTGCGAATACCGCCCGATCCGAAGCTTCTGGCTCTGCCTAGACTCCCCCTGCGTCGGCTGCAAATCCCCCGCGAGCAAATTCAGCAGCGTCGACTTCCCCGCCCCGTTCGGCCCGACAATCGCAACCCTCGTCCCCATGTCTATTCCCACATCCACCTCCGAAAGCGCGAAATCCGGCCGGTTGGGATACGAGAAGGAGACTTCTTTGAGTTGGAGCAGAGGCGGAGTGAGTTCGGTGGGTTCGGGGAAATGGAATTCGACGGCGTAGTCCCGCCATCTCTTGGGGGCTTCGGCTGGCGTGTCGTCGTCCGCGTCGCCTGCTGAGCTGGCACTCTTCTTGCCGCCCTTCCGAGCCTCCTTCTGCGCATTGAACTTGGCCCGGTCCTTCACCTGTGAGCGTAGCGGGATTGGGGTGGGGTGATTGTAACAATGGTGTGGGGGTTGACTTTTAAGTTGACTCAACATCACTCTCAGGCCTCTTTCTGCACGTTGAACTTAGCTCGGTCCTTCACCTGTGGTTGTAACGAGGGGAGTGTGTGAGAGTCGAGTGGGTCTATAAGGAGTTAGGATCGCTGCTGAGCATGAAAATATAAGCAAAAAATCAAATAAGATTCCATAGGAGATGGGAATCGGGTGGGTGTGAGTTACAAAGGGGGTTTTGGTGGGGTGTGATCATAAAGAGGGCACGTGTTGCATAGTGTGATAGAATTCGGGTCTACATGCATGGATTGACTGGAAAAATGAAATGATGAAATTGCAGCAAGTCAGTGTGAGACTTTATCATAGCAAAGATGGTAATCTGTTCACCAGCAGTTGTGGTTACCTGGTTACCAGTGCTCACATTGTCCTGGTTCTGCCTGTTGCCGAACCGTTTCGCTGCCTTGAGCTGCTTCTCGTACACCTCAAACTTCTTGTTGTTCTTCAACACCAACTCTGATTGCCACAACCTGTGCATCATGCTACTTTGTAATTAGCTGGTTACCTGGTTACCAGCTCTTCTCACCTTGTCCTGGTTCTGCCTGTTCCCGGACCGCTTCACGGCCTTGAGCTGATTTTCGTACACCTCAAACTTCTTGTTGTTCTCTATGCCCTTGTGGTTACCTGGTTACCAACTCTCACCTTGTCCTGGTTCTGCCTGTTTCCGGACCGCTTCGCTGCCTTGAGCTGCTTCTCATACACCTCAAACTTCTTGTTGTTCTCCCGCCGCTTCTGCTCGTACATTTCTTCGAACCCCTCGAAGTTACCCTGCAAGGAAGAAAGAGAGAACAGAAGAACGCGGGAGGGCGAAACATGTGAGTACTGCAAAGTGCTCTCCTACATGCTCCAACACGATCGAGGGGGTTATGAGAGCGAGGGACAAGGAGAGGGCAGGACAGGCAGACTGAGGGAGCATGTAAGCCTCTCCTGACATGGTTAGGAGAGCGATAGGGCGAAACATGCCAGCAAGACAAGCAGTCTCTCTTGCTGACCTAATTCGTAACAACACAGAAACACCCGTACTCTTACCTTGTAGAAGAACAGCTTCTCGTCGTGCAGGTGAATGATATCCGTGCACACAGAGTTCAGATATCCGCGTTTTAAGCCCCTCGAAACCACGACACTCGAACTCTTACCTTGTACAAGAACAGCTTCTCGTCGTGCAGGTGAATGATATCCGTGCAGACAGAGTTAAGAAAGTCGCGATCGTGCGACACGACGATTAAAGTCTTCTTCCACCTCATCAAATACTCCTCCAGCCATAAGACCGCCCTAAGATCCAAGTGATTAGTAGGCTCGTCCAGCAGTAGCAGCGTCGGCTGCACGTAAAGCGCGCGCGCGAGCGAAATTCGCATGCGCCACCCCCCGGAGAAGGATTTCGTCGACCGTGCCTGCATGTCCTTCGTAAACCCTAACCCCGCGAGGATCTTCGACGCGCGCGCCTCCGCCGCTTCCGCGCCGATCTCCCGCATCTCGTCGTACACGTGCGCGAGCTTCTCGCTTGCGCTCGCCTCGTCTTCCTCCTCCTCCGCAGTCGCGGCTGCGGCGGCGGTGGCGGCGGCAGCAGCAGCTGCTGCTGCTGCTTGCGCGCCCTTCTTCCTCCCTTTCCCTTTCGCTTTCCCTGTCGTCCCACTCTCCCCCGTTTCTTCCGGCGTCTCGCTACTCTCTACCTGCTTTTCCTTTTCCTCCCCTTCCCCTTCCGCATGCGAATATTTATCCAAAATCGCTCGTAACCGCGCTTCTTCCTCGCGTAACTTCACCAGCTTCAGATCTGCAGTCACGACAGCTTCTAACGCGGATCTTTCGTCCCCAACCACCTCCTGCTCCACTAAGAGCACGTCAATGCCACGTGGCACCGGCAGCTGCCGCCGCGCAAGCAGCTTCATCACCGTCGATTTACCCTTGCCGTTAGGACCCACTAACCCGTACCGCCTTCCGTGGACGATAGTTAGCGACGCGTTCCTGAATAGTTCCTTCCCGCGCGCCGAGACCGAAAAGTTCTCCACTTTAATATCCCGCACGTTCGCGTCGGCCGCAGTTCCCGCCGCGCCGTCCGCGTCTTCCGAAGGGTCATCCGCGACTCGGGAACCGAGAGTGACGGAAAACGCGTTAGCGTCGTCCGCTTTAAGAGCCTCTTTACGCGCCTCTTCCTGGGCTTGCTCAATCATAAGCTCCTTCTCCTTCTTCTTCTTCGCTTGCTTATCCGACATCTGCAAGCTACCCATCCCCGTTACAAGCCCGCGACCCCTCCCCGCCTTGGATCCGCCAATATCGTCGTCTTCAACAAACTCCCCATCATCTGCGCCGTCCATTATTTCTTCCTCCTCGTCATCGGACGGCGGGAGATCGACGCCCGCGAGGTAATCGTCTTGCGGCTTTTTGCTCGGCGGAGCGCGCGATTTCTTCCCTCCGCCGCCGCCGCCGCCGCCGCCGCCGCCGCCGCCGGAAGAGGCGACGGACGGTTTCTTTTCGCCTTTACCTTTCTCCTCCACCACTATGCTGCTGACGGAAAACTTTTTCCGGTCCGCGGCGGCCGGCTTGCCTGACCCCGCTTTACCGCCTTTGCCGCTCGTTCCGCCGGCGGAATCGCCTTTCTTGGGAGCCATGGCCGGGGAATGTGCTGACACGAGCTATTTAGGTGACGCGTTGGTTACAGAATGCGTCGAAAGCGGAGAAAACCACAGAAGACGCAACTCGATTATAGTCTGGTATCAGCCGAGGTATCTTCGCACGTATTAAAACGCGCAAGTTTCAACTATGCTCATAAGGTTCTTGAATGAAAGATCCTAAGTTACCAAGTGCCGCAACTAAAGGTTTGTCTGTAGCAACTTCGCTTGCAACGTAAGGTTTTGAGAGGAGGGGTATGGCACGCATACCGTTCGAAACGAGTGTTTGAAGAGGTTCAGCACGCTACCACGGATTCCAGTGGGATAAAATAGGGAAAATAGTGGATGTGCAACAGGGAAAATAGAAAGCATGCGGCATCCTCAATGGGTGGGGCAAAATCCAAAAGTGCGATGGCAGCCGCAAATTGGTGGCCACGCGGCAAATCCGAGCTGAGCTGGCGCAGCGTTATGGGATGAGTAGTTCTAGGATACTCCAGCATCACGGCGGGGAGATGCGACACCTTACTAGTGTACACTGTAATCACGGTGCATATATATTTGGATCAGTCCACAACATATCATATATTGATGTTTGGGTTTGGTTCATGAGATCATGAAGGAGCTTTATGGTCTTGAAGTAGATCCTTGAAGGCGTGTGACATCCTGCATATATCAACAACACAGGGAGGAGGACCAATAATCAAACATTTGATAAATCCAAAAAAGGCGACTTACTTTCACGAAATGATAGCAGAAGAAGGGCGTACCTCCAAGGGAGGTGGTCGAGGAACATGGAGGGCGACACGAGAAGATCTCTCAGCGACTCCCGAGGAATGAAGCGAGCGCGGTGGCGTGAGGAGGCGAAGGGGTTGCCTGCCAGTGACCGAAACGACTCCAGCAACCCCGGCTTGGCTGCTGCTGCCTCCAACACCCTCTCCTCCTGTGACCCCCCTTGCACCCCGCCTTGCATCCCGCCTTGCATCTCGCCCATTCCTGAACCCCTGGCTTTGCCCCCCCCCTCAACCCCCTCATCCCCCTCACCCCCCTCACCCCTCTCTCCCCTCTCGCCCCCCCCACTCCTCTCACCCATCTCAACCCCTTCACGCCCCTCATCCTTGCTTCTCGCCCATTCGTTCCCGTTTTGTCGGGCTCCTCCGTTTCGATCACCTTCGTTAATATCACCTTGTATAACATCAATGCAGATCGCACCGTCATTCCCATTGCCCACATCGATCCTCACAGGCGCTGCGTCAGCCTCAGGCGGACCGGCTGCTGACGTGGCACCCTTATCCTCCCGCACTGTCTGCACTGCTGATGTGGCAGCTTTATCCTCCTTCACTGTCCGCACTGCTGACGTGGCAGGTCTAACCTCTTCCCTCACTATATGCACAACCTTGCCGAGCACATACACCTCCCCCGGAAACTCCTGTTCCTGCTCCACCAGCCAAGCCGGCCTGCTCCTGACATCTGTAACACCCCCACACATGCGGTTACCAGCACCGCCACTCGCACTCCTCCTCGCACCAGCACCACCAGCAGCACCGCTCCTTTGGTTCCCTCTTCCTCCTCCACTCCCACCCCAGTGAAGGCCACCACTCCAGCCACCACCACTGCTGCCGCCACTGCCACCACCGTCAGCATCGGCTGCAGCAAGTGCAACGTCGTTGGCGCTGCTGCTGCGGCGGGGGAGGTGGGAGAGGAGAGAGAGGGACCGTTTCATGCGCCCGTGATGCAACGGAGGGAGCTTGTAGGGTGATGGCGCTGCTGGGAGGTTCTCTGGTGCTGCCTTGTGATTCTGCTGCTGCTGCTGCTGCTGCTGGTGGTGATTCTGTTCCTGTGACTTTGTTGCACTGCTGTCTTCCCTGCAGCCGCCCTCCCCGGTGCATGCATCAACAGAGGCGGCATCAGCAGGAGAGGCGGTATCAGCTTTCTCGTTGCTTTCTGTCAATCCGCTCCCATCACTATCCGTCCTCCCAACAGCGTCGCTGCTGCTAGCGCGTGCTGCTGGAAGGGAGGGAGGGGCGGCAGTAGCAGGAGGGAGGGGAGGAAGAGCGCGTGAGTGAGTGGTGGTGGCAGGAGGAGCAGGAGGAGCAGGAGGAGAAGCAGGAGCAGCAGAAGGAGCAGCAGCAGCAGCGGCAGCGGCAGCAGCAGCAAAAGCACCACCACCACCACCACCACCACCACCACCACCACCACCACCACCACCACCACCACCACCACCACCACCACCACCACCACCACCACCACCACCACCACCACCACCACCACCACCACCACCACCACCACCACCACCACCACCACCACCACCACCACCACCACCACCACCACCACCACCACCACCCTCATCAACACCAGCACCTCCACCACTAGCACCAGCAGAATCGTTATCAGCACCAGCAGCAGCAGCTATATTAGCACCAACAGCAGCAAGACCATCAGCAACATCTGCTTCTTCAGGCGGCTCAGAACTTTCCTGCCCTGGGAATTCGATTTTGGTGCGGGAATGGACATGCTCGCTTGCACTATCACCAGAAGCAGAAGCAGAAGCAGAAGCAGAAGCAGCAGCAGCCGCAGCAGCATCTGCATGATGTTGCTGCTGTAGAAGCTCGATTTTGGTGCGGCAGTGGCCGTGCTTGCTGGCGGATACAATGAATCCAGCCACTCCTGACGCAAGCCACCACACCCCTTGTGCCTCATGAGCCGATTTCACCCACTGCCGCCTGCTGCTGTTGCTGCTGCCACTCCAGCTGCTACTCCTGCCACTGCTTCTGATGCTTCTGCTCATGCTGCTGCTGCTGCTGGTGGTGCTGCTGTTTGGCCCAGCCACTCTTTCTTGCCTGGCTTCGCCTATTCCCCCTCCTGCTCCTAGAGTCTTGCTGCTTGGTGCCTGTGCAGCAGGTGACTGTGATTCTGTGGCAGGTGGCACTGTAGCTGGTGGCACTGTAGCAGATGATGCTGTATGAGGTGGCATTGTAGCGAGTGACACTGTAGCAAGCGGCACTGTAGCCAGAGACGCCGCAGGTTCTGTCCCCACTGACCCTGCCAGTAAGTTATCTGGTGGTAATTTCTTACTCCCAGTTTCAACACCTGATTCACTTGACATCTCTCCCTTCTCCTCAACAATCTCTGCTCCTCCTCCCCTTCCTCTTGCTCCGGCTTCTGTTGCTGCGGCTGCTGCTGCTGCCGCAGTTGCTGCCACTGTTCCTACTGCCAAACCACCTGAACTCACCGAGCCTCTCATGTAGGAAAGGTCCGAGATGGACCTTCCGAGGCTAGGTTTTCCACTAGGTTTGGGGCCAGGCTTGGAACCCCCCATATTCAATCCCCCATTGATAGAGTCCCCCGTATAAGCACACTCGGTTTCCAGCTGAGGTTCGCTTTCCATCTCCTTCACTCCCTCTAACCGCCGTCCACCATTCTTCACACCTCTCTCCTCATCACCACTCCTCCCCACCCCTTCCCCGTCACCCCCAATCTTCCCCTCCTCATCCCTCCCCCTCCACCCTCTCCTCCCACCCCACCCACCCCAGAGATTTTTCTTCTTCCGATGACGTGGCATGACGTTTTCTCTCAGCCAATCCTGTGCGTCCTTATCCCCCTTAGCCTGGCAATACTCTAACAGGGAAGCATAATCCTCCCTGGCATATCCCGTCAGCCTAGACCAACCAGCAGCAGCAACAGCACCAACACTAGCAGGAACCACAGCCCTAGCAGACCCAGCAGCCCCAGCAGCAACAGCAGCACCACCAGCAAGTGCAGGAGCAGTAGGAGCAGCAGCGGCAGCAGCAGCACCAGCAGCAGCAGCACCACCACCAGTGGCACGAGTTTGTTTGGTAGTGGGAATAATACCCAGCCCCTTCCATTGCCTTGGGATATGCAACCCATGGTACAACACCTCATCTTCCTCCTCCTCCTCTCGATGCTTCCAGTGCCTGTGAAAGCCAAAGTGGTGGTGATGGTGGTGGTGGTGGTGGTGCGGGGCCGAGAGGTGTGCAGCGTGGTGCAGAGCGGTTTGCGCGGAATGAGCTGCAGCAGAAGCAGCAGACGCTGCAGATGCTGCAGCAGTCCTCGCAAAGCTAGCCATCCTTTGCAGTTTCGGCTTCCCGTGCTCTCTCTGCTGCTGCTCCCCTTCCTCCTCCCTTCCCTCCGCACCCCCACTCCGGTTACTAAGCCCCAACTCCTGCCCTACCGACCCTGCTCCCTCCACCCCATCCCCAACCGCCCCCACCCCACCCCTTTCTTTACCTTCATCCCCACGGCCTCTTCCAAACGGGAGGGTGAAGAGTTGCGAGAGCAACCGATCCACTGCCGCAGCCCTCATTCCGGCTGATCCTGCCTGCACGCCCGGCCCCACTGCCGCTACAGCCGTGCCCAGGAGACCCCCGGCGCGCGTGTCGGCTGCTACAGCCCGGAGCGCTGCTGCTCGCAGGCGCATGACTGACGCTACAGACGTGCGCGGGGAGAACTCGTCATTATATACGAAGCTGTAGGGGGTTGGGGGAAGGAGAGAGTGGGAGAAAGGGAAAATGCAGGGGAGAAGGGGAAAATGCAGTAAGCGGGGGAGTGGGATGCTGCAGCGAAGCCTCTGCGCGCCTGGTCCCACTGCCGCTACAGCCGTGCCCAGCAGCCCGCCTGCACGCTTGTCGGCTGCTACAGCCCGGAGCGCTGCTGCTCGCAGGCGCATGACTGATGCCACTGAAGTGCGCGGGGAGAACTCGTCGTTATATACGAAGCTGTAAGGGGATGAGGGGGGAAGGGAACGGGGGAAAGGCATCAGGTGAGGGTCTCTGAGCGCTGCGGCTCGCAGGCGCATGACTGATGCTACAGACGTGCACGGGGAGAACTCATCATTATATACGAAGCTGTAGCAGAGGGGGGTTGGTGGGTTGGGGGGGGAAGGGCACACGTGAGAGGGCCCGGAGCGCTGCTGCTCGCAGGCGCATGACTGAAGCCACTGATGTGCGCGGCGCGGGGAGAACTCGTCGTTATATACAAAGCTGTAGGGGGGGGGAAGGGGAGGGACGGGGGATAGGGCACACGTGAGAGGGTTCTGAGCGCTGCTGCTCGCAGGCGCATGACTGAAGCCACTGATGTGCGCGGGGAGAACTCGTCGTTATAGACAAAGCTGTAGCAAACATAAAACCCGTTGAGTCGATAGAAAACGCATAACAGAGAAACGAAGCATCGCGAAAAGGGGTTGTTCAGCGACCACAAGACGTTTTGCAAAGCTCTTCCTGGAATAATATGAAATAAATCTGCTACGCATTTACGTGGTGATGAAGTCGCACAACGGAGATTGAGCACAGCACTGCTCATGTAACCAACAGTTGGTTGCAAAGCAAGCACGCACATGATTATTAAGTCGCACTAAAGAAATGAGCAATGCGCTGCCTAATCAAAAGAGAATTGGTCGCGATGTGAAGCAAAGCACGCACGTGGTTATAAAGTTGGAGCAGGCAGATGCAGTGGCGAAGTCCACACAGGGAACACTAAACTGATTGAGAGACCAAGTACAGTCAGCGAAGATAAACAGGCATGCACGTGCGCAGCAAAGTGAAGCGAAGCCACGCACGTGGTGATGAAGTTGGAGCAGGCAGAGGCAGCGGCGGGCAAAGTCCAGTCAGCACAGAGAGAAACAAGCATTGGAATCAGCAAGTTACTGGTAACCGGAATTGGTCGCAAAGTGAAGCGAAGCCACGCACGTGGTGATGAAGTTGGAGCAGGCAGAAGCAGTGGCGAAGTCCACACAGGGCATGGAGCCATAGCCTATCGCGCGCAGCTCAGGAAACCGCTTTCTCAACTATGTGGGGAAGATGGGGTAGGAGGTGGAGAGAGGGGGGAAAGGCTGCTATAAGCGTGTTGCAGGAGTGTTGGTAGGCACCCAGGCAGGCAGGAGAAGGCAACTCAAGACAGGTGGCAGGCAGCAGCAGCCGCTGTTGGTGATGCGTGGCAGACAGGCTAATCAATACCGCCCTTTCTACAACGACTCAGGCATCTCCCAGCTGAGGTTGTCTCCTCCCAGCCCCTTCCCTACCGCACACCAGGACAAATGTCAAGCTCACCCGGATGGCAGTGAGGCTACGTGTAAAAAGTGAACTTTTTGAAACGTCTCAAAGTTCACTTCTCACCCGGATGGCAGTGAGGCTGCACACTGCCCCGCCCATGGAATGCCCCACGCTATGGGCACTCACCAGTTGACAGCCTATCTTTTTCCCTTCACAAGGACAGCAGTCACAGTTGCCCAAACAACACCCACTCACCCGGATGGCAGTGAGGCTGCACACTGTCCCGCCCATGGAATGCCCCACGCTATGGGCACTCACCAGTTGACAGCCTATCTTTTTCCCTTCACAAGGACAGCAGTCACAGTTGCCCAAACAACACCCACTCACCCAGATGGCAGTGAGGCTGCACACTGCCCCGCCCATGGAATGCCCCACGCTATGGGCACTCACCAGTTGACAGCCTATCTTTTTCCCTTCACAAGGACAGCAGTCACAGTTGCCCAAACAACACCCACTCACCCGGATGGCAGTGAGGCTGCACACTGCCCCGCCCATGGAGTGCCCCACGAGTCGCAGCCCATATCCCTCGCACTCGCCGCCCTCACCCAGTAGCTCCGACAGAATGCCTGCAGGGAAGAGAGTGAGAATGGGAAAAAGACAGGAACGGGAAAGCACCCTTGAATTGAGACAAGTGTGCCCATTCCCCTCTTGCATTCGTCCCCCTCCATCCTCCACCCCTCCCCCTCTCCCCTCGCTCTCCTCCTCTCCCCCATCCCCCATATTATCCAGCTGCTATAGAGCCACGTCCCGTCCCGTGCCACTGCCACCACCATATCAGTACCACCGACCAACATCAGCACCCCCCAATAGCAGCAACCACCGCCATAAGCACCGACTAATACCACCACTCACCTCTTCTCGGCCGCTTCCTTTCCTTCTGCCCCAGTAGCGACCCCTCCTCTTCATCCCTTCCCCCATCCTCAACACTCCCTCCCCTCCTCCTCGTCTCCCCCATCCCCCATATTATCCAGCTGCAGAGCCAAGTCGCGTGCTGCTGTCACCACCATATCAGCAATACACACCATCACCAGCACCCACTAATCTTACCACTCACCTCTTCTCGGTCGCTTCCTCTCCTTCTGCCCCAGCAGCGACCCCTCCTCTTCATCCCCTCCCCCATCCTCCACACTCCCTGCCTTTCCTAGAGTCCCCTCCCCCTCCTCGTCTTCACCATCCCCCATATTATCCAGCTGCAGAGCCAAGTCCCGTGCTGCTGTCACCACCCCCGCATGGCCAAAGTAAGGCACCAATCTGTCCGTCACCAGGGGAGGATGGAGCTCGGGCGAAGGGGGAAACTAGCCGCAGGCTGAATTCCCAGAATCTGAAAAGGGGCGTATCACCAGGCCCAATTCCACTCACTCACACTCTGTGGGTCTAAGGCAACTGTCAATGCCTCCCATATCCGCGTCACTGAGCGGGCATTCCCTCCCCAGCCCGTCAATGATCATATCCTCCAGGGACTCCGTGCCCCTCACTGCCACCACCACCAGTTTCTCTTGTGTCACTCGAGTACACACATAACTGAACCGAGTAAACACACCAGGCTCTAAGGCAGCTCACCACACCTCTCACTTACCTGTCGATCCCTCCCATATCCGCATCACTGAGTGGGCACTCCCTCCCCAGCCAGTCAATGATCATATCCTCCAGGGACTCCGTGCCCCTCACTGCCACCACCACCACCTTGCATTGCCTCACTCAAGCACACAAACCAGGAACCAGAACCTAAGACAGCTCAAGAGGCCTCTCACTCACCTGTCAATCCCTCCCATATCCGCGTCACTGAGTGGACATTCCCGCCCCAGCCCATCGATAATCATGTCTTCTAGGGACTCCGTGCCCCTCACTGCCACCACCACCAGGCGCAGCTGATGCAGCACCACCACGAAATACACTGCCTGCCCTGCTGCCTCCTGTGGGTGGGCATTAACGAGGGTACGGGTGGGAGAGAGGCTCTAGAGGAGCCATCACCAGCCGCAGCTGATGCAGCACCACCACAAACAAAGTACACTGCTTGCACTGCTACCTCCTGTTGATTTTGGAGAAACGCGGAGATGGGGGTGGGGAGGAGTGTTAGAATTAACAAATACACCAGAATATGCACCAGAATACACCGGTATCAAATATCACCTGAACCAGATCTCACCTGTCTGACGCGCGCCTTTCTGAGAGCAGAGGGCGGCAGATGGAGGTACTTGAGGAAGGACGAAGCATGACCCACCTTCACCATCACATCACCAGCTCACACCTGCTCCAGAAATCACCTGAACCAGATCGCACCTGTCTGACGCGCGCCTTTCTGAGAGCGGAGGGCGGCAGGTGGAGATACTTGAGGAAGGCTGATGCATGGCCCCTCTTCACCATCATCGGCTCACACCTGCTCCAGACCACCTGTGTCAACAGTAGAACCAGAATTCACCTGTACACATATGCACACGACTGTCCCAGAGGGCGGAGGGCCTCACCTGTCGGACCCGCGCCTTCCTGAGAGCGGAGGGCGGCAGGTGGAGGTACTTGAGGAATGCAGACGCATGCCCCCTCCACCAGTTGTCACCTTGCAGTGCGGGGTACCTGGGAGTGGGTACGGGGAGTGGGGCAAGGGGAGTGGGGCAAGGGGAGTGGGGCAAGGGGAGTGGGGCAAGGGGAGTGGGGCAAGGGGAGTGGGGCAAGGGGAGTGGGGCAAGGGGAGTGGGGCAAGGGGAGTGGGGCAAGGGGAGTGGGGCAGGGGGGTGGGGCAAGGGGAGTGGGGCAAGGGGAGTGGGCAAGGGGAGTGGGGCAGGGGGGTGGGGCAAGGGGAATGGGGCAAGGGGAGTGGGGCAGGGGAGGGAGTGGGGCAAGGGGAGTGGGGCAAGGGATGCAGGCATGCAATGCCCCTGTTATGCAGGCATGTGACCGCCCTTGTGCTGCTGACACAGGAAAATCCTCCCATTCCTTTCCTCCACATCCAATCCAAGAACATGCAAAGGTGCACAGAAAAAACTTTAGAGTTGACTCAAAAGTCAGCTCGGAAAATCCTCCCACTCCTTTCTTCCACATCCAAATCCAAGAACATGCAAAGGTGCACAGAAAAAGCATTTCAGAAAATACCATACCTGCAGTGCAGCCTGGACCGTACCTGTAGGTATGAAATTACCATACCTGGACTGCTGCCATGGAAAGAACATCCCTTGTCTCCACACCCACGCGCATGCAAAGGTGAAGGGATACCGCCCCAAATCCAGTAATGGACCCTGCGCAATGGTGGAGTGAGAGTGGATGGAAAGAGGGAGCGTTTTGGTCAGTTCAAATTCATGCAAAGGTGAAGAGATACCGGCCCATGTCCAATAGTGGGCCCTGTGCAACGGGGGTTGAGTGAGAGTGGAAGGATGGGGAGAGAGGGAGCGTTTTTAGTCGGTTCAGATTCATGCAAAGGTGAAGAGTTACCGGCCCATGTCCAATAGCGGGCCCTGTGCAACGGGGGAATAGGAGTTGAATGAGAATACGGAGCATTCCGGGTAAAACAAATATGATGCACAGATGAATGGGAAATAAGAGTGGATCGAGCGATCAAGGGATGGAATATGAAGGAAATGGAGGAGAGGGAGGTACACACAACGCAACATGGAACCTGTCATGTCAGTTGCTACTGTGCGATCAGGAACCTGACATGACAGGCTCCTGGTTGAAAAGTGACACACCTGTCTGATGTGAGGCGTGTTTTGAGTCGACTCAAAAGAGGTGACATTTGAGTCGACTCAAAAGAGGTGACATTTGAGTCGACTCAAAAAAGAGGTGACATGTGAGTCGACTCAAAAGTCACCTCGTTGCTTCTGTGCGATCAGGAACCTGACATGACAGGTTCCTGGTTCAAGTGACACACCTGTCTGATGTGAGGCGAGAGGTGTGAAGTGAAGTGACAACGCAATTTCTGAGGTGCCCCAAAAATAGATGAGAGGTGATATGAGGTGACAGCTTACAGTGTAGGCGGCAATGGCAAGCGGCAGCAGAGCCGCAGCTTCCTCAATGAGGGTTATCGGCACAGAGGCAGGGCGGCAGGGGAACGGGCCACCCTCCGCTAACCTGTCGCTGCTGCTGCTCCCCTCGCTTCCAACCCTGCTAACCCCATGCCCGCTGCCTGCATTGCTGCTGTCAACGCCCCTCACACTGCTGCTGCCTGCAGTGCTGCTGGTGCCAATGCTTCTGCTGTTGCTGGTGGTACCGGCGTTCAGGGAATCGAAGACAGAGGGTGCAGAGGTGGAGGAGAGAGGGGTAGCTGTGGTGGTGGATGGTAGTGCGTCGAGATGGGTGGGTTGGGAAGAGGAGGATGAGGAGGTGGGGGCATCGACAGCTGGCGGCGGGCGATTGGCTTGGAGAAGAGCGAGGCCTGCGTGCACAGAACAGAAGACAGAGCGGTTGGTATGGGTTTGACTGTTCACCCTGCAGGCAGGCTAGGTTTGAGGTGAGGAGGGCATAGGGGTTTCCTGTGAGAAGTGGCAGTAGTAGCAGATTGGCTTGGACAAGGCTGGTATGGCATTGTATGGCATGGCATGGCATGGCCGCACGGCTTGGTATGCCATGTATGGTATTGCATGGTATGGCATGGATGATGGAACGGCATGGCACAACATGGTAGGGCGCTGGGTACAGGGTAGCATGGGTCATCAATAATCGACCATCACCCCCAGGCATCCATTCACCACCAACCATCAACCATCAACCATCATATCACCTGCGAGCAGCTCTAGATGACTGGCCCCCACAGCCCTGTACGCCATCACACCTTCTCTCAGCGATGCCACTAATCCCAGCACCCGTCATTTGTTGCCTTTCACCCTCCCACCACCCTGCCACTGACCATGAAGTTCATGAACCAACAGCCCACCTGCGAGCAGCTCTAGATGACTGACCCCCAGAGCCCTGTACGCCATCACACCTTCTCTCAGCGATGCCACAACCTCTCTTTCACATGTTCACTATTAACTGCCATTCACCATCAGCTATCACCCCACCTGCGAGCAGCTCCAGGTGACTGGCGCCCACGGCTCTGTACGCCATCACATCCCCAACAGCAATGGCTCTCTGCCTCGCACCTCGTTACCATCCCACCACCCTGCCTTTAACCACCATCCCCATTACCTGCAAGCAGCTCCAGGTGACTGGCCCCCACGGCTCTGTACGCCATCACATCGCCCAGCAGCGATGCCACTATGTCCACCTCATCATCTACCTCGTCCCTGGGGCAAGAGGGATGGGGGTGAGAGAGAGGGAAGAGAGAGAAGAAGCGGGGAAACGGATTCTCATTCGCCATCACATCCCCCAGCAGCGACGCCACTATGTCCAACTCATCGTCCACCTCGTCCCTGGGGCAAGAGGAGGGCAGGGAGGAGGGAAATGCGAGGAGATGTCATAAAGTGTCCAATCACACTCTCTTCCAGCAGCGATGCCACTATGTCCACCTCGTCGTCTACCTCGTCCCTGGGGCAAGCGGGAGGGGGAAGTGGAGCAGGGCAGAGGTATTATGGGTCCAGCCAGTCACACCGTCCCCCAGCAATGATGCCACTCTGTATGCCCACCTCGTCGTCTACCTCGTCCCAGGGGGAAGTGGGAGGGATAAACGAAGAGCAGAGGAGTTATGGTTTCAGCATCCCTAAGGGGAGGAGGACTAAGGGTCCAGTCACACCATCCCCCAGCAGTGACGCCACTTTGTCCACCTCATGTCTACCTCGTCCCTGGGAGGGGATGGTGGCTGGGAGGGGATGGTGGCTGGGAGGAGAGCAGACAAGGGAGAGTGGAAGAGAGAGCAGTGGGGTGCGGAGACATGAGCAAGAGTCAGACGGACTCTCAATCGCCATCACAAACACTTGCCCATTGTGTGTGTATTAAGGTACCTACCAGGGTCTAGCCCGCCCCATGCAGCACAGAATCTCCCGGATGCTCCAGTTGAACATCTTTCGGTAGTGCGCCCACCACGCGCGGTCCCTGTGGTGTGCGCACTAATACCTCCCTACAGTGCATGACTCAGTGAACTGCGTACCACAGTCTAGCTCGTCCCATGCAGCACAGTATCTCCTGGATGCTCCAGTTGAACATATCCCTGTAGTGCGCCCGCCACGCGCCGTCCCTGTGGTGTGTACAATGATACTTCCCTACAACGCATGACTCAGTGAACTGCGTACCAGGGTCTAGCCCGTCCCATGCAACACAGAATCTCCCTGATGCTCCAGTTGAACATCTCCCGGTAGTGCGCCCGCCACGCACGGTCCCGCATGGCGTAGAAAGATCGCCACATCAGCACGTCACTGCCAGCTAAGCCCACCGACGGCAATCCAGCTGGCAGTGAGGACGAAGAGAGCGAGTGGGAGGAGATAGGTCCAGGGGCCTTGGTAACCCACTGGGGATGAGATGTGGAAAACAAGGGGGGTTCAAAAGGGGAGAGTGAGGAGGGGGAGAGTGGGAGAAGGAAAACGTGGTGAGGATGAGGAAAGCCAGTGGGATGGGAGGAGGTAGGCCCAGGGGCCTTGGTTGGTAACCAACTGGAAAAGGGGAAAACAAGGGTTTAGGGAGACAGCATGAGGGTAGTTCAGAGTCCAACATCTATTGGATGACTTTTGAGACGTCAAAAGATTCACATGAGTTGGTAGGTACGTACATACAGGAGACAGGAGACGTACGCTTCAAGGGGCATGAGGGTAGTTCAGAGTCCAGCATTGATTGGACGATGGCGACAGTGAGGAAGAGAGCTGCGCCCGTTTGTAACAGGGTTACCACATGGCCCACCCTGCTCCACCGCACCCATGCACGGTAACGACGCTGATGACAGACAAGAAGGGGGAATGGAATTAGACAGACCAGGGGAAGACATACGTTTGTAACAAGGTTACCATATGGGCCATCTTGCTCCTCCTCACCCACGCACAGTAGCGACCCTGAACGCACGAGCATGGTAGTGGCACAGGTTGGGTGGGTGGGTGGGGGAGTAAACGATAGAGGGGTAGGGGGAGGGCGGAGGACCCATAAGCACCTGTCGCTCGGACTTGTTTGCGCAGCCAGACAGTGAGGTGGAGAGCCTGATCGCTTGCAGCTCGTCGCCATCCGTGTCCGCGTCACTCCCCCAGCCATTGATCCCCCAGGCCAACCCCACTTCCCCGCACACATTTCATGTTTGAGACGTCTCAAAACCACACACATCCCATACTCACTGGTCGCTCGGACTTGTTTGCGCTCCCGACAACGAGGTGGACAGCCTGATCGCTTGCAGCTCGTCGCCATCCGAGTCCGCGTCACTCCCCCAGCCTTTGATACCCGGGTCTTCTACACTCCCCCCTGCTTGATTACTTCCTCTTCCTGCTCCTCCTCCTCCTTCTCTTCCCCCTCCTTCTCCTCCTTCTCTTCCTCCTCCTTCTCTTCCTGCTCTCCCTGAAACTCCTCGTCGCCTGCTTTTTTCTCGTGCAGCAGAGACTCGGCTGCTCCCCCCTCTGCCAGGAGCTTCATCCTCCTTATAAGATGATCTCTCGCTTTCGTTAAGAGATGCCAAGTCCTGCGCTGAACCGGCTACGGTTATTGCGTCAGCTGCTGCAGCTTGAGCTGCTGCTGCGCCTACGGCCCAAAACACGCGCAGGAGACAGGTGAATGCGACTGTAATGAAGGAGATTGTAACGGTGCTGGAACATTCATTCTTCTTGCACTCTACACCTGTGGCGAAAGAAGTTCCAGCAACGAGCAGAATGAATGGCAGAAGGATCAGCGAAATCGTGCGAAACCGGCGAAGTCCACTACAGCAACCGAAGCCTCTTCGCCAAGTCCCCATTTCGTCCGCATGAGAAGAAGCCGAGCCGCGACTTGATTTAGCCCACAAGGATCACACAATTAGGAGAAATTGGAAGTCATTGACGGTCTTAAATACCGATTGGTGTACTTTGAAGGCGAGCATGTACAGTATCTTCGGACCCTTCTTGGATTCTTTAACACTGCTTTACTACGGTCTCGTCAACCTTCTTAGGTTCTGACATAATCTCAAAGAACGGTACCGTCAACCTAGTGGGAGCCGCTTTGGAAACTGGGCCTCAAAGCAAGCAATGCGAACGAATGAAGTAATGCTGCTTGTCAAATTGCCACCTCGAAACTGATCACTTCTGCTTGGACGACCTGGTGAACCGTGTTTGTGAAGCCTGAAGTGGGCCAGAGTAGAAACGGTTTCTTTGCGCAAATACTGGGACCTGTTGTGAAAGGTTCATTCGTATCGTATGTCTGATACAGAGCCGAGCTGAGCTACTCTCGAGGTTGCACTCTCAGAGGGGTTGGATGTGGCTTGGTGCAATACAGATGCTTACAGAGCGGTTGAAAGTCAAGCCTTCTTGGTCCTCCTCGAAATTGTCCTCGCTCGCAACCCCAAACATGCATTTGTTCACATTCGGTCTTGTCTTGGTGCGTGTAGGTCCGGAGTTGCAGCTGCTGCGCTTGGTTGGAGCAACGCGTCCTAACCAACCCCCATGGGCATCACATGCTCGAGGGCGGGAGATGCTGACATCGACGGCCTCTCCCACGAATCGACGGTTCAGATGACGTTTACAAAAGTCTGTGTTCTGACCCTCAACGATTGGCTGTCATCTCGTGTCGTGTGCCCCTTTGTTTCAACTTACAAGCCCCGTGAGGTCAGGGGCGGCGTATGAGCGAAGAGTTATACGAACAGGAGTCTGGGTCACATTTGCCATGCGGTAACCAGACGGATCAGGTGAACCGAAGTGATGGAGAATTTGAAGCTCCAGGTGGATTTCTTGACAAGCTGAGCGGAAGGCGAAGCTCATGGAAAGCTAGGAAAGCGGTCATTCCTTGATTCCTTGTATTCAGGGAATCCAGTGATCGGTCACGTCGCGACTCGCGACTTCGTATGTCGACTGTAGATGCTGCAGCCATGTCAGGCTAGGTGTTATGATGACAAACCCTGATATCTGTAGCAAAAGCACATCACGCCATACTATAGCTTAAAATCCTCCCTCTTTTAGGTTACAAGCAGCGCTAATTTCCGCGCTTCCTTCTTCTCTCCCGCCTCGTACCTCACCATGCCGTACGTTCCTCCTCATAGGCGAGCCGGCGCAGCAGCAAGTTCCACTACCGAGTCTGCTTCTACCGAATTTGCTTCTATGCAGCCATCTGTGCTAGGTCCAGGACCTGTAGGCTCGGCATTCGCCTCGAGAAACAGGTTCGGAGGACGAGGTCGAGGCAGAGGCCGCGATGAGCCTAGTGGGGGACGAGGCAAAAGTTTTTTGTTCAAAACGAAACCGTCGGATTCTCCCAATGCCGTTTTCTACACCCTGGTCGACGATTTTGAGCAGCGGAAGTCCTCTGTAACGGTACTTGCCTGTATTCGGAATTGTGCTTGTAACGGGGGAAGAGCTCGTTGTAACCGAGCAGTGTACAGGTTTCAGCAGGGGGAACGAAATCTTGCCACACTAAGAACAGTCTCGGAAATAGGAGGAGGAGACAACATCGGAGCATGTGCAGATTCGTCACCTTCTGGTGTCGCGTTCTCCTCATCACGCTCTCTCTCGCACTCGCCGTCTCCTTCTCCCTCTCCCTCTCCTTTTCCCGCTCCGTCTCCCACTCTCTCTCCCCCTCGCCCTCCCTCTCCCCCTCTCTTGCCCTCTCCCTCCTTCTCTCCCTCCTTATCCCATTCCATAATGGGTCTTCTCCGCGGGGCTTTAGAAGCTGCTCATAGAGACATCCACGTTACAGGAGAGCCTCTGATTGGTCAACCCCGGGTTGTGGATCGGTGCAAGCTGACGGTAAAACTGGGGAAGATTCGGATCAAACCACCTCGGGGATCTCAAGGGTAAGTGGGAAAGGCATTGCTTGTAAGAACCGGGGGGATCTCAAGAGTAAGATAAGCCTGTTGGGTGTGTGCCGCCGCAACCCGAATCCAGTTTCTCTGTTTGTATTGGCAAAGAGACCATTGAGAATCCTCAAAAGCCAATCCACGAGAGCTAGAGACAGGCACACCTGTGGCTTGGAGTGTGACACGCTTCTTTCCAATTCCTCTGTTTGCAACTGATACACTTTCAGAAACGTAGTCCTCATAAAAAAAAACAAACAAACAAACAAACAAAAAACAAAGCAAAACAAAAAATGCTACGTCTGCTGCTCTTTCACCATTTCGCTCCTCATGCGAATTCGTTGAGCAGGCGTGCGGCGTGCCTAAGCCTCTCCTCCATACGTCCCCTCTCTGCGCCTTTCCCCACCACTCTGCACCTCGCTGCACGGCTCTGCACTTTGTCTCTCCTCCCCAGCGTGCCGGCCTTCACAGCGGAAGCATTGGAATCGCATCTGAACCAGCAGGGTAAACAGTTACCTTTGAGGGTCAAGCGCCCGTACGAGAAAGGATTGTCAAAGGCGGTGTTCGATGCGGTGGAGAGCGGTGCGCTGGAGGAGGGGACCAGGGGCCCACACACCAAGACATTCTACCACCTGCGGGTATTGACCTGGTATTGGATCGGGTGGTACTTTGAATCGAATAGAACTGGGAGGAAAAGGATAGTCAGCGGTGGTGTTTCATGTGGTGGATTGAGACCTCAAAACACTTCTTCAAACAGATAGTCAGAGGTGGTGTTTCATGTGGTGGAGAGTTTGGTATGGAGGGAGTCGACTTGCTTTAGTGAACGACGAACAGGAAAAAAATCAAAGAAGGGTGAGAGGGGGGTGGGGGGGTGGGATGGTGGGGGGGGGAGGGGAGGGAGGGATCGGGGGGGGGTTAGCTGTGTTGATTGTCGTTCAGATCTCTGACCTTCGGAATGCATGGAGGTGGTATGGTTTACATCTTATGGTTTGGCATGTGTTTTGGTGAAAAAAGCAAGGACTGTGATATTTTTTTCTTGTTCTTGGGCAATTTTCGTCAGTGTTGCCATCCCGTACCCTCAACATTGTTTTCTTCTTGCGTATGCCACAACATGTCACAGGTTAAAGACAACGAGGCGGATATGACATACAAGCTGATTTGCGCTCCTCACCCTGATGGTACAAGGCTTATCCTCACTAAGGTGTGCTTCAACAATACAGGAGTTATAGATGTTAACATATCAGGCATTCAGCTCGCTCCTCCAAGTCCTCTGTTTTTTCCAAATCCTCTGATATGCGACCGCCTCTAATCTCTCCGTTCTCGTTTGCATTTTGCCTGCCTTTTTGGTTTCACCCCCTTTTTCCAAACCCTTCAGGTCAAGTGCCATTCAACGCGCTATGCACCCATCGACCTGGCTCGTCCTGCCAGCAGTGTCGCTTCGTTCCCTTCCTCCATTTCACCCCCTTCTTCTCTTTCATCCCTTTCAGGTCAAGTGCCACTCAACGCGCTATGCACTCATCGACGTGGCTCGTCCTGTCAACGCTGTTGACTTTCGCTTCTTTCTCAGAAAGGAATCCCGGTTCTGCTCCCTTGATGTGCGTAGTAGGGGTGAGGGGTGATGGGGGTGAGGGATAAGGTTAAGGCAGGTTCATTTGAACGTGCTATGCACTCATGGATGCCGCTCGCTCTGTCAACGCTGTTGACTTTCGCTTCTTTCTCAGAAAGGAATGCCGGGTCTGCTCCCTTGATGTGCGTGGGAGGGATGAGGGGTGATGGGGGTGAGGGAGGGGTAAGGTTAAGGCAGGTTCATTTGAACGTGCTATGCACTCATGGATGCCGCTCGCTCTGTCAACGCTGTTGACTTTCGCTTCTTTCTCAGAAAGGAATGCCGGGTCTGCTCCCTTGATGTGCGTAGTAGGGGTGAGGGGTGATGGGGGTGAGGGAGGGGTAAGGTGAAGGCAAGTTCATTTGGACGTGCTATGCACTCAGTGATGCTGCTCACCCTGCCCACGCTGTTGACTTTCGCTTCTTTCTCAGAAATGAATCCCGGGTCTGCTCCCTTGATGTGTGTAGGACGGGTGAGGGGTGAGGGTTGAGGGTGAAGTGGGATCTGCTCTCTTGATATTTTACGAATGTTTAAGGGGTGAAGAGAGATGGGTTAAGGTGTAGAGCGAGGTGGGAAAGGTGAGGGATGTGGAGAATCCAGGCTCTGCTTTCTTGACGTGTGAGGGCTGAGGGGTGAGGGAGTGAGGGATGAGGGGAATGAGGGGATGAGGGGATGAATGGGAAGGGGTGAGATAGAGAGAACCCAAGCTCTGCTGTTTTGATATGCGTGTGAAAGGATGAATGGCTGGAAGGTTGAAGGGTGAAGGATGCAGGGGGTAAGGGTGAAGGATGCAGGGGGTAAGGGTGAAGGATGCAGGGGGTAAGGGTGAAGGATGCAGGGGGTAAGGTTGAAGAGTGAAGGGGGTGTACGGATGAAGGGGTGAAAGGTGAAGGGCGAGGCTGAGTATTTCCTAACTGGTCTGTACGAGAGGAGGCTCAGCCTCGCACTTCACCTTTCACCATTCAGGTTCCTCTCGTTCACCATTGGTGCATTGGCACGTGTATGAAGATTTGTTTTGAGACGTCTATGAAGATGTGTTTTGAAGATTAGAAACGATGATTAGTTTTGATGATTTGTTTTGAAGATTTGTTTTGAAGATTTGTTTTGAAGATTTGTTTTGATGATTTGTTTTGATGATTTGTTTTGAGGTTCCTCGCCAAATCTTCACCATTCAGGTTCCTCTCGTTCACCATTGGTGCATTGGCACTCTCTTTACCCCTCGCTCCACTCCACTCCACACATCCCTCTCTTCAGAACACATTTATTCTTCCTGGTCTGCATTTGGGGACCTACAGCTCACATCACATCCCCAATTTGTTTTCTCGCCTCAAAAACAATTGAGGCGGTTTTTTAGGCGCTTCAAAGAACAACACCTCACATCCCCAACGCCTCTTCCACTCACTGCCCCCTCCAGGATGCCATCCGGTCTGACTTGGAGCGTATAGCATCGACTGCAATCATAGACACCTCCTCAAAGAACCTGCTGCGCTGGCCGACTGCTCTCCCACACCTTGACTTTGATGCCACGGCCATGCATCCACCACACCCCTCATCATCATCATCATCCGCCTCTTCTTCGTCATCATTGGAAAGGTCTGAGTCGCCTTCTTCTGCCGTTGAGATCTCCCAAAACACGCCCACAACGCGTCGGAAAAAAACAGCCGTAGCACCACCCAAAAAATCACCACCGGCTGCTCGTTTTGTGCTCGCGGGTGTGTGGCGCCTCAAGAAACGGGTGATTTCAAGTGAGCGCCTGGTGTGGAAGCTGAATGAGATTCACGAGGCGGTGTGGTATCAGCCTGAAAGCTCCCTCAAGAGCAACATCGATGTCTACCCGCGCAGTTGGGGGGAGGCCATGAAGGTGCGATACAATGCTCTATCCATCCCAAGTTAGTGAATGCAGACAGGTGAGCGCTTGGTGTGGAAGCTGAATGAGATTCACGAGGCGGTGTGGTAACATCCTGAAAGCTCCCTCAAAAACAGCATCGATGTCTACCCCCGCAGTTGGGGAGAGACAATGAAGGTACAATACGATGCTCTGTCCATCGCAAGTGAATACAAGTGCAGGAACAGTTACAAGTGCAGGAACAGTTGCAGGTGCAGGAGCAGCTTCAGTTACATGAGCAGTTACAACTTGGGTTACAGGAGCAGTTGCAACTGCATATGGGGACGGAGTTACAGCAGGAGCAGCAGGAGCAGTTACAGGATGCAGGGTCGTTACAGGGTGGTTATGCAGAGGAAGTGGAGCAAGGATTGCTATGTGACGAGGAGTTACAACTTTCAGACGAGTTCCAGTTACAACTGCAGGGCGAGTTACATCTACAACAGCAGCTGGAGCAAAGGGAGATGGAGGCGTTACATGTGCAGTTTGAAGATGGGATGCAGCAAGAGGTACGGTTTCATGAGCAGTTACAACTTGAGGAGGAGTTACAGTTACAGCAGCAGCTTCAGGAGGAACAGATGTTGCAGCAGCAGTTGCAGGAGGGGCAGCAGTTACTGTTACTGCAGCAGCAGCATGAGCAGCAGCAGCAGGAGGCGGAGGATGCACAGCAGCACTTGCAAGCGGGGCAGCACTTGTTGCTGCACCTGCAGCAGCAGCAGGAAGAGGAGGATGATGCAGAGGAGCGATTGCAGGAAGAACTAGAGCAGCAGATCCAGCTGCTGCAGCAGCATCAGCTACAGCAGGAGCAAGAGCAGCAGGAGGAGGAGCAGGAGCAGCAAGCGCGACACTCAGGAGAGGCACAGAGGCAAGCACAAGTGAGTGCAGAAGAGGCAGAGGCACATGGACTTCATGACCCGTATGCATACAACGGTATTGGCAACAGCAACAGCAGCAGCAGCAACAGCTTCAACAGAGAGAGACTGGGTTTGGGGAGAGAAGCAGCAGCAGAAGCAGTAGCAGCAGCAGCAGCAGCAGAGGTACTGGGTCAAACGGCACAGGGAGAGGCATCGAGACCAGAAGGGAGCCTAGGGTTACAGGGTTCTGTGGGTAGAAGGCAGTTGAGGGACCCGAGGGAGCAGAGGGAGCAGAGGGGCGTAGATAGGCTCGGCAACAGGAGAGGCTCGGCGCCGAGGCTGCTAGGCGTGTACAGGAGGCACGGGAGGGAGGACCGGCACCGGCTGGAGGAGCTGACAGAGAATCTGGAGGATGGGGAAAGCACACTTTCTGGTATCACTATTGATGTTCCCCCCGGCGGAGATGACTATAACGAAGGGGACTACAGTGCTGAGAATGCTGGTGGTAGCAACAGCGGCAGTATGGGGTATACCGGTGTGTGGTTACCTGGTCAGATTGTCTCGAATCAAATCCGCGGGGAGCAGAGATCGTTTGATTCACCTCATGGTGTGCAAATGAGAAGGGCCGGCAGTATTGGCAGCCACAGCAGCACTCACAGCATCGGCCACAGCATCAGTCACAGCAGTCACAGCAGCGGCAACAGGAGCAGCAGAAGCAGCAGCAGGCGAGCCGGGCCCAGTAGAACCTCCCCTCGAATCATACCTGCTTCAGAAGGGCCCAGATACAACCTTCACCAGGCGAACCTCCCCCAGTTCAACCTCCCCCTCTCCCACAGCGAGGGCTCAGGCCCCTCGTTGACTCTCAGGGGTACCGAGGGGTACGCAGGGGTACCGGCCTATGTGGATGGTCTGGGTATGGTGGGGCTGAATAGTGGGCTGGTGGGTGGTATGGATGATGCTATGGGTGGTAGAATGGATGGGGACATGGATGGGGATGGGGTGGCGGGACTAGGGGCAGGGACGGTGAGCTACGGAGCAGGTTTGAGGCGTTTTCCATCGGGATTGGAAGGAATGGAAGGGGTTGGATCAGGGGGGGTTGGGTTTGAAGGGGTGGTGAGCGGTGGAGCGGGGCGGGTGGAGGAGGAGGAGGTGGAGGCGGAGTTGCTAGCGATGGAGGCAGCGGTTGAGTATAATGTGAGGGTGGTGACGTGTCAGGGGTCCCCTGTGCGCTGGCACAACTGCCACGTGTGCGTGCGGCCCAATGCGGTGCTGCTGGATGCAGCTGGGTGCATAGTGGTGGATGGGAGGGAGCTGCGGGCACGAGATGGCAGTCCGGTGAGCCTTGGTGTTGGTTGTGTCAGTGCCTTGTGTCAGCTCCTTGTGTCAACATTGTGTCAGCGCCACATCTGCGCCTTGCTCACCCTTGCATCCCTGTCCTCCTCCATTTTCTCAATGCACTCATCGACTTCTCTCCCCATTGCTACACCTCTCCTTCAACCCTAGACCTCATGCCAGTTCTCATCCCTTTCCCACTTCCCCTTGTCCACGCACAGGTGGTGTTGGAGGAGCAAGGAGAGAGCCTCATTCACGCCCTCATCGACTTTTCCCCTCCTCTGGTCCACCTCTCCTTCATCCACGCATTTCTTGACCTTGACCCGCGGGCTGTGGTGCTGCAAGAAACGGCAGTGAGGGTGAACCGATGGTTGAGTGACCGCCAGAACCAGCACGAGGTCGTTGCGCAGTTCCTCACATGTGATCGCCGGCTGTAATATCGGTAGTAAAAAAGGCTTTGAACGGTTAGGGATACTCATCACTGAAACTGCACCGCAGGCCGTGGTGCTGCAAGAAGAAACGGGTGTCTGTGAGGGTGAACCGATGGCTGGGTGACCGGCAGAACCAGCACGAGGTCATTGCACGCTTCCTCACATGCGATAGACGGCTATGATGATGAGTTGCTGTCGATCCGTGATGTGCGGCTTGGCTCTAACCTTGACCCACTGGCCGTGGTGCTGCAAGGAGCTGCAAGAAGCTGCAAAAAAACTGCAAGAAACGGTAGCGAGGGTGAATTGATGGCTGGGTGACCTGCAGAACCAGCATGAGGTCATTGCACGCTTCCTCACATGCGATCGCCGATTGTGACTCTGACATGGGCTTTGAATTGTCAACGGCACTGGTCACTGCATTAGCATCACAATCCGTGGCTGAACGACGGCCAGCCGCGAGAACCAGCATGATGTCACTGCGCGATTCCTCACTTGCAAATTGCAATCATAGATCATGATGTTATCCTAAATTGTGCTGTGAGTTGTTGTCGATCCTAGTCACTGCGTCAGCACGTGCTGTGGTGCTGCAAGAAACAGCTTTGAGGGTCATTACCGTGTTGTGTTGTGTGTGATTAGCACCAGTACCTAACTGTCAGAACACGCTCTTAACTCTTGACTTAGTAACTTAGGGTTTACCTAGGAAGCGTGAGTGTCGAGAGTGAGCATGGCAAGAGAATCGGGCAAAGAGGGGATTCACTAAGGAATGTTTACAAGATATAGGATAGGGGAGAGGATAGGGTACACCACCAGCAGTTGAACCTGATAACTAACTAATACACTAGCAAGCTGTAGGCAGTTAGGATATGCAATATAATTCAACACACCCCCGTAACTGCCTACGGCTATAGCTAGTGGTGTCTGGCACCAGGTCGCCTGGAGAGCGGTTGCTGTAGCTGGGATAGGCACAGAAACAGCGGTGGCTGAGCGGCAGCACCTGTGAACGCCAGAACGGAGGAGGGCGCGGAGAGCGCGGAGGAGGGCTGGGATAGCCGGAGGGCGAAGGATGCTGGTCGCTCGCCATCTACGAGCAAACACAACTGTTGGTGAGGAGGAGGAAGCTGGTGGTGGTGCACAGGAGGAGAGCAGAGGAGATGCGGCTGGAGAGGAGAGAGGAGGAGGAGATGCGGCTATAGGAGAGGAGACTGGAGGAGGAGATGCGGCAGAAGGAGAGGAGAGGAGAGAGGAGGAGATGCGGCTGGAGGAGAAGAGGAGAGGAGAGGAGAGGAGAGGAGAAGAGGAGGAGGAGAGGAGAGGAGAGGAGAGGAGAGGAGGTGGCTGGCGCGGCAGAAGCTTTCCCGCCACCCCCTCATCCCCCTCCCCCCCATGCGCTGGCGCTGGCGGAAGTGCTGGCGCTGGGCGCTGGCGTCGCGCTGGCGCTGGCGCCCGCCGTTGGCGCTTGCGCTAGCGCCCGCCGTCGGCGCTGGCGTCCGCGCTGGCGCTTGCGACCGCCGTTGGCGCTGGCGGTGGCGCCCGCCGTTGGCGCTGGCGCTGGCGCCCGCCGTTGGCGCTTGCGCTGGCGCCCGCCGTCGCCTCGCTGGCACGCTCGCCACTGGCAGAGCGCGACGGGGCAGGCGAAAGGGGGCAGCGCGACGGGTGCTGCAAAAGCAGCGGAGTTCGAGCCAGCAGCGGATTTCGCGCTACTAGCAGTAGCAGCCATGCCAGCAGCACAATAAGTCGCCATGGCAGATCGCGGGTTTGGTGGGCCCATGAAAACGAGGTCCTAGGAGGGACCACTCTCTGATATCATGTCAGAACACGCTCTTAACTCTTGACTTAGTAACTTAGGGTTTACCTAGGAAGCGTGAGTGTCGAGAGTGAGCATGGCAAGAGAATTGGGCAAAGAGGGGATTCACCAAGGAATGTTTACAAGATATAGGATAGGGTAGAGGATAGGGTACACCACCAGCAGTTGAACCTAATAACTAACTAATACACTAGCAAGTTGTAGGCAGTTAGGATATGCAATATAATTCAACAGGTCCAATCGGTCCATTGGACCAACAAGCCAGTTGGTCCAACCGGCCCATAGGACCAACAGACCTGTTGGTCCAACCGGTCCATTGGACCAACAAGCCAATTGGTCCGAACAGTCCATAGGACCAACACGCCAGTTTGTCCAACCGGTCCCTTGGACCAAAAGGCCAGTTGGTCCAACCGGTTCATAGGACCAAAAGGCCAGTTGGTCCAATTGGTCCATAGGACCAACAGGCCAGTTTGTCCAACCGGTCCATTCAGCCAACATGCCAATTGGTCCAACCGGTCCATTTGGCCAACAGGCCAGTTGGTCCAACCGGTCCATAGGGTTAACAGGCCAGTTGGTCCAACCAGTCCATAGGACCAACCGGCTAGTTGGTCCAACCGGTCCATGGGACCAAAAAACCAATTGGTCCAACCGGTCCATTGGACCAACAAGCCAGTTGGTCCAACCGGTTCATAGGACCAACAGACCAGTTGGTCCAACCGGCCCATTGGACCAACAAGCTAATTGGTCCAACCGGTCCATAGGACCAACACGCCAGTTACGCACATTATTTGACGTAAGGAACACATTGTCCTGGGGTACTAGAAAGGTACATCCTGGGTTGGCTTAGTAAGGAGGAGCATGTGGATTACGTTGATTACAAATTTATGCTATCCTTAGTTGTTCAAGATGATGATCAAGGTGATACTGTTAATGCAAGGCGTAGATTCTATCGAGGATGTCGCACACTCCAAAAGGGGAGTGGTAGACAAAGCCCAACGAATTCGTAACCAGCGTGAAAATAGGCTTGTTCGTTCTCGCACTGACATCGAAGGTCTATCTTCTCGTGACCAATCGGGATGTGACATGTCCGTGAGGATGGCTACCTCACGATCTTGGCTTGTTGGATGTGCCTGACTGATGACTGGCCCGTCACCAGACCCTTGGTATTGCCGACCTTTTCACAGGAAGCTAAAAAAATGTTTGTCGGTGGAGGCAAGCATAGGCGGGTACTGAACGGGACTGTATTTGTCGATAATATTCGCCTGTATTGGAAAGTTCCTAGCATTAATAATTTGGATTGACTCTGCGGACAAATCCCGAGAGTTTTAGGGGAAACCATGGCCAAGATTCCCCCCAGTGTGATTGGTAATGCGGCTTATGGCTCGTCGTCCTGCGCGAACACCGTCATGTGTCCTTCTGTCAGCAAAATCAGTGATATCAAACAAGCAACTGATCGTGTATGCTCCATAGACTCGGAATACCAGTTCCACCTCAACTCTGGTTCCCCTTCCTTATCACCGACCGAGCTTTTTCCACTCCAAACCGAAAGTCAGTCGCAATGGCTGTTTCTGATATTAGTCCCGTGATGCCTCTTCCCGAGCCTGAGATCTTCGTCGACGTCGCTATAGCGGGGGCTGGTCTTGGCGGTCTCGCGGTGGCAGTCGGTCTGCAGGAGCGAGGCTTTGAATCAGTCATGCTCTTCGAGGCCGTGCCGTACTCCCGCTCCCAAACCGGCACGGTTTTCGGCATCTCTCCCAATGGCGTCACGGCGCTCGAAGGGTTAAAGCCCGGGCTCGGCGACGCTGTGATTGGCTGCGGATCAACGATCACGCAAACGAGGTTCGTTTCTCGAGAAAATCCGGAGCGTACTGAATCTGCATCGGCCACTGCTTCAAGCGGCGGTAATAGCAGCGGCGGCGGTTTCACCAGTATCGACGCTGCTACTATTGGAGCTGGTGAAATTAGTGATGGCTGGGTTGTGAAAAAAATGCCTAGAAACTTGACAATCGTAGGGTGGGCGCGAGCCCAAGAGGAGCTTGCCTCGTCTTTAGTAACGCGACCCGAGATTATTATGCACGGACACCGCGTCGTGGCGTATTACCCTGTCGTCGCAGGAGTGCCCATTGCGAACAGGGGTGCTAGATCGGGTAGCACGAATGGCGGTGCTGGCGAGGGAGAGGTGGAAGCGGTTGACGTGGTGCTTGAGGTCGTGGGTTCGAATCTCGAAACCACAGGAGCAGTGCAGATGCAGCGTCAGCTGGTGATTCGTGCGAAGATTCTGGTCGCAGCAGATGGCCTGCGATCAGCTGTGCGAAATCAAATGATCGGCGACTCGCCACGGTATTTGGAACAAATTGGTTGGAATGCGCTTGTTCCAAATCCGCCGAGTGCGAGAGTGTACCCACAAGAAGATCAGGAGTTATTATATTATACGGATGAGGTTATGGGTTACCAGCTGTATCTGATTGATATCGGCCACGGGAAGACCTTTTGGCAGGTATGCTCTTATTTTGCATGCGGTGGTGTAATTAATTTGCACATCTTTCCTGTGAACCTGTTATTTTCTTTTCTACACTGTTTCAACCTAACCCAGCAGAAGATCCTGCCATGGCGTTTTTAGCCTATGCATCGCTTTTCACCACTTCTGAAATTTGCTCTACCCAAACCATCTTCCCGATCGCAGGTACGCGTTATTGACCCTGATAGCAAGCTGAAGTCCGAGCTGAAACTTACACCCTTTGGGGGATTCGGGAAACCAGGTGTCAAGGACCGGTTGATGTGCCACGTCAGCAAGCACATTGCAGACCCCTCAGCCCATGACACCTGGCATACCGTGCTCCAGGCGGTTACCACAACGGACCCCGGTAACATCTACGAGCGGTGGATGATGGACCGGCCTCCTCCGAAGGATTCTTGGAGCGACCCCAAGTGTGGTAACAGGGTTGTTCTTATGGGGGATGCTGCACATGCCATGCACACTGGCCCAGGGCAAGGAGCTCAGATGGCATTTGAAGATGCACACCAGCTGTCCATGTGCCTTGCTGATATCAAGGACGTACTCGCCGAACCTGCTGCCGTGGCTGCTGCGGTTCGGGAGTACGAGGCTCGGCGGATCGACAGGTGTGTGAGAGTACATGCATACGCCACTGCAACACATGGGTTTGGAGAGGAAGGGAAACTTGCGAAGGCTCTTTCTCCGTCTGAGAAAATGAAGAGGTTCATGGAGTTCAGGAGTTGGGTCCACGCGTATCCTGACAAGATCAAAGGTGACCCTGAATCTACCTACTTTAAATGATCCTTCAACTGTTGCTCAACCCCGGTTCTCAAGACACAAGATAACTGCGATTTTGATCCCACTTGATTTAGTTAGGCTCTGGATTAATGCCCTTGAAGGAAATATAATAAGTTTTTTCCAGGAAATGGTTTTTTTAGGTACTAGTACTAGCTGGTTTACCATCTCTGGACCTGGTTGAATGGCTACTGAAGTACACGTATTTGGGTCAGTGTCTAGTTCCATCAGTGTTTGCTATTCATGTGCGGCTCACCCTTCATTCCCCATTGAACACGGGTAATGACAAACGGCGGTGCAGTTGTCTGAATGCGATAGGTGTGGCGAGCGAAAACTGGCTGAGTGATGATGGCGGGCGAGTTCACGAAATGGCAATGCGAACTGGATCCCGTGTTCTGCGCTCTAACGAACATGTCAACTGGTAATCGCACTGGACAGGCCGTAACCAGAATCGTTCAGGCCATTCGCAGGGAAGGAATTTGAGGCTGTAGGCAACCCCCCGTACAAGCTCAGCCAGCGGAGCTCCTAGAAGGGGGATTCTTCCATGTCAGGGGTATGCAAGATGTCATCCTCCCAGACTAACGATGCCTCTCAATTAGTGGCAGACCTGAGAGATAGGGAAAATCATGGTTCGCTGTGTGATGGGTCAATTATGCCTTCTTTTCCTACGCGAACGGCATCATGTACAGTACACTTCTGTCGGCTAAGTCAGTGATATCATCAATCACGCGACTGATATACACAATGCTCCAGTTTCAGTGACTCCAGTTACCAGTTCGACTTCGGCTCTGGTTCCCCTCCCTCATTACTGACGGAGCTCCTTCCGCGCCTCCATACCGCAATTCGGTCGCAATGGCTCCTTCCGATCATATCAGCAGTCCGATGCCTCTTCCCGAGCCTGAAATATTCGTCGACGTTGCTATAGCCGGGGCTGGTCTTGCCGGTCTCGCGCTGGCAGTAGGTCTGCAAGAGCGAGGCTTTAACTCAGTCATGCTATTCGAGGCCGTGCCTTACTCCCGCTCCCAAACCGGCACGACTTTCGCCATGCGTCCCAACGGCATCAAAGCGCTCGAAGGGTTAAAGCCCGGGCTCGGCGACGCTGTAATCGGCTGCGGATCAACGATCACAAAAACTAGGTTCATCAATCGAGAATATCCGGAACTCGAAAATAGCGATGGCTGGGTTGTGAAGGAAATGGCGAACAACGTGCCAATGGTAGGGTGGGCGCGAGGCCAAGAGGTTATTGCCTCGTCTTTAACGCGACCCGAGATTATTAAGCACGGACATCGCGTCGTGGCGTATTATCCTGTCGTCGGGGGAATGCCAGTTGCGAACAGGAGTGGCGAATCGCAAAGAAGCAATGATGGCGCTGGTGAGGGAGACGTGGAAGCGGTTGACGTGGTGCTTGAGGTCGTGAGTTCGAATCCCGAAATTGACAGCAAGGATTCCACCTTCACTGTTTCAGAAGGAGCTGGAACCGCGGAGGAGGCAGGAGCGGTGCAGCAGCAGCGTCGGCTGGTGGTCGTTCGTGCGAAGGTTCTGGTCGCAGCAGATGGCGTACGATCAGCTGTGCGAAATCAGATGATCGGTGACTCGCCACGGTACCTGGAGCAGTTTGGTTGGAACGCGCTTGTGCCAAATCCGCCAAGTGCGAGAGTGTACCCTCAAGAAGATCAGGAGTTGCTTGTATTGACGGATAAGGTTACTGGTTACCAGATATTTCTGTTTGACGCTGGCCATGGGAAGACCTTCTGGCAGGTACTATGCTCTCAGGTAGCATGCTAATGCATGCTACCATGCATTTACTTTGCACTTTCTTTTCTTTCAGCCTTTTTTCTTCCTCTTCTTTTGTTCTGATCCAGTTCAAGACAGCCCGAAATCACATCCCATCCCACAGCATCCTGCTGAAATGTTTATCCAGTCTACCCAATACACTTTCCCAATTTCAGGTTCGCTCTGCTGATCCTGATGGCAAGCTCAAAGCAGAGCTCACGCAAACACCGTTTGGTGGCTTTGGCAAACCAGGTGTCAAGGATCGTGTGATGTGCCACGTCAGCAAAAATGTCGCAGACCCCTCAGCGCATGCCACCTGGCATACTGTGCTCCAGGCGGTTACCACCACCGACCCCGGTAACATCTACGAGCGGTGGATGATGGACCGGCCTCCTCCAAAGGATTCTTGGAGCGACCCCAAGTGTGGTAACAGGGTTGTTCTTATGGGGGATGCTGCACATGCCATGCACACTGGCCCAGGGCAAGGGGCTCAGACTGCCTTTGAAGATGCTCACCAGTTGTCTCTCTGCCTTGCTGACATCAAGGATATGCTTGCCGAACCTGTTGCCGTGGCTGCTGCGGTCCGGGAATACGAGGCTCGGCGGATCGATCGGTGTGTGAAAATCCATGCATACGCCACTGGAATGCTCGGGTTTGGAGAGGAGGGGAAAATTGTGAAGGCGCTTTCTCCGCCCGAGAGAATTCAGAGGCTTCGGGAATTTCAGAATTGGGTCCATGTGTACCCAGACAAGATTAAGGGTGACCCTGAATCCACCTACTTCAAATGATCCTTCAAATGCTGTACACGCAGTCGACGAAATTACGCGCAATGCAACCTTGAGCCCACTGAAATCAAGTTGGCTCTGGAAGGTGAATTAGGTGTTGAAAAGTCTCTGGGTGGATGTTTTTATTATCTGGCTGAGTGCCTGTCTCTGGGTCTGGGGCGGTTTGGCTGCTAGTAATGGTTTTACCACACCGGTATGTGTATCCAAGAACGTCAACGGTTCAATCCGGTGACTTGTAACAGGTACGGTAAATATGTGCCGCTTAACAGTTCAGCTTCCATGTTGCAGTCATGTGCACAATGGCAGAATTTAGTGCTAGAGTTGGAATGGCCACTAATGTACCTTGTCACTTGTCCTAACAGCTTCAGCACCAACTGAAGCATTATCACCCTTCCAGGGCCCAACTGAATCACGTCACATGCATCAGGGTGAAAAATATCTTGTGTCACTAGGATCACTTGAAGTAGGTGGATTCAGGATCACCTTTGATCTTGTCTGGATATGCAAGGATCCACTTCTGAAACTCCATGAACAACTTGCTCTTCTCAGGAGGAGAAAGTTCCCTCACAAGTCTCGCCTCCTCTCCAAACCCATGAGCTGCAGTGGCGTACGCATGGATTCTCACGCACCTATCAATCCTCCAATCCTCGTACTCCCGAACCGCAGCAGCCACGGCAGCAGGCTCGGCAAGCACATCCTTGATTTCAGCAAGGCATAGGGACAGCTGGTGAGCATCCTCAAAGGCAGTTTGAGCACCTTGCCCTAGTTCGGGATGCATGGCATGTGCGGCATCCCCCATAAGAACAACCCTGTTACCACACTTGGAGTCGCTCCAAGAATCCTTCGGAGGAGGCCGGTCCATCATCCACCGCTCGTAGATGTTACCGGGGTCCGTTGTGGTAACCGCCTGGAGCACGGTATGCCAGGTGTCATGCGCTGAGGGGTCTGCAATGTGCTTGCTGACGTGGCACATCAACCGGTCCTTGACGCCTGGCTTGCCAAAGCCACCAAAAGGTGTTTGTTCGAGCTCGGCCTTCAGCTGGCCATCAGGGTCAGCAGCGCTTACCTGAGATTGGGGGGACGGTTAGGGTAGCACAAATTTTCGAAAGTGGTGTATCAACTGTCACTGACATCAGGCAAGCATGTGTGGTTGCAAAAACAATGTGACTGTTTCGCTATGGAAGCCAGCAGTGTGGAAGAGCTGGTAACCCGTAACCGCATCCTTAAACGAAAGCACCGTTCGATTCTGCTGTTGGCTCACGTCCCCGCTTGGCTGGCTAGGCACACGCGCGTTCCATCCAAACTGCTCCAAATACCGAGGCGAGTCGCCGATCATCTGATTTCGCACGGCTGATCGCACGCCGTCCGCTGCGACCAGAATCTTTGCACGAACCACCACCAGCTCGCGCTGCTGCTGCACCGCACCCCCCTCCTCCGCAATATCAGCTCCTTCCGGAGCAGCAACGCTGGAAATATTTGCGCCAGTTCTGAGATTCGAACCCACAACCTCGAGCACCACGTCAACCGCTTCCACCTCTCACTCGCCAGCGCCATCCTTGGTGGTATCCGATACGCTGCTGCTGGCAACAGGCTTTCCCGCGACGACGGGGTGATAAGCCACGACACGATGTCCGTGCATGATAATTTCGGGTCGCGTTAGAGACGAGGCGAGTACCTCTTGGGCTCGGGCCCACCCCACGATTCTCGTAATTTGCGAGGGCACTTCGCGCACAACCCAGCCGTCGCGATGTTCGCTAGTTCCTACAGTAGCAGCATCGTTAGTGGCGGATCCGCTACTATTACCGCCGCTGGTAGAAGCGCTGGCTGATTCAAAATCTGATGCCGGAATCTGTCGGGTAACAAACGTAAGTTTCGCGACCGTTGAACCGCTCGCAATCACGGCGTCGCCGAGCCCGAATCGTGCCGGTACTGTTGTTCGATCGTCGCGCGGCGGGCGCTGCCTCGAAAACGGCCGCCTCGATGCCGCGCGCCTGCAGGCCGGCGGCGAGCGCGAGCCCCGCGAGTCCGCCGCCAGCAATCGCCACGTCCACGTGGAATGAGGGCAGCGGAAGCTCCGCCGCGGCGGTCGGATTTGGCACCGCGTTTTGCGCCGTGTGCGACGCGTTTCTGGCTGCTTGCGGATTGGAGGAACTTCCCCGCGGCTGCGTGAGCCTACTATCGCCGGCGGCCATGGAGGCGTAAGAGTAGTGGCGGCGTCGCATCGTCATGCGACGACATTGATCCGTCGTTCCGAGGCGCAGGGTCCGAGTCGCGCATTTCGCCGCCATGGTGAGACGAAGAGCAGAGAGGGTGACGGCAGGTGGGGCGAGAAGGGCAGCCATAGCTCTGACGATCTGATTCTAGGAAGGTGTGGGTAGGAGAATTTGACCTGCAGGGGGACGTTAATGTTCCTATTTCGGAGGAAGAGAGAAAGGGAGGGAGTCTCACTTCCATGACGGCCCCGGGTCGCACGCATTTTCAAAGGCTTCAGGGGAAGGCACGGCGACGAGGGGAATGATTCTGGGAAGGAATCTTGTCTAGAGGAGGAGAAGCGCGAAGGGAAAAGACGGCAGCAAAAGTCGGCCGTACAGGTCCTTAGGGGAGTTTGAGGTGCCAACCTGCAGCTCGATATAATGAGATTCTCGGAGGTGACGTGGCTGTCAACGATTGGAAGACTAAGCCCGAGGTTTCGGGCGCGCGGATTTCGAAACGCCCTGTGAGGCCTGCATTGCTTGCCACACATAGCAGCTTTCTCAAGCCATGTTTCTAGCGGGGAAAGCTACAGGCCACGTGATGGTGAGATTCTAGAGACCAGCGTGCGCACGTGTCAATGGTGGCGGTGAGAAACTCGAGAGGGGGAGGGAGGATCTAATGAGAATTTGACATGAGAGACGAATGGGAGGAGCAGAAGGCAGTCAAGTTGGGTTTGGCGTGCAGCCACGACTGGTGGAGTATGTGATGTTGTGCAGCCATCGCGAAAATGGAAAAATTTAAAGTCCAGAGGGCGAGAAGCGATTTGGTTGGTTTGAGAGGGTTGTAGAGGGGTCGTGACGAGGGAATCTGGGATTGTCCCCGAGTACACCGCTGCACTATACCTAAACTATATCAGTTTCAGTAAACAAGTTTAGAGATATTTCTCTATCATGAACACTCATTCTGTGATTTGGGTCGCCATTGCATTCCCAGCAATTGTTCAACAAGGTCTTTAGGTGATTAGTTTCTAAAACAGCACCTATTCTGATCCTTGGCTATGCAACTAATGTAACTATGGTAATGAGTATTTTTACACAGTTTCAGCACCCAACCACTGCTTGCAACAAAACACCCGTGCTGTGCTTGACAATCCGAAGTGCCGGGGTGGCTAAACGGCTCAGTCAATGGTTTTCATCTGCACAGGCACAGCAGTACACGAAGCAAAACCATATTAAGCTGACCAATTTTATCTTCTCGACATAACAACAGCAACGACGGGATCATCACCGTACCGATTATCACACTGTAGCACATAGCATCAGCACCAATATGCTTCATCAAGTGTCAAGTACCTTTCCAGAGCCCAACGTTGACGTAGTGCTTGAAGAAGAAGACGGCTATGCCCTTGTCGTAGTGTTCCACAGCCCATGTTCCCCCCCGCAAACCACCCTTACCTTCCAGAGCCCGTTGTTCAAATAGAGCATCAAGTCGACGCCTATGCCCTTGTTGATCTTGCAGCGCCCTCAAAGGAATTGCCATAACCGCATCTAGTTTCCAGGCACCTCACAGGACCTTCCATAGCCCACACTCTCCCAGTCAAGCATCAAGAACGCACCTTCCAGAGCCCGTCGTTGAGGTAGTGCATCAAGTCGACGCCTATGCCCTTGTTGATCTTGCGCGCTTGTTAAGTGCTACCTCAATATATTCCATGGCTCATACTCCCCCAGTCAAACCACCCTTACCGTACCTTCCAGAGCCCGTCGTTGAGGTAGTGCATCAAGTCGACGCCTATGCCCTTGTTGATCTTGCGACTGGAGAAGAGGCATTGGAGAGAGGGATGAATGGAGAGCACATGGGATGAGGTGAGTGGTTGATGCCTACGCCCTTGATGCAGATGTAGGGGAGCAATTGAATAAAGGAGAAAAAGACCTTGCAGAGGAATACCAGAGAGGGGTCATGAGGCGGCCTGAGGCATGAGGCTCATGGGGTCATGAGGGGTCATGAGGGGTCATGAGGGGTCATGAGGGGTCATGAGGCGGCCTAAATCGTCTCACCACAGACTGGTCTTGTACATATGAGCGTGCTCTTGCATGTGAGACTATCATATGTCAGGGCATCACATGCCATGCCATCACATGCCATGCCATCACATGCCATGCCATCACATCACATGCCATGGCATCACATGCCATGCCATCACATGCCATGCCATCACATGCCATGCCATCACATGCCATGCGATCACATGCCATGCCATCACATGCCATGCCATCCCATGCCATGCCATCCCATGCCATGCCATCACATGCCATGCCATCACATGCCATGCCATGCCTCACATGTCATCTGACGACATCTTGGTGTATCCAATCGCGAGAGCGTTCTCCTTGCCCTCGGCGAATATGGCCTGGCAGGGCAGGGAAGCAACAACACCACATGGGGTGGGGGGTCGTAGAGTGGAGGAGTTCATGCAGCAGCACAGCACCACATATCCAATGATTCCATATTCAGGGGTTCGATTCTGGCTCAGCCACCATCCATCTTCCCTCCCAGGGACGTGAGCCCAGGACACAAGATGTAGGCTAGACTCCTACTGACATCACAAACTCATGCTTTCATGGAGTGTTTAAGGGCTGTATTTCAGCTATCACTCACCACAGGGGAGTCTACAGGAATGCCGCCGTCCATCTTCCCCCCCAGGGGACGTGAGCCCCGGACACATGATGTTGGCCCCTGACCTCACATCACAAGCTTGATTGCTCCCTTCCGGGTATGATTTGACCATTTTTTTGAAGAGTCCTCAGGATCCTCTCACGACAGGGGAGTGTGGAGGAATGGAGCCCCAGATAAGAGTTGACTTTTGAGTCGACTCAAAAGTCAACTCGCTATTTTTTTTGAAGAGTCCTCCTCACGATCCTCTCACGACAGGTTTTGAGGCGCCTCAAAACGATCCTCTCACGACAGGTTTTGAGGCGCCTCAAAACGATCCTCTCACGACAGGTTTTGAGGCGCCTCAAAACGATCCTCTCACGACAGGTTTTGAGGCGCCTCAAAACGATCCTCTCACGACAGGTTTTGAGGCGCCTCAAAACGATCCTCTCACGACAGGGGAGTGTGCAGACTATTAGACAGCGAGACATGATTCAGACATGATCCAGACACTATTAGACATGATCCAGCGAGCAGCAGCGGAGGAGAAAGTTGAGGGAAGCCCCTAACAAGCCTTCATCACGACAGGGGAGTGTGCAGGCAGGAATGCAATCTCAAACTTTTTTGAGGCGCCTAAAAAACGACCAGGAATGCAATCACAGACTTGATAGCTGCCCTCCGCGGTCAAACAGTTGTCTCCTGTCTCACTCACTCACCACAGGGGAGTCCACGGGAATACCATTGTCCATCTTCCCGCCAGGGGAGGTGAGTCCCGGGCACATGATGTTGGCCTTCTCTGGCATCACAAACCAATGCTATATTTGAAGGTTAAACAGGTGTATTAGACCCACTCACCACGGGGGAGTCCGTAGGAATGCCGTCGTCCATCTTCCCAACAGGGGAGGTGAGACCCGGGCACATGATGTTGGCCCCTGACATCACAAACTTGATCGCGCCCCTTCAGCGTTACACAGTTGCATTCTCTCTCACTCACCACGGGGGAGTCAGTAGGAATGCCGTCGTCCATCTTCCCCCCAGGGGAGGTGAGACCCGGGCACATGATGTTGGCCCCTGACATCACGAACTTGATCGCGCCCCTATCCACCTGCATCTTGCGCATCATGTCTGGGTCTGGTGTTTGGGGGAATGGGGGGGAGCGGGGGAGGGGTGTTGGCGAATAGGGCAACATGAGGGGTCAGTTGGCTCGATCGCGCCCCTATCCACCTGCATCTTGCGCATCATATCCGGGTCTGGGGGAAGGGGAAATGGGGGGAGCAAGGGAGGGGTGTTGGCGAATAGGGGAAGATGGGGGTTCGCTGGCTTGATCGCACCCCTATCCACCTGCTTCTTGCACATCATGTCCGGGTCTGGATGGGGGGGTTTCGAATGGAGGTGGGGAAAGCGGAGGGGTTGCGAATGGGTGGGGTGGAAAGAAATGGAGAAAGAATGGGAAGGGATAACGGAAAGGAAAGGAAAGGAAGGAATAAAGAAGACATGCCGACAAGAGACGAAAACATTTCGCCGACAGTAAATAAGTCAGCTAGAACCGTCGTTATGGGGTGTGGTGTGAAGTGGTGCGAATGCATAACACAAGTGGCGAGGCGACTTACATTGATGCAGCAGGCGGAGCGTGGGCATGAAGGGACTTTTGAGTCGACTCAAAAGTCACCTCGTTACCATGGCACACGACACATAACACAGCGAGTGTTTTTTGAGAATTCTCAAAAAAGCACACGACACATAACACAAGTGGCGAGGCGACTCACATTGATGCAGCAGGCGGAGCGTGGGCATGAAGGGACCGTCCCTCACATTGAAGAAGAGGGGAACATTATTCATGACCACGATACTCACGTGGTTGGGGCTGCAGATACAAACGGAGGGGGAGGGTGGGGGTTGGGTGGGGGTTGGGTGGGCGAGGGCGAAACAGTTGGGGTGAGCATGTAAGGGGCCGTCCTCGCATTGAAGAAAAGCGGAGCAGAGGTGACTTTTGAGTCGACTCAAAAGTCACCTAGAAAAGCGGAGCAGTATTCATCACCACGATGCTCACGTGGTTGGGGCTGCAAACACGGGAATTGGTGACAGGGGGTAATGCACAGCACACAAGGGAGGGAGGGTGGGGACAGGGTGGGTGGGCATTAAGGGTGGTGTCGTCCCTCACGATGAACAGCGTGTGTTTTTTGAGAATTCTCAAAAAACACATGGACAGGGTGGGTGGGTGAGCATTAAGGGTGTCGTCCCTCACGATGAACAAGAGCGAAACGCCATTCATCACCACGATGCTCACGTGATTGGGGCTGCATATACAGGGGATGATGATCTACATGGGGTGTTTGTTAGTACGGTAAACAGAAATTATAAGCTGGAGTACAGAATTCGGTTAACGACCTAATGTAGGAAAAAAAAAAAAAAAAACACCATCAGCTGCTTGATAAAGTTACTAACAATATTCTGGTTATTAAAGCGCTCTCCCCCACCCTCCGCCTTCCCATTCCAAAAAAAGGCGAGGTTTCACACACCATTTGGCAATCACAATGGGAGACTTTTTTGGTAGCAGGTCCTCCAAGACTGAGTCCAGAGATGGGTACTGCGAGGGGGGAGGGATGGAAAGGGGCGGATTGAGAGGACAAAGTGGGAGAGAATCACATGGGGAGGTGCGAGAGGGGCGCAGCGCATGGGGAGTGTGCTGTTGAGACCCGCTGAGGCGCCTCAACGGCCCTTTTTTGGTAAGAGGTCCTCCAATACTGAGTCCAGAGATGGGTACTGCGAGGGGGGAAGGCGGATGGGAGGGCGCGAGGGGAGCATGGGGAGTGTACTTCAGAGGCGCTTCAATGGCCCTTTTTGGACAAAAGGTCCTCCAAGACTGAGTCCAGACTCGGGTGCTGAAAAGGGGGAGGGATGAAAGGGCGGATTGAGAGGGAAAAGTGGGAAAGAATCACATGGGGAGGCGCAAGAGGGGCGCATGGGGAGTGTGCTGTTGAGACCTGTCAAAGTCCCTTCTAAGGCAAAAGGGGTTGGGTCTAGTTTCGGGTCGAGTACTTTCAGAGGAGAGAAGAGCAGGGCACAGGGAGTGCCTTTTGAGTCGACTCAAAAGCCGTTTCGGGTCGGGTACTTTTGCGCACCTCACAAATGAGCGTCAGATGAGAGAAGAGCAGGGCACAGGGAGTGCCTGGGTTAGTCTGCTGCGCTCTCAGCAATATGTCAGAAGACCGAGTGGGTCTAGTTTCGGGTCTAGTTGGGTACTTTCGCCCCCCTCGCAAATGAGCGTCAGATGAGAGAAGGGCACAGGGAGAGTGCTTGGAACCCCGGAGCATCCATAGCCAAGTCCCTGCTTCTATGCTTTTTTGAGAATTCTAAAAAAACACAAGAATTCTCAAAAAGCACAGGGAGAGTGCTTGAAACCCCGGAGCATCCATAGCCAAGTCCCTGCTTCTATGCTCACCTCCTCGGCTATGGATTGCCGAATTTTGCGCTGAACAGATGCTTTGAGCTGATTCTGCCCTGCTACCTCATCGTTGGAGAATCTGCGTGAAGGAAGACAAGGAGGGGAAAGAGAGGGAGGACGGGGGGAAGGGAAAGGAAGAGAAGGAGGAGGGGGGGAGGGGAGGAAGGAGGTGGAGGAGACAAGCAGATACGGTTATCAGCCGGGACTGAATTGACAGGCAGGCGACGGAATGACTCAACTCAGTAATCGTATGAGTTGAAGAAAGGGAGGCAGAAACCGCGCGACGCACTGTGCAAAATGAGAAGACAAGACGGGAGCGTACTTTTTAAACATCACGAGTCGCGGAAACAAGACGAAAAGGAGGGCGTGGATGCTGGCGGGCAAGCGGATTCTCAGAATAAGCGTATGACACGACCCGCGGTTGAGACGTCGTAAGGCGTTAAGTGAATGGCCCGAGGCGCTAAATCAGATCAGACCTACGAACTCGGGGATTTAGTATTCGAACACAAATCATACGCCTGCAGCATGTACCTTGAACCCAAAATGTATGAAAAACAGAAACCAGGCCGTAAACTGCTCTGAAAACAGCACAGTCTCAACAAATTATCAGCGGCCATCGAGTGTTGGCATTTTCCTCGTGTGGTAACCGTAGTAGCAGAAATTGACTGAACGAGTTGTTCATTGCCGATTTCGTGGCCCGCCATTGGCAGACGAGAATGCAAGAAAGAATGCGACATCCATCTGTAACCTATCAACTGTTATTGTATGTGAAAGGAGAATGTTAACAGCCCTTCATGTATGTTATACGCGCTACTAGCTGGTCCTTCACTGAAACAATAAAATGATTTTGTTATCCTGCTCTTTTCAAAGAATAGTGTACCGCATAGGTACTTTCAAAATTTCCGAAATGTCAACATTTCATGGATTCGCCGACTAAGCCAGGCTGAATCGAAGTACCACCAATTAGGGTTTCCTGTACTCGCTATGAATCGCCCGTCCTTCAGGCCGCGGCCAGTGGACATCAATAAGAAGCTCGCGATCGTCCGATCGACAGACGAGCTGAACGCGGAGGACGAGGGCGTATCGAGGACCGTCCATCATGGCCACATCGCTCTCGATGCCGAAAACGAGCAGGTCCAGACCGTTGGCTTCTCTGGAAACCCTAAAAGACATCCCTTCCGTCATTCCCTGCATCGATGACTGGATTCTGCAGGGCGTCGCTATGCACACACCGACGAGCATCAGTCAGCGAATATTCTCCGAATTTTATCTAACAGATCTGACGTGTACTTTCTGTCGACATCTTGTGTTCGTGTCATGTCCTGCCTACGTGGCAGATCCTGCCCGCACCGTCAAAGAAGGGACCGTCCGTGGAGATCCCGACACCTCACTGCGGCGTGGTCGAAGCGTACGACAAGCTCTACCCGGCGAACTTTCGCCAACCGTCGTCGTACATTCGCAGCAAGCACGGTGCGACATCCTCGCTTTGCAAATCCGACGGTTAACTGGTCTGTCTTTGTCTCGGCCTGTCCAGTTGTCGTGCTGTCGCGGTGTGATAGCCATTCTGTGCTGTTGTGCTTCCGTGATGTTGTGATGTTCTTATCTCCTCCGTGATATCCGCCGCGCAGTGCGGCAGGACGACGGGGTGTACGTGGAGTATGATCTGGATGACGAGGACGAGGACTGGCTGGAAGTGCTCAACCAGAACAGGCTGCTGCTCGCTGCAGACAGGTACAGTGCGGTGCAGTATGGTGCTGTGTGAGTACATGTGGTACAGTACGGTGAAGTACGGTGCAGTGTGACAGAATTATGATTTGGACGACGAGGATGAGGACTGGCTGGAAGTGCTCAACCAGAACAGACTGCTGCTCGCTGCAGACAGGTACAGTGCGGTGTAGCGCGGTTCAATGGGGCAGCTGCTGGGTGCAGAGTGGTACAATGCGATCTTGCCACAGATTTCTAACGCATGCCACGTCATCATCCTATGCCACGTCATCAGGCTGGAGTGGATGATCTACCAGATGGAGCTCCTGGATGCGCGGGCAAGGGCCAAGGCAGGGACGGCCATGCTGGCAGGCGCGGTGGACCAGACGGGTGCTGCTGGGCAGGTGTCATCTGGGGGGGTGCGAGTGCCGGTCCTGCTGCAGCAGCAACAAGCTGTCGATGTGAGTTTCCGTTCGGCTAAAGAGTTTTGAGGCACGGCACCACAAAACAGGTGTCATCTGGGGGAGTGCGAGTGCCTGTCCTGCAGCAGCAACAAGCTGTCGACGTGAGTTCCCGTTTCTGCTGTACTCGTTTTTGGCGAGCCCGTTTTACACTGGTTTTTGGAGTTTGCACGTAATAGATCTCGCACTTGTTTCTTGAGCAGGCTCTGAGAGCCCAGGTGCCAAGGCAGGCCATCATCGCTGCAGCGTACGACTACTGGCGGTCCAAGGGAGCGCTGGGGGCAAACCCATTCGGCGACTCAGTACTGAACATCTGTGTCTCCCTTCCGTTCGTCTTTCCTGCTTGCAGGCGTTGAGAGCGCAAGTACCAAGGCAGGCCATCATCGCTGCAGCGTACGACTACTGGCGGTCCAAGAGGGAGCGATGGGGGAAACCCATTTTGCGGCGCCTGCAGCCGTCGCCTGCCATCACCGACACGAACCCCTTCAACGTTTTCCGACCGAGAGAGAGAGCCCACCGGCCCAACACACGGCGGGTATGTGAGAGTTGAGGTAGATTTAGCAAGCATGCACCACGGACACCAGCCCTTTCACGGACCCATTCTGCGGCGAATGCAGCCGTCGCCTGCCATCACAGACACCAACCCGTTCAACGTTTTCCGACCGCGAGAGAGGGCCCACCGGCCCAACACACGGCGGGTAAGTTTGAGCTAAGGTGTGTTGGGCTCACACAACTCAACACGCATCACATGCCAGACACGCGTCACATGCCAGACACGCATCACATACGCATAACATGCCAGACACGCATAACATGCCAGACACGCATCACATGCCAGACATGCATCACATGCCAGACACGCATAACATGCCAGACACGCATCACATGCCAGACATGCATCACATGCCAGACACGCATCACATGCCAGACACGCATCACATGCCAGACACGCATCACATGCCAGACACGCATCACATGCCAGACATGCATCACATGCCAGACAGCAACCCCCTTAACGTGTTCTGACTCTTGAGACGTGCAGATGCAGAGGAGGGAGAATGACATGGCTTCGTATGAGAAGCTCGTGCGGGTGCGTCTTACTTCCCTGTCAATGTGATGCCGTACCATACTCGTTCCGATTATTCAAATGATGTGTTGCCGATCGATGGGCTTTTTGTGCCCTGGAAACGTCTCTGCTGCACCTTCAATGTTGAGCCTTTGATTCCCTTCCATGCCTTACAGTCTCGTTTTGGCAATTCCGTCTTTCATTCATCCCCTTTTGTAGCAGGTCCAGAAGAACATTGAAGATGCCTTGCAACTGGCACAGGCTGTTGAGAGAGTGAGTGCAGATTCGCTCTGGCTGTCTCACCCTGCCTCCCAATATTGCTGGTTCACTGCTCTCTCCTTCAGAGCTGCTAGTTTCTCACCACTGTCTACCCATTCTACCTCACCCATTCGTCCTCTGCGTCTCATGCCTTGGTCTCTGGGTGCATCCATGTTTCTCGTTTCCGTTGGTTTTTCTTTTGAGTCGACTCAGAAGCATTCTACCTCACCCATTCGTCCTCTGCGTCTCATGCCTTGGTCTCTGGGTGCATCCATGTTTCTCGTTTCCGTTGGTTTTTCTTTTGAGTCGACTCAAAAGCATTCTACCTCACCCATTCGTCCTCTGCGTCTCATGCCTTGGTCTCTGGGTGCATCCATGTTTCTCGTTTCCGTTGGTTTTTCTTTTGAGTCGACTCAAAAGCATTCTACCTCACCCATTCGTCCTCTGCGTCTCATGCCTTGATCTCTGGGTGCATCCATGTTTCTCGTTTCCGTTGGTTTTTCTTTTGAGTCGACTCAAAAGCATTCTACCTCACCCATTCGTCCTCTGCGTCTCATGCCTTGATCTCTGGGTGCATCCATGTTTCTCGTTTCCGTTGGTTCCATTGACGCCTTGACGCCTTGACGCTTGCGTGCAGAGGGAGGAGAGGAAGCGTGAGCTAATCAATTGTGAAGTGGCGTTGCAGCAAGCAGCGCTCTCGGATCGGGTAAGTCGAGTGAGTGTGTATCTGTAGTGTAGCGGTGCTCGTTGTAAGCAGTAATCCTTTGCGAATTGACTCTCAAGCAAGGAATCAACACTTCCTAAAGCTCTCAAAGCGGGTGCGTATGGGAGTCTGAGAGAGCAGCGTTTAGGTGCATGCATACGGGCATGGGGAGTCTGAGAGGGCACTACTTAAAGCTCAAGGCCCAAATTGATACGAGCTGGTTTTTGAGAATTCTTAAAGCTCAAGGCCCAAATTGCGGGCCGCGCAGGGCAAGATTAGAAATCTTGCACACTTCTCGTTTTTTGTGCTGTATTTTGGCGAAAATCTGGTTACGGTAGTTGCGACGCAATCTGATTTGGTCGAAGGAACACTCACTGTCAAAATATCAAGTTCACTATTCTGCAATTTGGGACTCGAAGTCCCCAAACGCACGCTCCCCCCTGAAGCTTGCTGACTCAGCGAAAAGACAAGTGTTGCGGCGAAATCAGACAAGTCAACAACCCCCACCCCTCAGCACCCAAACTTGCGCACGATTACTAATCTTGCGCAAGATTTAAGTGCCATGGCTTTATGGGTATGGGTGCACGCATCCGTTTCTGTCCTCCCATCTGCACATCTATCTGTCCATCCATGCATGACACATCATGGATGCATCATGGATGCGTGATGCATGCATAACTGTTACTGTTTCTCTCGCCATCCCAACGGGTTAGGATAACCACCAAACCAGCTAGCAGATGACATTCTACTGTCCTTTTTCTTTGTGCCGTTAGCAGGGCTAAGGGTTCGAATCGAACTGCAGGAGCATCACAATGTGTCATGAGCATCACATTGTTCTCTGTATGTGTTTACGTTCCATTGTCGTCATTATCTCCAGGAAATCACGGTGCAACAAGCAGAGGCCCTTGGGATCATCCCAGACCTCTCCTCCTCGATCCCCAGGCCTTTCCCTGGAGCCACCTCAGACGACCAACACCAGCAGCAGCAGCAGCAGCAGCAGCAGCAGCAATACCAGCTCCTACCACCTCCTGCTGGCACTACCATCACCGCCACCAGCACCACCAGCACCGCCGCCCCTACCTTTGCCACTCTAGGCGGCCTCCCTCCCGCGAATCACTTTGACAATATCCTCTCGGTCACTCGCCGCCGAGGCTCCGTCGGAGCAGCAGGGATCGCAGCAGCAGGATCAGCCGCAGCTGCAGCAGGGGGGACGTTACCAGGAGCAGCAGGAGGCTGGGCTGGGTGGTTACCAGACGCTGCGACTGTAACCTCCGGTCCGGTTACCGATGCAGTGTCACCTCTAGACCACCTGCTCCCGCTCCTGAAGAAGAAGAGGCGGAGGCAGGTGGTGTTCCCCCGGGGGGGCAGGCTGAGTCGTGTGCTTCGTAGTGCCCCTCCCCCCGACATTCCCATGCCGTTCAACCGCTCGTTTTCGGTCGAGCAGCTTGCTGCTATGCACATACAGCCGCCTCTGCTCTCCCACCGGCCCCCTCCAGTGTCCCTCTGGCCTCTTCCTCCTGATTCACTCTGCCTCCCACCTCTGGTACCGTCATCTGTATCGGTGGTGGAGGGGAGAGAAGCGGTGAGGGAGGGTGTAGAGTTGAGGGTGAGGGGGAGGGTAGGCAGGGGGGGGAGGTTGATATTCGATCGCTGGGATGTGATGGAAGGAAGGCCGTTAGTGGCGCCTGCACCTGCTATCACTGCTGTTCCTGCTGCCGTGCCTTGTGCCATTCCTGCTGCCGTACCTGCTGCTGCGGCTGTTGCTGGGCCTGCTGCCGTGCGAGAGGCAAACGAGAAGGATTTGGCACCAAATGCGTCCATGCAGAATGACCTGCAGAGTGCACCAACTGACCTGTCCTTGAGTGGAGCTGTAAGGAAGGATTTAACCGTCAGCGCTGCTGCTAGGGAGGACTCTCATCCTCCAGCAACAGCAGCAACAGCAACAGCAGCAACAGCAGCAGCAGCAACAGCAGCAACAGCTGCTGGAAGCTCAGATGCCTCTACTGGTGTATCAGCAGCGGGGAACAGTGCTGTTCCTGCTCCTCCTGCCTCCGCTCGTTCTCCTGCTCCAACTGTGCATGCATCTGCACCATTCAACAGCCCTATTCCTTCCACTGTCCCACCCTTTGCTCCTCAATCAAAGTCCGCTGCTCCTCCTGCATTCAATGCTGCACCTGCTACTGTTGCTGGGACTGGTGGTACTGCTGCTCCTCCGTCTGCTGCTGCTGCTGCTGCTGCTGCCACACCCCAATCTGCAGCCATTACCAACCATTCCGCCACCGCAGCAATTGCTGCTGTTCCTCACACACGAGCCCTTGCCCCTGTCCCTTCCCCTGCACCTACCTCTGCCCGTGCTTCTGCTGCTGCCGCTGCCGCTGTGCCTGGAACCACTAGAACCATGACAAATGTCAATGGTGCGGGTACAGGGTCCAAACCTGGACCCAACACTACTGCTGCTGCTGGTGGGGTAGCTTATAGACGGTCAAACAGTGGAAAGGCTTTTGGGATAGGCTCTTCCCAACCCGCAGCTGGTAGTAATGCAGCGGATGTAGGAGGAGCAAGGGGTGGAGTGGGTGTCGGAGGGGTGCAGAGCGGTGTGAGGGATGTGGGAGGAGTAAGAGGTGGAGAGGGGGGTGTAGGAGTTGCACGGGGTGGGGTGGGTGCAGGGGCGGTTAGGGATGGTGCTGCTGGGTCAAAGGCTCCAGTCCCAGGGATGCCAGGTGTGGCTTCACCTTACATGCCACCGAAGCAGCGATCTCATGCGCAGCGGGCAGATAAAAATGTGTGAATCGCATATGAGGTGTAGCTGATGAGGCTGCTTCTGCATTTCAGTGAGTCCTGGAGAAAGTTGGCAACAATTTGTGTACAGGTGTTTACTAACAGTGGAATCTCCAATTGGTTGTTTTTGGGTAGGGATATATAGACACATTTTGCAAGTGATGCTGGGCAAAATGGGTTTCCTGTGAGTAATGAACGGTTCACCCTCGATATTGGCACATGATTCGCATCCTTCACCCCTCAGCCATCGGTAGTGGAACCCTTGCCTCTCCCCCCCTCCATCCCTTCGCCAAGAAGCAACGGAACACGCGCAACTAGGTCTGCTCAAACAGTCTCGACTAGTTAGTAGTCAGCTGGAAAAACGCGTTTCGACTAGTTTTGCCAGTTTATGAACCTTATCGTAGTAGATGCTCCAGAGACTTATCGTGTTAGATGCTGGCATGTTGACTGTTTGGCTCGTTTGCCAGACGAATAGCATGCGACCAGGCAAGTGAGCGAAAGGTCGCGATATTACCCATCGAATAAGCCAAAGTTCTAGGACTAGCGTGAAATTCAGCTGCGGTAGAAAGAGACTGCTGTGAAATTCGTCAGATTTACAACGAGTCTAATGGCAACAGAGGACTTTGCTCACGCTGACGATAGACAATAGGAATGTGTCGGAATAATAATGCTTGCAGGAGGGCTAGAGGCGTGTGCGATTTGCGATAAACCCGCGACTTTTTTCGAACCGTACCCAAAGTAGCAGCGATTGCAGCAGAAGCGATGCGACAACAGCGGGAGTGATGAGTAACGCCTGATGTGACAATAACGGGTGACGCTAGGATTCTTGACATCGTTATCGGTCAACGACGCTCGGTTGACCAGGGACAAGCAGATTCGAGCAGAGTACGCATGAGAGGATGACGTCAGCGAAGAGGGTTGGTGACGTCAGCGGCAAGGGGGAGGAGGGTTCGCGGAAAGCCGTTTCAAAAAGGGTTTCTCCGGAAAAGGGTAGGAGGAGCGAGCGCGAATGGCCTGAGAAGGGCGGTTATGGAGCTCGACGAATGGAGAGGCGGGGAGACCGCAGCCGCAGCAGCAGCAGCAGCAGCAGTGGCGGCAGAAGCAGCAGAAGTAGGAGTAGGAGCAGGAGCAGGGATAAAGTTGATAATGTTAGTAGAAAAAAGGGCAGGAGTAGAAGCAGGAGCAGCAGCAGCAGCAGGAGCACTAGGGGCGTAAGTCACAGCAAGAAACGGGTTAACGGCAAGAGAAACAGAAGTAGAAGCAGCAGTAGCGGCAGCAGCAGCAAGGGCAGGTGTAGGAGCAGGAGCAGGAGCATTGATAGATACTACAGCCGGGGGAAACCGAACGGCGGACGTGCAGGGAGGAAAATCAAAGACTCTAGCAGCAGCGACAGCAGCACCAGGGAAAAGGGCAGGGACAGGAGAAGGAGGAGCAACAGCAACAGCAGCAGCAGGAGGAGCAAGGGGAGCAGGGGTAGCAGCAGCAGCAGCAGGAGGAGCGGTTGGAGTAGGAGTAGCAGTGGGAGCGAGGAGGAGGAGGAGGATAGACGTAGGCCCAGGGACTTCACCGCTGTGAGGAGGAAGAGAGAGGGCGAGAGGAAAGAAGGGACAGAGGGACGGGGTAAGGAGCACTCAGGGTCTGCTGCTGGTTCATTGAATCTAGACTTGAAGACTCGAAGGGGATCGTTGGAAGGGCGAGAAAGAAGGGTGGTTGGAGTGAGGGAGAAGGAGAAGGATAAGGAGGAGGGGATTGTTGGGGGGAGAGAAGGTGACAAGAGCAGGAGGGAGGGGAGAGGAGAGGTGAGTGTGAGGAGAATAGGAGAGAGTGAGAAGAGGGATGGGGAGAGGGAGAGGAGGGACTGGGAGAGGGAGAGTAGGGACGGCGACAGGGGAAGAAGGGAGGACGAGAGGAGGGGGCGGGAGGGAGAACGGAACAAGAAGAGAGATGTTCCGAGGGAGGCAATAAAGATTGTCGATGTGAGGGATATAATTGCTTCGTCTTTGCAGGGGATAGACAGGCAAAAGGAGAGGGACAGTCAAAAGGAGGCGGTAGTTAGAGAAATTCGTAGGCGAGGGGAGATTAGGGGAGGGGAAAGCAGAGGAGGGGCGGAAAGAAGGGTGGGAGCGGGAGAGGAGGGAGGAGAGAGCAGAGGTGGGAAGGGGAGAGAAGGGTTGGGAAGAGAAGGGCGCGTGGGAGGGGAATCAGCAGAGCGAGATTTTCGAAGCAGTGGCACGTTTAAGTCACCTGGAGGGTACAAAGGTCGTGACTGTGATAGCAGTGAGAGGGATGGGAGAAGGCGTGTTGATGAGAGAGAAGGGGGCAGTTTGAGAGAGGTGGGTTATGATGAGGAAGGTCGGAGGAGACATATGTTCGAAGAAAAGAGGTTTGGAGAAAGGGGGTTTGAGGAAATGCGGTTTGGAGAAAGGGGGTTTGAAGAGAAGCGGTTTGGCGAAAGCAGCAGAGGGCACAAGGAGGAGAGGAATGTGGGTGCGGTTAGGGGTGTGTTGTCTCCACAGGAGAGCAATCTGGGCGGGTTATCTGGGCGGCAGTATGATGGGAGGAAGGGAGAAGAGAGAAGGGAGTGGAGGGTAGAGGAGCAGGATCGGTGGAAGCTTGGAGATAACAGGGTGGTGGGGAGAAGAGAGATTGGAGAGGGGAAGGAGAGGGGGAGAGAGGAGGGTGGGGGAGGAGAGAGGGGAAGGGAGGAGGGTAGGGGAAAAGAAAGGGAAAGAGAGGAGGGTGAGGGAAAAGAAAGGGGGACTGAGAGGGGCGGGGAGAGAGAGAGAGGAAAAGAGGAGGGTGGGGAAAGAGAGAGAGCAAAAGAGGAGGGTGGGGGGGGAGAGAGGGGAAGAGAGGAGGGCAGCAGGTTTATGCATGGTCGAGATAGTAAAATTTTGAGGGGACATTTGTTGGAGGGCGGGGAAAGAGAGGAGACGGGGAGTAGAGAAGAAAGGGGTCGTTCTTTGGAAGGAGAGGAGATGGGGGTTGAAGGAGATGGGGATAGGAGGAGGGTGAGTGACGAGGGAGAGAGGGGAGACAGGTTATCAGGTGGAATTTCCAGAGGGAAGGAAAGGAGGCGGTCTCCTGTATTCCAAGAGGGGGGAAGGAGGCCGTTCCAGTCACCTCAGGAAGGGGAAAGGAGGAGTTTCCAGTCACCTCACGAAGAGGATAGGAGGCTTGGAAGGGCGTGGAATCCTGGAGATTCAGGGGGAGGCGGGGTGTTTGATCGAGGGCAATGGGTGGGGCGGGGAGGAAGGGGCAGGGTAGAGAAGGAGGCAAGCATGGGAGGGGGTTCAGGGCAACACGCAGGGAGGGAAGACAGGTGGAGGATGAAGGGAATGGAGGAGTGGGGTTATAGCGGTAGTGGTAGTAGAGGCAGGGGATTTGGACGGGGAGGGAGGGATGGTGGTGGTTGGGATGATATGCGGGATGCTGTTGTTGCTGGTGGTGGTCGGGGTGATGGGATTCGTGATGGGGATGGTAGGTGGATGGACAGGAGAGGGGGGCGGGGAGGGCGTGGGTGGGGAGAAAGAGGGGGAGGGAGGTTTGATGGTTCCTCTTGCACTGCTTTTCCTCATAGTGCCATGGCGCTTGGTGCTGCTCGTGGTAGTGCTGTGGGAATTGGTCTTCAAGATAGGGGCATTGATACTGGGACAGAGAGGGGAAGGACAGAGAGAGGAGGGGCAGAGAGGAGTGGAGAAGAGAAGGGAGGGGCGACTAGTAACTCAGTTAGTAAGAATGAGCCGGCGTGGGAAGGCAGTTTGATTGAAGGTACTACTGCCTTTCTCGATGCTCCTCCTGGGTTCGGCCCTCCTGCTTTTATTGCAGCTGCTTATAAGAGGGCGTCAGGTGCAGAGGCCACACCACCAGAGGCAGGGGCAGGGAAGCTAGAAGGGGCAGCAGCAGCAGGTGTTGCGAGTGAACGTGGAGAAACAATGTCGGGAGGGAATATTTGTGCAGCAGAGGGAGGAGGAGCACACATGGGAATAGAGATGCAAGGAGGGACAAGTGGAGAGACGGGAGCAGGTAGGGGAGGAGCGATGAGCGCAGGGGCGGGAGGAGAGGGGTATGCGGTGGGGATGGGTGCGGAGGAGTGCGATGCGTGGTGCCTCTTGGATGAGGCGCTGGGAGCCACAAGTGGGCCTTTTCCCTTCAGTCACGTTCAGCAGCAGTTTGCAGCAGGGTGAGTTTGTTGTGACCCAAGTTGCAATCTCATGGCATCCTGTTTAATCACGTTTTCAGTCACGTTCAGCAGCAGTTTGAAGCAGTGTGAGCGTTTTCAGTCACGGTTTCATTCATGTTCAGTGATTTTCAGCACCAGTTGGCAGCAGAGTATGCAAATCAGAGCTTCAGATTTCACCATGGCCAATGGCTTATATCATTCTGGTACATGATTGTATGTTGCATCTGGTTATGGTTAGTCATATTCTACTGGTTAGTCATATTCTGCTGCTTGCATTGCATCTGCTGCTTGCATTGCATCTGCTGCTTGCATTGCATCTGCTGCTTGCATTGCATCTGCTGCTTGCATTGCATCTGCTGCTTGCATTGCATCTGATGGTTGCAGGGCGATTGAGCTAAAGCTACCTCAATAGTTGACGTTTGACTAGTTTAGATAATTTCCTCATTGATCCATCTGAGGTACATGATTGCGCTTGGCCAGCTTTCCTTTCCCCCGTCCCTTTTTCCCGCTCTCTTCCCTATCCTCTTTTGAGGCGCCTCAAAAGTCCTCTTCTTATACCACCGTCTTTGAACGTCCCTCCACCCCTGCAACCGAACCACCTGTAGGGAGCTGCCGGATCATATCCTGGCCTACCCGGAAGGCTCGGATGCCGAGCCTATCCCCCTGGCTCAGGTGCTGAAAGGGGAAGCTTCCGTGCTGCTTCACTTTGGAGTGTCCCTTCCCTCAGACTCCTTGCTTCCAGCATCTCAGCAGCAACAGCCAGCAGTACGGCAGCAGGAATTTGAGCAGCAGCAACAGCCGCAACAGCCAGAGCAGCAGATGATGATGTCTATTGTTTCTCGGGCAGGGACAGGATTAGGAGCAAGATCAGGACGAGAAGGACAAGCAGGGAGGGACGATTTGATTGCACATCCTGCTGTCGTTGCTTCTGTTTCTGCTCCTGCTGCTGTTACCAGCACAAATGTCGCTGTTGGAGATGCAGTGATCACCGGGGGTACAGGGGAGGACGGAAGAGGGGAGGAAGGCCAGAGGGAGGATCTGAAGGAAAAGGAGGAGGAAGAGAGTGGGTTGTTTTGGACGTATCTGGGGGAAGACAAAGCACCCAAGGGGCCATTCTCCATTGTGATGCTGCGATGGTGGCTGCAGTGTGGGCATCTCATGCCCACCCTCATGGTATGTAGTGTGTGGTATGGTAGAGTGTGGTATGATGGGTTGTGGTATGGTGGGGTGTGGTATGGTGTGGTATGGTGTGATTTGACATCCATCGTATGGAAGACAAGGCACCCAAGGGCCCTTTCTCCATTGTGATGCTGTGATGGTGGCTGCAGTGTGGGCATCTCATGCCCAGCCTCATGGTATGTGTGGTGTGGTGTGGTATGGTATGGTGGGATTCGATATGCATGGAATGGAAGACAAGGCACCCAAGGGGCCGTTTTCAATTGTGATGCTGCGATGGTGGCTGTAGTGTGGGCATCTCATGCCCAGCCTCATGGTATGTGTGGTGTGGTGTGGTATGGTATGGTGGGATTCGATATGCATGGAATGGAATGGAAGACAAGGCACCCAAGGGGCCGTTTTCAATTGTGATGCTGCGATGGTGGCTGTAGTGCGGGCATCTCATGCCCAGCCTCATGGTATGTGTGGTACAGTGCGATACGGTGTGTGGGTGTGGGATGGAGTGGTGATGACTTGTATGGGGTTGTGATGCGTGCATGGCTGTGATGTTGAGATGGTGACTGCAGTGTGGGCACCTCATGCTCAGCCTCTTGGTATGTGTGGTACAGTGTGCAATGGTGTTTGGGATGGTGGTGGGTGAATGACATGCATGGGGTTGTGATGCATGTGACTGTGTGAGGTACCTTTTTTCTCCCCCTCTCCTTCTCCGTTTCTCCCCACGCCCCACCCTCACTCAATATTCAATTACTCATCCTGACGTGGTTTGAAGTTCAATCTCCCACTTCGTCCTGCTTGCCTGTCTCCCCACATCCCATCAGTTGTCAGATATTCGCAACATGCACACTCCTCCCATCTCCCTGGGGGTTCTGCTGGGGAGACACCCATCCAAGCCACAGCAGCAACACCAGCAGCATCAGCAACAGCAGCAGCCGCTGCAGCAGCAACAGTACCAGCAGCAGCAACAGCTACTCCCTTCCTCCACCCCTCCGTCCCTCGACGCCCTTTTTTCCACCTCACTCTCTCTCGTCCGCACACGTCTGCATACCCTTGTGCTGCAATCCCTGCACTGCCCCTCCTTCCTCAACGCTGCTGTTGGCCCTCACCTCACCTCTGCTCTCTCTAACCGCACCTCTGTGCTCTCTGAATCGACTCAAAAGTCGCCCCACCTGACCTCTGCTCTCTCTAACCGTGCCTCTGTGCTCTCACCAGCTCAAGCCGTTCCTGCTTCCCCTGCTGCCGCTGCTGCTGCAGCTCCCTCTAGTGCTGCTGATCCTGCTGTTGCTGCTGCAGCTGCTGGTGTTTCTGCTGATGCTGCTGGTGCTGTTAGTGCTGCTGGTGCAGTTGTTGGTGCTGGTGATGGAAATATTAACAGTTCTGTTGCCATTACCCCTGCGGCTGCTGCTGCTGCTGTTGCTTCTCCTCCACCTCTTCATGACCCTCCTGTCTCCACTCATGTGGGAAACTGGAGGACGAGTGTTGAAAGAGAGTGGGGAGCAGGAGGAGAGGTGACTTGTGAGTCGACTCAAAAGTCACCTCACGTGGGAGAGTGGAAAACCAGGGTTGCAAGAGAGTGGGGGGCAGGAGGAGAGGCAGAGCAGGACAGAAAGCTATCGGACCAGAACAGGAGAAGCATGGGAAAAGGGGCAAGGATGGAAGGATCAAGTGCCGAAACACAAGGACCAGAGGAAGGGGTGGAGGGGCATGAAGGAGTGAGGGGGCATGAGGGCCCTAAAGATCCGAAGCTGCTATTTGAAACAATGGATTTTGATTCGCTGCCGCCAATTCGAGCAAAGAAACTGCCAACACCCCCACCGTCACCATCGCCCCCACGCCCACCACCACTATTAGTCCCTCCTCCCCAGTTATTTGAGGTCCCTGCTCCTTTTTCCCAACCTCCTTTTCTTCCTCCTCTCCATCCGCTCCCGTCATCCCTCCCCGTGCCGCGTCCCCCTCCTCTTCCGCACTCCCCTCCTCCTGCTCTCCCTCACTCCCCGCCTCACCACCTTTACTCACCCCCTCCCATCCTCCCGCACTCCCCTCCACCGCTCTCCTCCGCGTTAAACCTACTGCAGTCCACATCCCGAGGGTCAGAGTGGGGTAGGAGGGTTGCTGCTTTGGCAGAAGCCACCACTGCTAGACTGGTTGCCTCAGAGGGTCGAAGGTACAAGAAGCGCGAGGAAGAGCAAGCGCAAGAGAAAGAGCAGGAGAAAGGGCAAGAGGGTCAGCATGAGCAGAGGGAACAGCAGCAGTTGCAGCAGCAGCAGAAGCAGCAGAAGCAGCAGCATCTGGGAGGGGCTGAGGCTGATTTTGAGACGTCAGGGCCTCCTGGGTTTGAGACGTCTAGAGATTCGGTACCTCCGGGTTTTCAGCTGAGGAGAACAGATGGGGACGGGCAGGGAGAAGGAAGGGAGGAGAGGAGCGAGGAGGGGCGAGTGAGATGTGAGGAAAGAGAGGGGAGAGAGAGCGTGGATGAGACAAGGTATGTGGAGGAGGGAGGAAAAGCGATGGTGACGGAGCAAGAGAAGAGAGTAGACTTGGAGTTAGGCAGGGTTCAGGATAGCAGAGGGCAGAGAGACAGGAGGGAGGAGCGGCGAGTGAGATGTGAGGAAAGAGAGGGGAGAGAAAGTGTGGATGAGGCAAGGAATGTGGAGGAGGCAAGGTATGTGGAGGAGGAGGAGGGAGGAAGCGAGATGGTGACGGAGCAAGAGAAGAGAATAGACTTGGAGTTAGGCAGGGTTCAGGATAGCAGAGGGCAGAGAGACAGGAGGGAGGAGGAGAGGCATGGAGCAAAAGGGAGTGGAAAGGAAGGGGAAGGGGATGGAGGAGGAAGAAGGGATAGAGGGAAGCGAGAAAGTGGAGGAAATGGGGATGAGGAAGGAGAGGAGGAGCGGAGGGACTTCAAGTCTGCTCGTTGTGAATCTAATGAGGTAGTTGGAAGGGCGACAGAAGCAAGGGGTGTGTGTGAGGGGAGTGGGAGTGAGAGTGGTGGGAAAATGGATAAAGCTAAGGCAGGAACAGGGGGAGTGAGTGTGCCTGCAGCAGGGGTGATTGTGACGGGAGGAATTCTGACAGGGTTGCAGCTATTGATGGGAGGTGGGAAGGCGCCAGGAGGGGGGATAGGGGGTGGTGGGGCGAAGGAGGAAGCAGTCGAAGCAGGAGGAGGAGGAAAAGGGGGCGAACGAAAAGGGGATGGAGGAAGAAAAGAGGTGGCGGGAGAAGGAGGAGGAGGAGAAGAAGCAGTAGGAGGAAGAAGAAAAGGAGGTGCGGAGGAGCAGAAGGGGAGTGTGGGGTTGAGGGCAGGGGAAGGGAGAGCAGACAGGAATGGTGTGGGGAGTGTTGCTGAGAGTGGTGGTGAGAGCGAGGGGGATGATAAGGTTGAGGGAGGTAGAGTGAGAGAGAAAGGTGGAGTAGGTGGGATGGTAGGAGCGTTGGGTGGGGAAAGAGAGAAGGATTTTGGTGAGATGTTGCAGGAGGGAAAGATGAAGGAGAGGTGGATGATAGGGAAAAGGGCAAAGGGTGATGTTACAGACAGTTATGGTGACCGTGCTGCTATTGGTGGTGGTGGTGGTGGTGGTGATGATGATGATGATGGTGGGAGGAAGGAGAGAGGGAAAGGAGAAAGGGGAGATGTGAAAGAAGGGGAGCAGCAGGATAGAGAGGAGAGGGAGACGGAGAAAGGGAGGGGAAGGAAGAGGGAAAGAGAGAGGGGAAGGGAGAGGGAAAGGGAGAGGGAGAGGGAGAGGGAAAGGGAGAGGCAGAAGGAGGGTGGGAGTGACAGTGGGTTGGAAGATGTCCCACTTGCAAAGAGACTGGTGCAGGGAGCAGGGGTGAAAGGGGGTTCTGCTATAGGGGGGGGAGCGGTGAAAGGGAAGAGGGGAGACGCTGAGATGGGAGGAAGAGTGGAAGGGCAAAAGAGACATGGTGAGGAGAAGAAGGTGCAAAAGGCGGAGGAAGAAGAGGAGGAAGGGGAAGGGGGGCAGGATCCCTGGTCACTTGAGGGTAGTCAACGTGATTGTGATGCTACTGCTGCTGCTAGTGCTGTTGCTGGTGCTGCTGCTGCTGCTGCTGCTGCTGCTGCTGATGCTGCTGATGCTGATGCTTCTGCTGCCTCTGAATCTGCAGCTGCTTCTACTGATGCTGCTAACAGAGACGTGACTCCTGATGCTCCTGCTTCTGCTAGTGCCAATGCTGCCGCTGGTGATGCCGCTGCCACCGCTGCTGCTGCTGCTGCTGCCGCCGCTGCTGCTGCTGATGCTGCTGCTGATGCTGCTGCTGACGCTGATGCGTCTGGCAGTGATGTGACTCCTGAGGACGTACATGCCGACAGCACTGCGAGTGACGACATTGGTGGTGATGACGCAGGGGTCACGTCACCGACAGCAATTAAAGCCTCAGGGGGTTCAAGCGCAGGTGATATAAACACAGGGCAATCCTTTCCAAGGCATGGCCCCTCTCCAAGACACGGCCTCTCTCCAACATATCACAATGAGGTTGGGGAGTTGGCAAGTCGAGGCACGGATGTGGACTTAACCACCGAATTGAACCGGCAAAGCGCTCATGGTGGGAATCACAAGGGCTCGTCTCACGGTCGCAGAAATGGGCAGATTATCAGGGATTTGCACGGTGGCATTGGTGTGACGGATATGGATGATGGCAGCCGAGGATTGACTGGGGATGGGGGGAGGGAGGATGGTAGTAGGGATGGGTTGAGTGAGGAGGAAGGAAGCGAGGGTGACAGGGGCGGAGGTGAAGCAAGTGCAGGCGAGATGCACCCTCGCTTCCCCACTAGGGATGAAGGAAGGGAGGGTGACAGGGGCGGAGGTAAAGCAAGTGCAGGCGAGAGGGGTGTGAGCTTGAGGAGCGCAGGTGTGAAAGGGAAAGAAGATGGAACGACAGGGGAAGATGAGGGGATGGAGATTGAGACTCCCCGACCCATGCCCGCCCTCCAGACGTTGCTAAGTACCAGCATACGCAAACCAAGAGCAGCTTTTGAGACATCTCAGAAGGTGGTGGTGGTAAGTAGCAGCAGCGGCAAACCAAGAGCGGCTTTTGAAACGTGTCAGAAGGTGCTGTTGGTGACTGGCAGTAGTCGTGGTGGCGGGGTGTTGCTGAGGAATAAGGGGGAAGAAGAGGAAGAAGAGGAGAAGGACGAGGAGGACGGAGACGGAGCAGAGGAGGAATTTGCGGAGGAAGAGGAAGAAGAGGAGGATGAGGGAGAGGAAGAGGAAAGCGAGGAGGAGGAGGAGGAAGAAGAAGAGGAAGGGGAGGAGAGTGAAACGGAGGAAGGGAGTGAGGGAGAAGAGGAGGATGTGGAGAGGGAGGGGAGGAGGATGATGACAAAGGGGTTATCAGAGGAGGAGGATGGGGAGGAGGGGGGGGAGGAGAGCGAAGGGCAGGAGAAGGAGGAGCTACTATTGGGCCGATTTATGCTGAGGGTGAGTGAGTCCCAGCCTTTTTATCTCTTACTAGTTGGTTTTTGAGGATTAGCAGGTTGATTCTCTCCTTGCCGCGTTTCCTACCTTCGCCGTAAATCCTACACCCCCATCCTCACAGGCACTAAGCAGTGGCCAGTGGAGGGAAGTGTCGTTGCCTCTCAGCCACAGGGCCCTCTCTCTTCACCTCTCCGTAGTTCTCTCACCTCTCTCCATAGCTCTCTCAGTGCCTCTGGTCCTTCCCCCTTCCTCGCAGGCACTAAGCAGCGGCCAGTGGAAGGAGGTCTCGTTGTCTCTCAACCGCCCGCCTTCCGCTCACTCACAACAGCCCCCTCTCGCTCTATCGCACCTCCCACAAGCACGCCCCCCTCTTCCTCTCCCTCCCTCGCACCTCCCACGTTCGACATCCATCCTCCGACACTCCTCCCCCTCCTTCACACCCTCGATCCGCCTGGTCTCTTGGGCCAACACAGCTCACCGCCTCTCCTTCCGCTCTGCTCTCCAAACCGAAGCTGCAGCTTTGGCTGCGGAAGGGCTGGATTCCGAGCCTAGGCATGAAGCTCGGCCGGAGGTTCGGCACGTGGCTCGGCAGTCTGTGCAGGCTCCGGCCCTGCTTCCCGAGCCTAATCTGCTTTTGGGGTGTCAGCAGGACGAACCGAAGCTGAGACAAAGAGAGGTAAACGTGCCTGGTGTAGGTCGTGGTTTAATGTGTGTTGAGAAGGAACGAGGCGAAGTGGATGGGACAGCTGCGGCGATTCAGAAGCCCTTGAAGGAGCGTGGTTGTGGTAGAGGTGTTGCATCTGACAGGAATGCAGCAAAGCAAGGCTTGGGTAGGGATCTAAGGCATGGGGAATCTAAGCAGGAAGCTGTTGCCAATCGCAACAGAAAGCTGGGGGTAGTGAGTGCTGCGGTTGCTGTTGCACTGGGGCAGAGGGAAAGCGCAGGAGGGAGGGCGAAAGGGTCATGTGATGGGGCAGGAGTGAGGGAGAAGGTAAGAGGTGGATTGTTTGGAGGTATTGGGGAGGGAAGGGAAGAGGAGGATGAGGATGAGGAGCTAAGGGTGAGTCCTTCAGGAAAGGTTGAGAAAGACAGGGGGGAGGAGAAGAAGGAGATGAAAGAGGAGGAAGAGGAGGAGGAGGAGGAGAGGAAAGAGGAGGAAGTTGAGGAAGACGAGGAGGAGGATGGGGAGGAGCGAAAGGCAAGTGCAGTTGGAGGTAGGAAGGTGGGAGGGGAGAAGAGGGAGGAGGAAGGAGGGGAGAAAAGGAAGAAAGAGGGAGGGCAGAAAAGCGAGAAGGAAGGAGGGAAGAAAAGAGAGGTAGCGGGCGAGGAGAAAGAAGAGAAAGTGGGAGGAAAAATCAGGGAGGACAAAGGGGGTGAGAAGAAGCGCTCTGACTCGAATAAAACCGCCGCTTTGTTAAGTGCTCAAAAAGGGTCAGATGCGAAAGCTAGGAAGGTCGGAGTGTACAAGGGTAGCTATTTGGACTGGGGCGTGGGGGCAAGCGGAAGTAGGGAAATGGGTACTAAAACGGTAAGTGGGGATGGCCTGGCTAGTGGTGGTGTGGGGATGGGTGGTCGGGGGATGGGTCACGTTGGTGTGGTTGGGGAGAGAAGTGCAGGGGCTGCTGCTATGGTGAAGGTGCAGGGTGATGGGAAGAGCTTTGAGGCGCCTCGTGAGAGAACGGCAGGGGCTGCTGCTCTGGTGAAGGTGCGGGGTGAGGGGAAGAGTGCTTTTATGGCAGCTTTTGAACAGCGGTTGCAGGCGGAGTTTACTGCGATGCGAAGCGGTGGGGTAGGGTTGGGGATGCAGGGGAGGGTGGGACATGAGGCGGGTCTCGAGCAGGACAGAATCAAGGCAGAATACGGGGGAGGGAAATGCAAGAGGGAAGAGGATGGGAAAGGAGGGGAGAAGCGAGAGGAGGGAGGAGAGGAGAGACGGAAAGGAGGAGTGGAGAGCGGTGGGATGGGAAGATGGGGTCCTTCTTATTATCACATGGAACAAAGTGCTTATAGGAACGGTGCGGGTGCAGAGAGGGGTGTGATTGTAGGGAGGGGCAAGGAGGAGGGGAAAGGCGAGCAAATGGAGAAGCGGGAGCAAATGTCAGAAAGTGGGAGAGGTGGGGAACTACAGTCAGGTGTCGCGACACACAGGAAGGACGATTGGCGTGAGGAGTGGGTGAGAAGGAAGATGAGACAGACACAGATGGAGGTGGAAAAGGAGCGGGAGAGGGAGAGAGAACGAGAGAAGAGGAGAGCGAGGGACGGAGGAGGTGAGGAGAAGGGAAAGCATAGGAGGAGGAAGGAGAAGAAGAGAAGCAAGAGTAGGCGGTTCGCAGAATGGTCGTCTGATGAGTGGATGGGAGCAGATGAGGGAGAGGAGAGGGGAGAGGAAGGGAGGTCCGGTGCAGGTTTATCTGCTAAGAGAGAGGGCGATTGGGAGGGGGAGAGAGAGCAGGAGAGAGAGCAGGAGGAGGGGAGTGAGAGTGATTCAAGAGGAGAGAGTAGGGGGAGGAGGAAATGGAAGAAGAAGAAGAAAAGAAGGAAGGGTGACGGGGAAGAGGGGGGTGGTAGTGGGAGCGAAGAAAGAGAAAGAGACAAAGAGGAGAAGGGCGAAGCCAGCTGGCGCGTTCCTATTGGCACGGAGCGCCAGCTCATGCGATACCTTCAGAAAGCTTCAGCTGGTCCAATCCACGGTTTAGAAGCTGGTTCTGCTTCTGCTGCTGCGTTTAGAAAATCGAAGTCTTCTGAATCGGTTCCGATCCCACATGCAGCTGGAGCGAGGAGAAAGAAAAAGTCTGCTGGTGTACATTCAGGTGGAGCGAGGACAGAGAGGCAGCTTATTCTGGCTACCAGGCAGGTGGAGGAGCAATCGGGTGGGCTGTTGGGTCAAGGGAGTGGGGAGGAGGAGGATGAGGTGGAGAGGGAGGAGGAAGAGGCGGAACAGGAGGAGGAAGATTATGCGATGAGGGATGAGGGTGATGTGAAGAGAGAGGAAGGAGTTGGTTTTGAGAGGGAGCTGGAGGGGAGGGTTTCTGCGCTCAGTGATGGTCATGGGGAGGGTGCGGGAATGCATTGGGGAATGGAGGACGAAGAGGAAGAGGAGGAGAGGAGGAAAATGCGGAAGAAACAGAAGCTTGATGAGGGGGGCTGGGAGGAGAGGCAGGAGAGGAAGGAGCGGAGGGAGCAGGAGAAGAGGGAGAAGAGGGAGAAGAGGGAGAAGAAAGAGAAGGAGAAGAAGGAAAGGGAGAGGAAGCGGAGGGAGAGGTCGACATGTGCGCGCGTGGAGTGGGGCGGATGGGAGTGGAGAGAGCACGTGAAGCAAGCAGCGCAGAGAGAGGCACTAAAGCAGCGCGCCGAGGCGTACTATAAAGGGGATAGAGGCGAGGGCGCGGGAGAATGGGAAGCAGACGGCTCAGGGCCGGGCGCAGGAGCGTCCATGCGCACTCCTCGCATGCTCTCCCGGGCTAATCTTTCCCAAGCCAACCTCCCTGGTTCCTCTTCCCGCCTCCCTCTGTTTGCCTCTGGTGGGGGTGGTGGAGTGGGGTCGCTAGGAGGAGGAGGAGCAGCAGCAGGGGAGGAAGCATGGGAGGGGATGGGCGCAGGCACTAGCATGGGGAGTGGTTCTCTTACTCTAATAGGCAGTGCCCGGAGCAGCAGGGCGCTGCTGAGGCAGCTAGCGGTGGGTTCAGAGGGGTTGGAAGGGGTGAGGTTCAAGCAGCTGAAGGGGAGGAAGAAGAACCTGAAGCTGGTGCGGAGTCGGATACACGGATGGGGGCTGCTGTCCCTGGAGCGGATCGAAGCAGGGGATTTCATCATCGAGTATACCGGGACGATTATCCGGCGATCGGTGAGTGCTGGGATGATCGGTGAGTGCTGGGATGATCGGTGAGTGCTGGGATGATCGGTGAGTGCTGGGATGATCGGTGAGTGCTGGGATGATCGGTGAGTGCTGGGATGATCGGTGAGTGCGTAAACGTTTGAAACGTTGGAAGGTTTTGCGTCTCCCTCTTCTTTTACACCCCCCTTCCCCCCCGACACGCACACACACATTTAGTCACACACATTTAGTCACACACTTTTGAGTCGACTCAAAAGGTTTTGCGTCTCCCTCTTCTTTTTAACTCACATACACATACCGCACCCACCGGGCGTTAAAATCACAAGAACGGATGTACGAGGGGGATGGCATTGGCAGCAGCAGAAGCTACTCTGCATCCACGCACCTGTACTGTGAGCTCACCTTCTCTGCATTTCAACTCCCACCACCCATCCACCCATCAGGTGTCGGAATTACGGGAGAGGATGTATGAGGCTGATGGCATTGGCAGCAGCTACCTGTTTCGAGTGGATGAGGACGTGGTGGTGAGTGGTGGGGAGTGGTGGAGAACGATGGGGCAGAGGGAATTTGTGACATTCAGTTGTTCATTGGCAGCAGTTACAAATCACCTCTGCCCCACATCGTTCCGAGCCCGTTCCGAGTAACTGCTTGTCCCGTTCCGAGTAACTGCTTGTCCCGTTCCGAGTAACTGCTTGTCCCGTTCCGAGTAACTGCTTGTCCCGTTCCGAGTAACTGCTTGTCCCGTTCCGAGTAACTGCTTGTCCCGTTTCGAGTAACTGCTTGTCCCGTTTCGAGTGGATAAGATTGCGGTGCTGAGGTTGAGGAGTGTTTTGGAGAGAGCATCTGTTGTCGTTTTCCTTGCACCAAGGATGGAATGCCATTGTCGTTTTCCATGGGTGTTCTTATACGTGTAAAGCAAAAATTCTTCTTCTATATGCTTCAAGCAAAAATCCTTCCATCGGTTTTCCTCCCCCATCCCTCCTCTCCCTCCCCTCCTCTGCAACCACTCAGGTGGACGCCACTCGCAGCGGCGGCCTCGCTCGTTTCATCAGCCATTCAAAGCTTCCCCTGCCCACTCCCCTGCTTTGCGTTATCCTGCTCTGCTCCCCACCCTTGCTCATTTGCTCAGGTGGACGCCACTCGCAGCGGCGGCCTCGCTCGTTTCATCAACCACTCATGTGATGTGAGTGTATCTTGTTAGGCCCCTGAAACAAAACTCGTTACTCAGAGGAGCCGTGAAGGCAAACTTGTTAAAATTTATCAACCATGCATGTGATGTGGGTGGGTGACATGTGTACTGCGACCTCATCTCCAGTCGCTTACACAACCCCTTCTCTTTTCCCTATCCTCCTGTCCTACCCCCCAGCCCAACTGTTACACCAAGGTGATAGTGGCAGACGGGCAGAAGCACGTGGTGATACATCACCTTGGTGTAGCAGTGCTCGCAATTCACTTCAATGTTTCCAGTGGATCTGTTTCCAGTGGATCTGTTTCCAGTGGATCTGTTTCCGTCCTCCCCTCAATGCCCGCGATTCTCTTCAACGTTTCCCTTCTTCCCCCCTCTCATGCCCCCTCGCCCCTTCCAGCCCAACTGTTACACCAAGGTGATAGTAGCGGACGGGCAGAAGCACGTGGTGATCGACTCCAAGAGGGTAATTCCCTTCCTTCCTGCCTTGTTCCACACCCCTTTCACCCTTCCTCGTCCCCCCTCCCCCTCTTCCCTCCACCCCTCCCTTCCAGCCCAACTGTTACACCAAGGTGATAGTAGCAGACGGGCAGAAGCACGTGGTGATCGATTCCAAGAGGGTAATTCCCTTCCTTCCTGCCTTGTTCCACACCCCTTTCACCCTTCCTCGTCCCCCCTCCCCCTCTTCCCTCCACCCCTCCCTTCCAGCCCAACTGTTACACCAAGGTGATAGTAGCAGACGGGCAGAAGCACGTGGTGATCTACTCCAAGAGGGTAATTCCCTTCCTTCCTGCCTTGTTCCACACCCCTTTCGCCCTTCCTCGTCCCCCCTCCCTCTCTTCCCTCCACCCCTCCCTTCCAGCCCAACTGTTACACCAAGGTGATAGTAGCAGACGGGCAGAAGCACGTGGTGATCTACTCCAAGAGGGTCATTCAAGTGGGGGAGGAGCTCAGCTACGACTACAAGTTCCCCATTGAGGACGACGCTAAGATCCCCTGCCTCTGCTTGTCTAGAAAGTGAGTCTCCCCTCGTGCATGACTGGTTCCGCGTCTTGTTCGTGCTGGTATCAAGCGTGCTCCAAGCGGGTGATCCAAGCTCAGTTACGACTACAAGTTCCCCATTGAGGACGATGCCAAGATCCTCTGCCTCTGCCTCTCCAGAAAGTGAGTCCCCTGTGGTTTGCCCCTCAACGCTGCTCCCTCACGCATGGTCTGGTCCTTGCCCACTCACCACTCGTGATTGAAGGGGGGAGGGGGGGGGGGGGGGGGGTCTGAGACGTTTGAAAGCAGTTCCACTTTCTTGCAACTCTAGCTCCGCCAGGGCATCCCCATGTGCATGCCTCTCTCCCTTCCCCACCTTTTTCTTCCTTTTCTCCAGATGTTGAGGCTACTTCTTGCTTAGTTCACTCAAAAAATCTCCCCACAACCTCGCCCTGTCCTCTCTTTCTTTCCTCCAGGTGCCGTGGCTACCTCAACTGACCATTCACTCACACAGCATCAGTAACAGCATTGGCACCAGCATCGACATCAGCATCGGCACCAGCATCGGCATCAGCCTCGGCACCAGCATCGGCACCAGCATCAACATCAGCATCGGCACCAGCATCGGCACCAGCTTCGGCTCCAGCTTCGGCACCAGCATCAGAATCGCAAGCGATTGTCAACCCAGAGATCACCTACTGGAACCTGGAAAACAACTCAGGGGCAAACTCTCCCGTACGTGTGCTTTGGAGACGTTTCAAACTTGTGCTTGGAATCTCTTCATTTTCCCCCATCAGCGCTCGCAGCTACCTGCCTCCATCCATCCGCTCCCATTCGCCGCTGTTCACGGGTACACTTTCTGAAAAGAAGCAGTACTGTGTGTTGTCGTATAATTCCTGACCAGCCACCGTGCAATATACACCACTTACCTACTCAGTAGTTTTATTACGCGACCCAGCAGCCCACACGTCTTGGGGGTCTAGCTCATCATCAGTACAGAGAAACACTTCAAAGCTTCTGAGGGTTCCAGTGTGCATGCAGCTGCCACTGTATATCCGTCACAGATTTCCCGATACGGTAATAATGCAACTGCCGCACCTCTGTTGGAGCAGAAACAGGGTGCCTTTGGATTGGAGCAGAAGCAGCAACGGCAAGTGTGAAGAAACATCGTCCTGGAACTGATACCAGGCAAAACCTTTACCGTACTGGATATGTTTTTTCTTTCTCATGCTGCTGCTTCTGCACATGAAGCAGACCAAAACCTGCCAGAGATCTTGAAGGTCGACAATTTTGTCGCTACACATGCACCAGACTACGGGCGCTTTTTCATTGCCAGGTGCTTCAATACCTCAATCATCCTTACTGCAATAAGCGTGCTCTGTGCTATCTGGTCTGGAGATTACTGCATTGTGTTATGTTATGGTCCCACTATGAATATGCTTTTAATCAAGGACAAGGAGTTCCTTCAAGCTGCAGCACTTGGCAGGTGTAGCTGCAGACACGACTCAAAACTTCGTCCACAAGCAGTGCAGCACTAGTAAATACCGTATGTTATGCAACGCAAGGCTTGTACATAGATGGCACATCTGTGCATGGTTTGTCTGTAAATAATTATACATTTATTCGTTTATTAGCACAAATGAAATTAGTTGAGCCACTCCATATCATTCTTGTGTAATCTGCAATTCAATTGTCATAACCCCCAGCCCTCAACGTCCCCATTTCCGATTCCCCATGACCCTTATCAAACGTTCCTAACCCAACCGGGTCGCCCCCAACCCAACCGTCGCGTCAATCCCGAGATGATGCCTCTCGGGCATGTCCCTCCCTCCCTCTGCTCCACCGCCATCGACACACAGGCATGTCACGTCAATTCCAGTTGCAGCGCAGTCCCCAGCAAGTCCCGCTAGACGACGGCTTCCGAAAGCCGCGACGCGAGGCAACAGATGCAGGCCTCACAGGCGCGTTTCGCGATCCGTGCGCCCGAAACCGCCGACATAATCCTACGATCCGATTGGAAGCCACGTCATATTTTACCGACATATACGCCGGCATGTCCCCAGCATCTCGCTCTTATCATCGACTTGCAGCGCGGCACGTCCATCCTCGGGGACGTGTACGGCCCTCCGTCTCTGCTGCTGCCGCACCTCCTCCTTCACTCTTTTCCCTTGGCAGAGTTCTTTCTTGCCAAGATTCGTCCTCGCCGCCTCGCCTCTGCCTAAAATCGCTGGAAATGCGTGCACGCTGTCATTCCCTCTCTTCCCTCTGAAAGTGGGGAATGGGAATCCTTCTGTTGCAAGCTTATGATTCTCCTGTCCAGATCTCCCAAGAATCAAACCATTAAAACCCGCGTCTCATAATTTCTACCGTATTACACTAAGTTTGGGGGGGGCACCTGGGATTGGTCCACGAGCAGCGAAATTGCTGACGAGAGGAGGGGTCGTTCGCACGAAACCAAAACACTGTACAAACAACACCAAACCTACAGCCCTAACCTGGGCACACCCCCACCCTGGTACAACACTGGTTCGTCATCAAAAACACTCCTTGCGACCCACCCATGCGACAAACACACCCCCCCCCGCACATCGTCATCCACACCAACGTGGGCGACGGGAATCACTTCTGATTACTAAAGTAGCACCAGTCACACCTTCCCAATACTACATTACGGCAGAGACCCGCCCCAGCCACTATCGTCATTAGAGTACTACACCGCCCGAATACAGCTCTATCGCACGGGAGTAGCAGCACGACGGAAATCTCGCTTCAGGATTAGCAATGTCAAGCTACGCGGATAATGGGGACGAGGCGGGTTCAGGGGAATGCGATGCGGAACGATCCGCCGTCGAAACCGCCCGTGAGTACAACAACGCGCGACATTAGCGGTCGCGTATCACCCATCCCCCCCCCCCCCCCCCCCCCCTCCCTCACGAAAGTGTCCCGCGCATCAGCCTCCACGATTTCGCCCCTGCAACCCCACTGGCGCCAACACCGCGCTCCCCCGGGATCACTCTCTTATTCCCCACCGTCGCCCTACGCGCTTCCTCATAGCCTCAACTCCCCGGTCCCCTCGCAATCACTCCCCTGCCCCGTCGCTGTCTCTCCCCTACCCCCGCGCGTGCGTCCCCGTTTTCCCCCATGCGCGCCGGCCCCCGCCCCCTCGCGATAACTCCCCTTCCCCGTCGCCCGTGGTCCCCTTCCCCGTCTCCATCCCTCCCCTTTCCCCACGCTAACACTCCCCTACCGTGTCGCGTTCACTTCCCCCCTCCTCCCAACCACTCCCCTTCCACGTCGCGCTCACCCCCTTTCAAAGGTCTATCACTGCCCTGCCCCATCGAAAACTCCCCCTTTCCCCACTGCAAGCAATCCTCTCCCCTGTCCCTATCACTCCCCTTCCCCCCACGCGACCATTCCCCTGCCCCCGTCACGATCACCCCCTCTCGCTGACACGTCCTCGCCCCTTCCCCCTCGCTCGCGTGCACGTTCCCCCCACCTGCGCGCCCTCCCCTTCCCACGTCACCAGCACGCCCCTTCCTCGTCGCACTCTCTCCTTTTCCCCCTCCACTCGAGTGCCGCCCTCCCCTTCCCCTCCGCAAGCACTCTCCTCCCCCACTGCTATCACTCCCCTTCCTAGTCGCCCTCTCTCCCCTTCCCTCTCCACACTCGTCAACCACCCCCCCCCCCCCCACCTCACGCCCTCCCCTTCCCCTTCGCAGGCACGATGCCTGCTCCTGAGCTATCTCTCCCTTTCCCCACCGCTAGCCATCTCCTTCCCCACTGCTATCACTCCCCGTCCCTAACACTACCCTTCCCCCTCGCGGCCACTCCCCTTCCCCCGTCAATATCACTCCCCTCACCGTCGCATTCTCACCCGCTCCCCCTCCACACTCGTGCCGCCCCCCCCCCCCCTATCGCCCGCCCTCCCCTTCCCCTTCGCAAGCACTCCCCTGCTCCTTCGCTATCTCCTCCTTTCCCCCTCGCTAGCTCTCCCTAAATCCGCCCGCTAGCCATCTCCATCCCCACTGCTATCTCTCCGTCCCCGTCCATCTCACTCCCCTTCCCCCCACGCGACCATTCCCCTGCCCCCGTCACGATCACCCCCGCTCGCTGACACGTCCTCGCTCCTTCCCCCTCGCTCGCGTGCACGTTCCCCCCACCTGCGCGCCCTCCCCTTCCCACGTCACCAGCACGCCCCTTCCTCGTCGCACTCTCTCCTTTTCCCACTCTACGCGAGTGCCGCCCTCCCCACTCCCCTGCTCCTTCGCTATCTCTTCCTTCCCCCCTCGCTAGCTCCCCCCGCCCCCGCCGCTAGCCCTCTCCTCCCCCACTTCTATCTCACGCTATCCCCGTCGCATGCACTCCCCTGCCCTCATCGATAGCACCCCCGTGACCGCCGCTAGCAGGGGCCTGCCATGTCGCACGCACCCCGCTCGCCAACCGCCACATCTTTCCCCTCTCCCATCCATCGCTCTCCCCTTCCCCGACGCCAGTAATCCCCTTCCCCGTGGCTGGCACTCCCCTCACTAACGGACTACTACCACACCCCTTCTAGATCGATGGCACGCACCTTCCATGTCACCAGGTCCCGCATCACCATTCGTTGAACGACCCTTCCCCCCCAACCCATCACTCCACTGCCGCTAGCACACCCTTCCCCTGTCACTATCGCGACCTCCCCTCCACCATCACATGGCAGCGCGACAGCGGTCGGGTATGTGCTCCGCTAGCGGATGCGCTAGGCAACCCGTCTCTAGCGGGCTGGCGGTTGCGTCTGGGTGGGACAGCGTCGAAATGACTGAAGGGCGAGAATATGTCGGAGCTACATAAGGGGTCGCTTGGCGACCCATACGCTGGTTACCCGTTTTCAACCATATTACACTTGGTTGGCATGACGGAATTATGAGACGCGGGCTTTAAAGCCATGGCAGCCATTTCCGCCTCGCCTGCTGCAAAACTCTCTGCTCTTCGTGTCGCAACGGCGACATGCGCGACTCGGTCCCTGCGACTCGGAACGACGGATCAATGTCGTCGCATGACGATGCGACGTCGCCACTACCACGCCTCCAAAATCACTCATAAAAACGACCAAGAAGGCATGGCTGGCGGTAGTAGGCTCACTCAGCCGCGAAGTTCCTCCAATCCGACAGCCGGAAATGAGTCGAACACAGCGCTAATCGCGGTGGGAAATCCGATCGCTGTGACGGAACTTCCGCCGCCCTCATTCCACGTGGACGTGGCGATTGCGGGCGGCGGGCTCGCGGGGCTCGCGCTCGCCGCCGGCCTGCAGTCGCGCGGCGTCGAGGCGGCCGTTTTCGAGGCAGCGCCCGCGCTGCGATCGAGCAACAGCACCGTCCTCGTCATCTGGCCGAACGGCGCCGCCGCCCTCGACGGAATCATGCCCGGATTGAGCGCTTCCGTGGCGCGACACGGGACGCTGGTCAACCGGCGGAGGCTCTACAACCGGCGCAAGCCGCCGCCGCCGTCGTCGGCGCCAGGCGGAGCGGAAAGCGGGCCGGGGGAAAGCGGGTGCGCGGAACGCGATGTAAGTGGCGCCAGTGGCGCAAGGGCAGGTGGCGGAAGTGCGGTTGGGGGCGACGGAGCTACACCAAGTTCTGATTGGATGGTGGCGGAGACGGAAGAAGCGGGGCTAAATATGGTGCCCTGGCGGCGCATCCAAGAGGCACTCGCGTCGGCGCTGCCTCGGCCTGATTTGGTGCATTGTGGGCATTGCGTGGTGGGGTACCGCCCTGTGTTGACGCGCAGGGATGGCGGGGAGGGGGCAGCGGGCGAAACGGGGGGGACGGGGTGGGCACGGGAAGCGGGCGGAAGAGCGGGGGGAGCAGGGAGAGTGAGGGGAGCGGGAGAACCGGGGGAGGGGAGTGAAGCAGGGGAAGGAAGTGAGGTGGAGGCAGTAGATGTGATCTGTGAGGTCGCGGGTTCGAATCCTGGCGAGACGCAAATAGTGGTTGTGAGGGCGAAGGTGCTGGTGGGGGCTGATGGGGTGCGATCAGCTGTGAGGGATCAAATGATTGGCGATTCGCCGCGGTTTCTCAATCAGATCGCATGGAATTCGTTCCTGAGTAGCACTCCAGCTGATGTCAGCAGGACCCCAGTTGATGTCAGCAGGACCCCAGTTGATGTCAGCAGTCTGGCTGATGTCAGCACTGCAGCTGATGCCAGCAGCCCAGCTGACGTCAGCAGCTCAGGAGAATCATCATCCACGGCTGTTAGCGTATCAATAGAGGCCGCTGTTCCGGAATTGACGGCCCTGATCAACGAGGTGACGGGATGCAGTGCGATCTTCATCACTTTGAAGAACGGCGAGAGATTCTGGCAGGTACAGTACTGGGAAGTATTGTTTTGGCAGGTACAGTGAGGGCAAGTACGGGGACTGACAGATATGGTACTGGCAGCTACAGTAGTGACAGGTACGGAATGCCTGGTATGATTGTGGCAGGTATGGTTGTGGCAGGTATGGTTGTGGCAGGTATGGTTGTGGCAGGTATGGTTGTGGCAGGTACGGTTGTGGCAGGTATGGTTGTGGCAGGTATGGTTGTGGCAGGAATGGTTGTGGCAGGTACGGTTGTGGCAGGTATGGTTGTGGCAGGTATGGTTGTGGCAGGTATGGCTGTGGCAGGTATGGTTGTGGCAGGTATGGTTGTGGCAGGTATGGTTGTGGCAGGTATGGTTGTGGCAGGTACAGCGTCCTCCCTCACATCCACGTTAACCTGCCTGTGCTGCACCCCTCCTCCTGTTCGCCTTTCCCTTCTCCTCCGGTACGATAACTAGACCATGAATTGCACCCCACACTCCAAGACACCCCACTTGCAAGCTTCAGCAGCAAGCAGGGCGTTAAAGCCCTCTTCCTCCCTCTCTCTCAACCCCTCCTCTCCATTCTCTCCCTCCCCTCCTTCAGGTGAGATACATGGACTATGAAGTAGACCCCACACTCCAACCCCCCTTCGCAAGCTTCCCCAGCGGGCAGGGCATTAAAGCCCTTCTCCTCGCACTCAACCCGTCCTCTCCAACCCTCCCATTCTCCTATCTCTCCCTTTCTCGAGGTGTGGTACACAGATTCTGAAGTAGGCCCCACACTCCGACCTCCCTTCGCAGGTCTCGCACCTCATTCTACGCCTAAAAGGCCTCCCCTGTTCTTCTCCCTTCCTTCAGGTGCGATACGTTGATTATGAAATGGACCCCACACTCCAAGACACCCCCTTTGCAGGCTTTGGCAGCAAGCAGAACATTAAAGCCCGCCTGCTCCCTCTCATCCAAGCCAACCTCCCCCACCACCCCCTTTGGAAACGAGCCTTTCAAGAAGCTTCCTCAACCCCGGAGAATCTAATCTTCGAGCGCCGCCAGCTGGATCGTCCGCCGCCTGCTTACTCATGGAGCGACCCTGTATGCGGTAAAAGGGTTGTTCTTATAGGGGATGCGGCTCATGCCATGGATCCTGGGCCGGGGCAGGGGGCACTGACAGGGTTTGAGGATGCTCACCAGTTGAGCCTGTGCTTGAGTGAGGCTCGGGATCCGGACCTGCTTACCAAGCCTGCTGCTGTGGCTGCGGCGGTTCGGGAGTTTGAGGCTCGGCGGATAGGGCGGTGCTTGAAGGTGCATCGGCATGCGACTGGGCTGATTGGGTATGGGGAGGAGGGGAGGGAGTTCAAGAGGAGGAGTGTGATGGATCAGATGAAAGCTAGCATGGAGTTCACGAGGTGGATGTATGCTTACCCTGACAAGATCGACGGCGATCAAGATTCCACCCTTTTCCAGTAAAGTGACTTCAGTCTGGGGAACAAATTATAAAAGTTACCGTTGAGTTCTGCAGGCTAGTCGGTGCCTACCCAGCAAGGGCGGATTGTGCATCGAATGGGAGAAGTTCAAGAGGGAAAGAGGCCGGTGAAAGGTTTGATTGAATGCATGAAACGCATGAATGGTACCGGGACTCCTCTCCCAATAAGATCAATGGACATCCAGCCAGATTCCACATGAACGGCCTACTCTAATCAAGCAAATGGGCCTGTTATGTTAAGGTACTTGATACACTGTATCGTAAACCTTTTTCCACGCAATGATTATTATACAGGACAAGTACACTTTCCTCCTACCATGCAATGATAATTAAACAGAACAAGTACCGTACCTCCTTCCTTGCCCAAACTGTGACTATCACACATGCACTTGCTCGTACGGTAAATTTGTGAAGCTCATGCATTACATGGCACGTTTCCTTCCTATGCCATATTTACAGCCAGAAACAAGCCGGGGCATGCAGTACATATGTGTGCTATCAATCCTTGCCATGTGAGTCCACATGCGCAGCCATGCTGGCGAGAATTAAGGTAACAGAGGGGTAAGGGTGGGGGAGGAAAGGGCAGAGGGGGAAAAGGGGGTGCCCCAGAGAGGCGGGCCTCGGTATTCCCAAGAATTGCTCGAAGAAGGCTGTCTGTCACACCATTTCAAGCTCATGCCAAGTGAGAGGAAAGGAAGAGACGAGCAGTGAATAAGTAGGGGAGACAACGGAGGGGGATTGCAGAGAGGAAAGGGGGTCTCGAGGGTGCATCTCTGTAACTCTAAGAAGGCTGTATTATGCCGCTTCAAGCTCATGCCAAAGGAGGGGAGTGGGGGAGATGAGGGGTGAGTTGGTAGGGTTGATAAGGGAGGGGAGAAGCAGAGGCGGAAAGGGGTTACCCAGGTTGCACCTCGGTAACTCTAAGAATGCTGTCTCATGCCACTTCAGGCTCATGCGAAATGAGGGGAGTGGGGGAGATGAGGGGTGAGTGGGTAGGGGTGATAAGGGAGGGGAGAAGCAGAGGGGGAAGGGGTTACCCAGGTTGCACCTCCGTGACCCTAGGAATGATGCCCCATGCCGCTCCAGGCTCATGCCAAAGGAGGGGAAGGGGGGAGACGAGGGGTGAGTGGGTAGCGGAGAGAAGGAGGGGGAGTGCAGGAGGGGGAAGGGGTTACCCAGGTTGCACCACGGTAACTCCAAGAAGGTTGGCCCATGCCACTTCAGGCGAAAGGGAGGAAGGGATCGGAGGGGGTATGAGGGGTAAACAGGAGTAGAGCTGAGGGGTGAGTGGGAAGAAAGACGAGGGGAGAGTGGGGGGGATGAGGGAAGGCAAAGGGAATATGAGGAGATGAAGGGAGGACAGGGGGGGCGGGAGCAGGCGGAAACGAGGGGAGGGCGGGGGAGATGAGGGGGGAGCGGAGGGGGATGAGGGTGAGACGGAGAGGGGATGAGGGGAGAACGGGGGAGATGAGGGGAGAGCGGAGGGGGATGAGGGGAGATCGGGGGAGATGAGGGGAGAACGGGGGGGGTTGATGAGGGGAGGGCGGGGGTTGATGAGGGGAGAGCGGGGGGAGGCGAGGAGAGGGAGGGGGGAGAACAAGGAGAGCGCGGGGGGGATGAGGAGAGAGCGAGGGGATGAGGAGAGGGGAAAGTGGGGTTTCACGGCATGGAGTTTAGATATAAAGTTCTCCGTTACGCGAGAGCATGTAACATGCTCACCGAAAGGCGAGGTTCGCGAGAGTGTGTAGCAAGCTCGATGACCTCTCTTCTCCCTTATCCGCCCTCCCTTTGCCTCTTGCCAGTCTATTGCCTCCATTCCATCTTGGGTTCATCCCGTGCATCCCACCCTCTCACGTTTCCCCTCCATATTGAGTTCCTCGTTTCTAATGTCTTGAGCAACGGTTCAGATTAAAACGCCTGCGCTTCGCGTGCCTAACAAGATCGACTGAAAGCCGCAATGCCGACGTGCTCTAAAGTCGACGTTGATCAAGCGACTGCATGATGATTATCCGCAAATCGGCACTAATATTTCGTCTGCAAATCGATGCTACTATTCCTCCCGCGGTTTGTAACCTAAAAATCGTTAGATCTTACCACTACTGGCTGCTTATTTCACTTGAACCTGAGACCAGTACTCGGTCAGATATTAGACGTGGGAAGCAGCTTCAGATACTAAAAGTTGGAAGCGGCAAACATTGAACCGATAGCGCGGCGCGACTGATAGAGTTTATTGCAAGGAGAGTTGAGGGACTCGAGCTAATCGGCGAAATGAAAACCAAGAATGTACAGTAAACGATATTTCCAGTCTCGGCTCGGCGATGAGCTGGACGGGGAATGAGCTGGAGGGTGGCGGATGAGGACGAGATACACCCCCTCCTTCGATTGGCTCGCATGATCTTTTCTCAGTCACCACTTGTCAATTTCATCTGCCCCGATCAGGTTCGCAAGGAACAAAAGAACTGTGAGAGCACCAGAACCTTCCGTTCACAAATCTGGTACCCATCTCAACGCAATCCCGCAATTCACGCACGTTTTTTCGCAAATACTCATACTCGGTCTATGTATGTAGAATACATGTGCCACGTCAACCACCTCCTAAAGCCCCAACCTTTTGTACCCGATATCAGACCACAACACAGCGATACACGTCCTCAGCAGATTCGCCTGTAGAAAACCGCAACCAAACCACATAACGTTAGTACCCTTGAACTGTACATATCAAATTTGTTCACGATGTCGGGTCGCGTTGGGTTGAGACCAAGTGAGACATTTGGGCCGCCTCGTTTCATCGGGAACGCTTTCTGATTTTCTAGGCGGAAGTTCTCTTTGGCGGCGCCAGCCACCATACCACACCCTCCAACAAAAACACCCCTCCAAATCTTCACCATTCATCGACGGCGGCAATGATCTCCACCATACGTTCACTATTTCGCGAATTAGCTTGGTATTCTAACGGTACCAATGCACCATACCAGAGGCCCCGCGCTTGATCGCAACGCGCCGCACTCAGCAAATAACAGCGGCTGTAATCTACCAACACACGCAATAGCTTTGGGGAGTCCACATGCACACATTCGGGTCGCCTTGAAAGTCCCCATGGAATACGTTCTCTGACACTTCCAAGGCGGGGAATCTCTATGGTGACGGCGACCATCGCATCATGTCACATCACTATGTCACATCGCTTTGATTAATCTTCACCATTCATTGGTGAAGGCTATCATCTACACCATCGGTTCGTCATAAAGTCGCTTCCTGTGACCCGCAAACTAGCCGCACCCCTTCCCGCGATGTAGCAGCAGCGAAGGTCCGCGCCGCATTGCGCCACGCCTCACCGCCAACGACAACTTGAGTCAGGGCGGGGATCATCGATAAATGATACCGAACCTGGATCGCCGCACCGCAAACATTTTGAGACGCGCCGCGCCGCTTGCGCAGCCCGCACCGCACCCAGAAGTTTCCGACACGGATGGTCGTTTCCATCGACACACACTCCTCCTTTCAACCAACTTGTTCGATCGTCCCTTTCGTTCCATCCATCAGAGGCACTACAAGTTCCTATCGTCAAATTCATTCTCGGATTTCAACCTTTCCAATAATTACATCGGAAGGATTATTTAGAGGAGCTCCGTCCCCATGAGCTCCGTCTCCATAAGCTCCGTCTTAATGAGCTAGTACCTGTGGACTTCATGCGACAAGCTCTCGGAGCAGTCTAAGCTACGTCATGAATCCACCCAAGCTAGTACGAGGGAATGGCCAAGGCAAGCAGCAGCGCGTCTTAGAGTCCGCGTAGGTTCGCGTAGGCGTTAGAGTTAGCGTAGAGTCTAGAGTCGTGGGTGGGGTGGGTGGGTAGAGAGTCTAGAGAGCTGCTTGCAAGCCTTGGCCGGAACCTTGTACTACGCCCCGTTCTTCGCGGCAAGAACTACATCGCGAGAACGCTACGGTGAAACTTCGCCTCTCTCCACGGCGAACGGCGACATCTTCACCGAGAAATCGTCGCCGCGAGATCTTTCACAAGATGATCTTCACTTCAAGAGCTTTGAAGACCACAAGGGCACTTCCCCCGACGCTGCTGGCGCCAAGTCTTTCTCAAGACTCCTTCAAGCAGAGGTAAGAACAATGATCACTCGTCTTTCCCTCGCCTTTTGCATTAATCACCACTTTCCTGTATAAGATCTAACATATTCACTTTCATCCTGCAGACAACCGCCTTCAACCAATCTCAAGCAATCTCTACTGAAGGCATCAAGCCCGCGAGCTCTCAAGTGCAGCGCCTTCAAGTCAAGATGGCCGCTCTTCTCGTCGACGCGGGTCCACTGTTGCACGACGCTTCCCCCGTCGCATGACGGCAGCCGTCTCCCGTCAGAAGGCGTTACGTCTCCCGTCGAACGGAGCATGGCGGATCGGGCTTTAAGCTTCGGGTTCGCTAAGACCCAATCTTCTTGTCCGAGCGGAGGTACGTGCGAAGTCTTGCTGCCGACGTTTTTCTCCGTTCTTCCAAGAGAGACTCTAAATTACTCTCTTTCTTTCTGCAGATGATACTACCTTTGGGAGCCTCTTGTCCGACGCATGGCGCCCCACTTCTTCCTTCGCACGCTCATGGCTGCGGACAGAGGCATCCGTCGCACGGCGCATGAGGAGCGGATGACTACGCCTCTGCTTTCTCATGGCGGCGCATTTCCCAGCCCTTCACCTCCGTCTACCTCTCTTGGTGAGTATCGTCCATTTCAGCTAGTGCTTTCTTAACGATTTACTAATTTATTTCTTGCGTCTTGTGTCTTAGTGCAGAAGGAGCGGGATGGAGAGCTGTTAGCGAGCAAGGGAGTCACACCGGCAGCACTCTCCCTCTCTTGGTGAGTGTCGTCCATTTCAGCTAGTGCTTTCTTTACGATTTACTAATTATCACTTCTTTGTCTCGTGTCTTAGTGCAGAAGGAGCCGGATGGAGTGCTGTCAGCGACCAAGGGAGTCACACGGGGAGCGCTCTCCCTCTCTTGGTGAGTATCGTCCATTTCAGCTAGTGCTTTCTTTACGATTTACTAATTATCTCTTCTTTGTCTCGTGTCTTAGTGCAGAAGGAGCCGGATGGAGTGCTGTCAGCGACCAAGGGAGTCACACGGGGAGCGCTCTCCCTCTCTTGGTGAGTATCGTCCATTTCAGCTAGTGCTTTCTTTACGATTTACTAATTATCTCTTCTTTGTCTTGTGTCTTAGTGCAGAAGGAGCGGGATTGAGAGCTTACGGCGAGCAAGGGAGTCACACGGGGAGCGCTCTCCCTCTCTTGGTGAGTATCGTCCATTTCAGCTAGTGCTTTCTTTACGATTTACTAATTATCTCTTCTTTGTCTTGTGTCTTAGTGCAGAAGGAGCGGGATTGAGAGCTGACGGCGAGCAAGGGAGTCACACTGGGAAAGCTCTCCCTCTCTTGGTGAGTATCGTCCATTTCAGCTAGTATCTCGTTTACGATTTACTAACTTTCTCTTTTGCGTCTTGTGTCTTAATGCAGAAGGAGCGCGACGGGGAGGTGACGGCGAGCAAGGGAGGCACACGCGGAGAGCTCTCTCTCTCTTGGTGAGCATCGTCAATTTCAGCTAGATGTTTCTTTACGATTTACTAACTTACTCTTTTGTGTCTTGTGTCTTAGTGCAGAAGGAGCGCGATGGGGAGGTCACGGCGAGCAAGGGAGGCACACGCGGAAAGCTCTCCCTCTCTTGGTGAGTATCGTCAATCTCAGCTAGAGTTGTTTTTCGTTTTACTAATTTTTCTTTAGTGTCTTGTGTCTTAGTGCAGAAGGAGCGCGATGGGGAGCTTCAAGGGACGAAACGAACTTTCTTCCTCTCCTGGTAAGCACGGTCCGATTCCGTTCGTTTTTTCTTTTACGAGATTTCTAACTTCGAGTTTCGTTGTTTTGGTGATGCAGGACAAAGCAGGAGGAGGAGCACGTGACAACACCGTCAAGGGAGGTCAAGAAGAAATCGCTCTCCTCCTGGTAAGCACGGTCCGCTTTCGTTCGCTTCTTCGATTTCGAGATTTCTAACTTCTAGCTTCGTGAATTCGTGAAGCAGGAGCGGGAGGAGGAGCAGCAGCACATGGCAACAGCGGGAGGAAGAAGAAACGCTCTCCTTTCATGGTAAGCATGGTCCCCTGTCGTCTGTTTCTTCTTTTTCAAGATTTCAATTCTAACTTCAAGTTTCGTGCCTGTGAGGCAGGTGTAGGAGGCGGAGGAGGAGCGCGCGCAACACCTGGAGCGGGCGGGGGAGGTACTACAAGGCGGCGCTCTCCCTCTCTTTGTAAGTATCGTCAGTTTCGCTAAGTGTTCTGATTACGTTTTACTAAGTTCCTCTTTTGTGTTCTTGTCTTAGTGCAGGAGGAGCGGGACGGGGAGCTGACGGCCAGGAATGGGGTCCGGAGTGGTCTTCCTCTCCCGGTAAGTTCCGCCAGTGTTTTCTGTCATCAGTCTTATGTGTTTGCTTTTTAGGGATATCTGTTTTCTGTTACCTAATGTATTTTTCCTTGCCCTTCCGTGCCTTTTAAATCCAGCGGCAGCAGGAGCATGGTGCACGGGCAACACCTGGAGCGGGTGAAGGATGTACCACGCGGCGAGTTCTTCCTCTCTCGGTAAGTATCGCCAATTTCAGTTGATGTTTTTTAGTTTACGTTTTACTAAGTTTCTCCTTTGTCTTCGTGTCTTAGTGCAGGAGGAGCGGCACGGGGTGGTGTCTGCGAGCAAGGGGGTAAACTGTGTGGTCTCCCTTTTCCTTGTAAGTCTCGTCAAATTCAATTTCTTTCTTCCTTTTCGAAACACTAACGTCCTGTTGGTTTTGGTTTTGGGCAGGAGCGTGTGCGGGCGAGGAGCGGGAGCTAGAAACGTCGGTGAGCTCCGAGCGCGGGGAGAGAAGCCGCGCGCCTCGCTGGAGCTTGGGGCGCCGAGCTTGGAGCAAACAGCCGTGTAAGTGGGGCTGGGCCCTGGGTCCCTGGGTGGTTAGGAGCGTTAGTGAGAACGGTAGGTGCGTTAGTCAGAACGGTGGGTGCGTTAGTCAGAACGGTAGGTACGTTAGTCAGAACGTTAGGTTCGAATTTGGCTTAGCTAGGAGTCGCGCTAGCCTTAGATTAGGTTCGGATCTGGGTTACGTTCTAGTCTGGACCTAGGCTCGATTAGGTTAGAACGTTAGGTTCGGACGGCCAGGTGTGGTGGGGCGTGTTTAGGTTCGGTTGGGCCACTTTTTGACTCTTGCCTCTTCTCCTCCCACCTCGCGCTTGGGGAAACTCGAGGAGGTTGTGCTCGAGGTGTCAGTAATTTTTTTTTTCTGCCCTGGTAATAATTTTAACCATCCCTCCTTCCTTTCTGCCCTGTAAATAAGTCCCCTCCCCCCCAACAGGCCCCGAACGAATGACAGCCAAGAGGATCAAGAAGACCAAGAACCAAGATAGGCGTGCAGCTGTGGATCTTCAGATACGGTGGTTGACACTTAGGGTTTTGAAAGTACTTAGTAACACCTGTATCTCTGTATTTGTAATAGAAGTATCTCTGTTCATAGCACACACATTCGCAAGGTAAAGAAACGAAAACAACTCGCACATTAGGCAGTGCCAAAAACAAACCCTGGCACAGTTCACACTCGTACGGGCTTGAGTGCGACATTCGAGATCCCATGCGTCTGCCACGATTATTGCTGCCTTGCACGAGTTACTGCTGTCGATCTCATCCCAACCACCTAGACTTTTGCCATTTCACAAATACTCTTCCCGCCTTTCCGTCTGAACTTATTTTTGTTGTTGTTCCCACCATTAGCGTGTAGGGTCTACTGCGATACGCCGCTGCTTGTCCTGAAACAATTCTCATCGTGGCGAGTTAAAGTCACCATTTTTTTCTTTGTAGATTTAGCCACGTCATGCGACATGGGCCCGACTGGCGAGCCATCGTCTAAACTGTCGGAGAGAAAGAAGGACGCGCTGGCGCAGGCGGGAAGGCGGAAGGTATGTTGCCGTCGTTCGCATTACTCTTGCGTACCTCGATATTCAGCGATTTTTCTCAAGCGCAATTTATAGTTTCTGTTTTTACTCTTATTTCCGACCTTTTCGCTCTAATACCTTAAAACTTTTTTTTCCAAACTCGTATGTCAGACTTCTCCCGCATTCCACCTTTCCTTTCATCTCATGTTCTCCTCTCGTGCCCCATCTCTCGCTCTCTCCTTCTCGCTCTCCCGTCCCCACTGTCTTATTTTCGCAAATTTCACGCAGCTTGAGGAGTTCAGGCAGCGGAAACGAGCCGCTGTGGCGTGTACAGGGGTAGGAGCCAATGATATGCAACAAGAACACGGCACACGCGATCGGGTGTGCAGACAATCAACTGTTTCCAGGCGTGTGGCTGGGAATCAAAACGCGAACAAGAAGGATATTGGGCTGGCACAGCAGCCATGCGATCGCTGCTGGAGTGCTGGAGATAGACCAACGCAGGAGAGCATAATGCTTTCGAGGAGCTGTAGTGCAACCAGTGCTAGCTGCAGCAGTTTTGATCCCGAGGGTTCATCTGACGAGGCATTTCCTGGTAAGGGGACTGCTGTGAGCACTACAGCAGCAGATTCTTCCGCAGCAGATTCTTCTGAAGGCGAGGCAGGTTATGTTCGGATTGCTGGGACAGCCTCGTTTTCAGTGAAGAAAAACGGTTCCATGCTGGTGTGGCTACAGGCGCTGGTGGAATGCTGGCCGTATTGTGGAGTTCAGGTGGCAAGGGAACCCATGGCAGAGCAAATGGGTTTGCATGATGACTTGCATAGACCTGGGGTTTCAACTGGACAGAGGAGGTGCAACGAGGAGGACGTTTTGGAGCATATGGATATGCTCTGGAGAAAGGATTTGACGTGAGAGTTGGATAATGATCCCATCCTTGTTTAGATCTGCATACAAATTTATAGGCATATATAAGAGCTTTATATATGTAGCTTGATTTATTTGGTGCAAAGCATAGGTGCACAGTGCCCAACTTTAGCGCAACTGTGTGGTGCCCCGTCTGTCAGGCGAATCAGGTCATCCCGCCAATCGGAAAGCAGCAGTGTAGGGCTGCACTGTTCCCTCAAGCCCCTCCCAACCACAAATTCTGCTGCGGAAGCCTGGTTCGATCAGGTTTGGCTTGGTCTGGAAGGTGCGCGTGTGGCTTCTTGTTCATTCATCGTGGCCCAGAGCGGTTCCACACGGTGCAAAGAGCTGTTCCAAATATACCGTTTTTCACCGCGACAAAAACAGAATAAACCGCACAGAACGAACAAGAGACCAACACCTCAACCCCTTACCAGCTAGTAGAGATGCTCGAGCAACCTCCCAAACCTAGTCAAGGAATTCCGAAACTGAGAGCCATCACAGAAAGCCTGATCCATTCGCAACAACCATGAATCGGTGAAAGCCTTGATCTCATCTTTGCTTGCACTTGCAGCTCAGGTCGCTTGCGAGGTTACTGGGAGCTTTTGATCCTTGCATCATTATTGATTATAATTGTTGCTTGAGTGTGTCTGCTTTAGGCTTAGGCCGCCATGCTCCGTCTTATATCGTTCTCGTGGGACATTCCACGTGACAACGTTCATTGATGCGATAATCCCTTCTTGCAGCTCCTCACTGCATAACTAGTCGCTCCTCGCCCCGCGGTTGCTTGATTCTTACTTGATTTCTTACCAGCGATCCTGGCGGTAGTCATGGCTGACGTAGCAGCTAAGCCGGCTTCTGCCGGCGCTAAGAAGAACGAATTAGCTCAAGCTGGCCGAAGAAAGGTACGTTATTCCCGATTGCAATGTTACGCTGGTCCTCCGTATCGCGGATGTTTCAGGCGCTGGCTTTCATTATGCTCACTCAAGAATTTCGCAAAAAGCTTGTGATCAACGCAGTTTGTTTTATGCGTTTTTCTCCTCTGTTCTTATTTGTTACGCAATATCTGTCTAAGAATCTGTTTCGTGTTGCGTGTTTCCTGATTTTTCCGTAAATTTGCAGCTCGAAGAGTTCCGCAAGAAAAAAGCTGCAGCGGCAGCAGCAGGGGGTTCTTCGACTTCCCGAACCGCGACCTCCGCTGCGGCTAAACCAGCAGCCAAGCCCATTCCTGCAGGGAATCCCCCTCCGTCTCAGCAGCCGGTGCCATCTCGCACCACAGCCGCTGCTCCTCCCGCTATAGGCCCACCCGCGTTTCAATCTCAACCAAATTCCTTCGCTCCGCCTGCTTTAACAAGACCATTAGCTCAGACTGGCTTAGCCCAAGCTCCGGCAGCCCTACCCACGTTTAGATCCGCCAACTTCGGATCTCCTCTCACTCCCTTCTGGCAGCAATCTCAGCCGTCGATTTCAGCCGCTAACGGCCTCCCTCACCCTCCGGGGCCCCCAGGTTCTGACGCAGCCAATGCCGCCGCTCCACCTGTAGCGTCGTCCGGGTTTCCCTCTGCGTCGACCGCCACGAGGCCGGCCGCCGGGATGCAGCCGCTCCCATTTGCGGCGAAAGGGCCTCTGGTAACTTTCGCGAAACCTAGCGGGGCTACAGGTCCCGGTTCCGGTGGAGCACCCCCCGCTTCCGCGCTTTTTTCCGGACCGAGGGGTCCCGCGCAACCTTCTCTCGCGCGGACGTTTTCCCCCCCGCGCGAGCCTTCTTTTCCCGCGCAACCCGCCTCCCGATCCGGTCTTGCGCCAGCCTCCCGCGTTGCGCCTCCGCTCGCGCGCACCTTTTCCCCGCCCGCAGAATCGTCTCAAGCGCAAAAGTCCGCCGGTGCGCCTCCGCCTGCCTTCCTTGGCGCACCAAGCCACGCGCTTTCCGCAACCGCAGGTGCTCCGCCTAACCCCGCCAGGCCTTCCCTCCTCCGCCCCGCGGCGGATGCGCAGCCCTCCCGCGCATCCCCTCCGCCACCCGCCTTCTCTGCGCCCCCGCCAGTGACGGTCGGGGGAGGCGCGGACGGCGCAAGGCCCCGTCCAGATTGGATGGGGGGAGGCTCGAGTCAAGGCAGGGGGATGGGGCCGCTTTGGGGGTTACAGGGTAACACCACAGGCAACATAAGCAGTAGCGGAACCAGCAGTAGCAGTAGCGGCAGCAGCAGAGGTAGCAGCACCAGCACCAGCAGCAGTAGCAGAAGTAGCGGCAATAGCAACGATGCGGGTCCATTCTCATCCTTTGCCGCTCCTCCTGGGTTTCCCGCAAGCTCTGCTACCCCTCACTCTGCAGCCGCACCTGCCGCCGCAATAAGCGCTGGTAGCAGCACGGACAAGAGGGGTGAAGGGGCGGACAGAGAGGCAGAGTTACAGAGCAGCGGCGAACGGAAGGATAAGGAGGAGACTGAGGGGATTACGCGTGTAAGCACGGCGCGGGAGGAAGCAGCGGGGCCGGGATCAGCGTCGGAACGCGGTACCAGTGCAAGAGACAGTGACCGACAAGGGAGAGAAGCAGAACCACGAGTGGGAGGGTTGGCCGAATCTTCGCAAACGCGCATGGGAGGGTTTGTAGTGGGGAGGGAGAGAGAGGAGGATGCAGACGCTGAGAGCTTCTTTGATTCTCTCTCTCCCGCTGTTCCCAATCAAAGCCATCAAAGCTCGGAGATGCTGGCAGCTGCTTCCCGTGCTGCAGCAGATGAGGGGGCTGTGCTGCCTCCTTCGGCCTCGTCTGATTCTGCTGCTGATGCTTCTGCTTGTGCGCCTGCTGACGCTTCTGCTGGTGCTTCTGCTGACGCTCCTGCTGGTGCTGCTTTTGAGACGGTTTCAGCTTCTACAGCCCATACACCGAGCCTGGGCCCCACAATACCCGCTATAAGGGACTCGCTACAAGAGCAGGACCTGCTCGCCTATGAGGTGCTGTCACCTGCCGATAGCGAATCCAGGCTGCAACAGGGACGTACGGCAGAAGATTCAAGGGGAGCGGAGAACGAGGCGCACAGTAGGGCTGCAGAGGATTCGCCTCCGGAAGCGAGTATAGGGAAATCGTCTGGGAGCATTGGCACTACAGGTGGTGCTGTTAACGCTGTTGAATCATCTGACCTATCCACTCCAGCAGCCAGCTCCGTTTCTACCTCCCATGACTCCCTTCAAGGCTCATCTGCCTCTGCTCCTCCTCTCACTGCCCCTCCTTCGGCCTCCTCCCTTCCTCCTCCCCCTTCGGCCTCTTCCCTTCCTCCCCCCCCTGTGCTACCGAGCTTCTTCACCCCTTCAGCACCTTCCGCAGCAGCCCCCAGGCCTGTGGCGAAGCCTGCTCGCGCGTCCTTCCTCCCCTCCGCCTACACCTCCGCGCTCCCCTCCTCCTCCGCTGCCTCCCCTTCCCCCTCTGTCTTCGTCCCCTCCCGCGCGCCCCAGCTCTCCGCGCAAGCTCCCACGATAGCGGATATTAACTCCCCCATTGCCTCCCTGGTTACTTCAGTCGCAGCCCCCACCAGCCAGCCCCCTGCTGCCCCGCGTCAGGAGGATACTGGCAACTCAAACGCCGGCGCGAGTCCTGACTCTTCGTCTACTGGTGCTGCCGCAGATGATTCCGAGTCGCTGCATTTTGCAGCGTCTAGAGGCACGGATACGGCTCAAGCGAGCGCTCCTCCTGATACCCCTCCATTAGCTTCTGAGTCTTCTTCTGAGTCTGCTTCTATGCACGGGCTGAAGGAAGATACCCACGAACCTTCACGGGGCAGCGGTGACGCCTTGGCGGCTAGTGAGCCTGTTTCTCCTAGGACGCTGCCTCAGGAGGGGTCATCCGTTTCTGAGAAGCTGAGATCGCCTGAGAGACCCAAATCTTCTGCCTTTGCCCGTCTGTTCTCCGCTGCTCTTTCTCCGGCCCGGGGGATGATGAGGGGCGACGGCGGCAGGGGCAGAGGGAGTGGGAATGACGCTAGGGTTTCGGAGGGAGAGGAGCAGGGGGGGCAGGGAGGGTCTCTGGAGGGGGTGAGAGAGGAGGAGGTGGATCATCAAGGAGCGGCATTAGGGAGTGTGGGCGCAGGAGGGGACGGAGGAGCAGCAGGAGCAGTGGTAGCAGCAGACAGTGTAGGGGTTTCTAGCCAGGAGGCAGCGAGAGACGTGCTGGGTAGGGTTGAGACGCAGACGCAAGGGCAGGTTCGCACTGAGAATGAAGTGAGCCAGCGTGAGCGGGAGAAAGAGGGGCGTGAGCATGCGAAGGGCGGTGATTCACGGGGGCATGAAGCAGGGGAGGAGGCGCAGGAGAGAGCGGGAGCAGCGGAAAGCTGGCGAGATGGCGAGAAAGGGGAGGAGGGAGAGGTGGGCGCGGGTGCGGATGGTGAGGAGAGTGACGAGGTTGTTGGGAAGAAGAGCGAGGTCCAGAAAGGATCGGATGGGGGCCGCGACGGTTCGTCCCGCCGCCGGCCCAAGTCTATCTCCTCTTGGTGGAATATCATCGCCCCTGCTCCCAAATCAGAGGAGAGAACAGGAACGGCGAAGGGGGCGGAGGCTGGGAGTAGAGAGGTGCAGAAGGAGGGAGAGGAGGGAGAGGAGGATGACGACTGGGGCGTGGGACTTTTGGGTGGCAAGGGGAACTTGGGAGGGCAGGGTCTAGGGGGAGGAAAAAGCCTGTCAGCCTCAGATCTGATTAACGTGGGGCAGGCTGTGAAGGGGGCGGGTGATGGGACGATGGGAGGTGATATGAAGATGGGGGTTGATGAGTTGCCTGCTGGGCGGTGGCAGTCGTGGGGTGATAGAGGGCAGGCCCAAGGCGTGCATGGTGGGCAGGCGAAAGGTCTGCAGGGGAGGGAGTGGGAGGAGCGGGAGGAGAAGCAGGTGAAGGATGCGGGTGTGAAGGGGGAGGCGGTATTTGGGGCAAAGGGGGAGGTGGTATCTGGGGCGGGTGCAGCGAGAGCAGAGGAGAAAGAGGAGGGGCGCAAGCAGGAATCAAAAGGAGGGTTTTCAAGACCATCATGGTTGAGAGGGCTGAGGAAGCTTGCCTCTGCTGCCACCACTCCCTCTGCCTCCCCTCAAAAAGTCTTCCCTTCTCCTGACCTTGATCCCTCCTCAACTTTCTCCTCGTCCTCCTCATCCTCCTCTTCCTCCTCCTCTTCATCCTCTTCCTTCTCTTCCTCCAGCTCCAGCACCGTTACCAGTGTTACCACCTCCTCATCTCCCTCCCTCTTCGACTCGCCTCTCAAGCCAGCTGCGCAGAAAGAGCTTTCTTTCCCTCGCCTCACTCCATCCTCTCACCACCCCAGCCTTAATGACTCCCCTACCAAACCCACCCCTCTCACCTCTCTCCCTCCCAAGCAGTCCTCTGACGAATCTTACCAACCCTCCTCCTCCCTCGCCTCTGCGTCCTCGCTCCCTGTATCCTCCTCTGCTCTCTCCCTTGACTCCCCTCGCAAAGAATCGTCCTTGAACAATCTTAACGACTCGCCTCGCGCCTCCACTGTCCTCCCCTCCTCTATCCGCCCCTCCTCTCCTTTTCTCTCATCCACCACTGCCACTCCCTCCTCCTCTCTCTTTGATTCTCCGACAAAGCCTCTGCCATCGTCGCTCTTTCCCTCCTCTGCAGCCACACTCTCCTCTCTTTCCTCTCTACCCTACAGCTCCTCCACCCTCTCCTCCTCTCACTCCTCCTACTCCTACCCCTCCTCTCTCTCTTCACTCTCCTCCTTCCCTACACTCTCTTCCTCTAAAGACGTCCTTAGCGGGGCGCTAGGAGGAGGATTATCTACGAAGGACCCTCTCTCAGGAGCCTTGGGCAGTTCTAAAGACGTATTAGCTGGCGCTTTGGGCGGCAGCAGAGGCACTTCAGCTGCAACTGCCTTCTCCTCCTCTTCTATTTTGGGAAAGTATTCCTTTTCGGGCGCGGCAGGGGGATCAGGGCTGGGGTCTTCAGCTGATATGGACGCGAAGCTTGGGGCAGCACTGGGACTGCGAGCAACTAGTGCCACAGCCTTGAGTAGTATCAACAGCACCCTATCCTCTTCCTCCTCTTCCGCCTTCTCCTCCTCTTCCTACTCCTCCTTCTCTACCTTCTCCTCCCCGTCCACATCCTTGTCTTTCTCCTCGCAAGCTTCTGCCAAGCCATCCATAGCAGCAGCGTACCGCCCCTCCTTCCTCCCACCTCCATCCTCTGCCACAGGCAGCCAGTCATCCTCGTTATCAGCCGGCTCGATAACAGCAGCATCACAGCCATTCTCGTCCTCTCTTGCAGCGCCGGGTACCTCAGCTACAGCCCAGCAGATGGCGAAACTACGCAGCGAATTAGGGTTTCTGCCTCCTGCCCCTGCCCTCCCATCCTCCTCCCTGCAATCCCGCCTGGGCCAACCCTCCCAAGACTCCGTACCTCCCCCATCCAGACCACCAATGGCAGACTCACCTTTCTCCGGACCTGTCGGTTCGTTGTTTTCCAAACCTGCTGCCTCGGCCGAGCCTGGAAAGCCGAAGCTGTCGGACGAGCAGGGCAGAGGCATGGGATATGGAAGCCAAATGGAGAGACAGGAAGGGAGGGAGGAAGGGGCGCGTGGTGGTGAAAGAGAGGGGCGTAACGAGGAGATGGAGGAAAGTTTTGGGAAGGGGGAGGAGGGTGGAAGGGGTGGTGACGAGAGAACGAGGGAGACGGAAATGATGAGGGAGAGGATGGAGGGAGGGCAGCAGTCTTCCAAGGGTGCTGCATCCAGCGACTTTGCGTCTCTTGAACAGGTGGGGCTGGGTGGAATGGGGAAGGGGGACTAAATTAGAGCATTTTCTTTTCTTGTTGCTGCCCCACGTCACTTGGGCATCTCTTTTCTTGCTGCTGCTCATTTGGGTTGTTTCCCTTCTGTGCAACTTGGCCTCCCATCCATGTCCCATTGTGCAGAACACAGAGGAGCTTACAGAAGAGAAATTCACTCTGCAGATATTTTTTTAGAAATCTAAAAGAATCCCTGCAACATAGAGGAGCTTACAGAAGAGAAATTTACGCTGCATTGGACTCTTCACGTATTGCCCTCCTCTCCTCACTCCTTCTCTTCTCCCCCCTACACTTCCTCCCTCCCTCTTCGCTTTCGTACATAGAGGAGCTGGCAGAGGAGAAGTTCACGCTGCAGCAGCAGCAGCAGCAGCAGCAGCAGCTGGATGCCGCTCGCATGGTGGCTTGGATGGTGGCTGAGTCGTTTTCTGCTATCCCCCCCTCCCCCTTCGCTCCGCCCTCTCTCTGCTGGCAGTACATAGAGGAGCTCACAGAGGAGAAGTTCACGCTGCAGCGGCAACTGGATGCGGCTCGCATGGTGGCTGAGTCGCTGGCCAAGGAGAACTCTGCTCTTACAGACGATTTCAACCGACAGGTGAGTTGATGAAAGGGTGAGGAGTTGGCAGGAAAGGGCTTGGCAAATGGGTGCAGCAGCTGGATGCGGCTTGAAAGGTGGCTGAGTCCCTGCCCAAAGAGAGCTCTGCGCTCACTGACGACTTTAACCGCCAGGTGAGGCCGTGAGGGGGGATTGGAGCAGGTGGTAAAGGGCTTGGCAGGAGGGTGGCAGCTGGATGCGGCACGAATGGTGGCGGAGTCTCTGGCGAAAGAGAGCTCCGTTCTCACAGATAATTTGAACCGGCAGGTGAGGTGATGAAAAGGGAGAGTGAGGGACAGGAAAGGGCTTGGCCAATGGGGTGCAGCAACTGTATGCGGCTTGAAAGGTGGCTGAGTTTCTGCCCAAAGAGAACTCTGCGCTCACTGACAACTGAATCCACAGGTGAGGTGATGAGAGGGGGTGGGGGGGAAGTAAGGTGAGGGGTGAGTGAGGAAGAGGGGGTAGTGGAGAAAAAGGGGAGGTGGCTTGTGCTGGTGGCTGGAAAATTGGCTCCTAAGGGCTTGAATGAAGAAGGCTTATTTGTTTGATGTGTGTTTTATGCCAAATCATGTACTTGTTGAACTTGAAACTCTGCTCTCCCTTCCCGTTCTTTTCTGTCCCCTGCTCTCTGCCGTTTCTTTCTCAGGCGAAGGGCTTGGAGCAGATGAGGGAGGAGATTTCGAAACTCAAGGCTGAGGTGAAAGCGCAGAAGGTGAGAGACACACGGGGTGATGTGATATGGGTCTGTGGGAGGGAAAGGTGGGTGTGCAGGGGAGTTGGGGCGGGTGTGGATGGAAGGGTGAGTTTGGGAGGGGGTCGAGGGCACGGGAGGTTGTGGGGGAGAAGGTGGAAAGGGCATCTGAAAGGGATAATTATATAATTGTGCTGCTTTTTTGAGTGAAACATCTTGTCTTACTTGGCTTTTGTTCCCCCAACCCCGTTCCGCGTCCCCCCCAAATCCCCCACCTCCTCTCTCTTCCAACCCCTCCCCCCTCGGCAGGTGGTGGTGATGGAGTCGCAGGCAGTGTCCAAGGAAGCAGCCCACCCCCATGAGTCGCTAGCAGCCATCGAGCGATCGCAGGCGCTGGCAGCAGAGGTGGTGGCTCTGGAGGGAATGTGACTGTGTTCTCTCTATGCCCTCCTCTTCCCTCTCCCCCACCCCGCCCACTCCCGCTCCTCGCTTTCTCCATCAGGTGGTGATGGAGTCACAGGCAGTGAGCAAGGAAGCAGCCCACCACGAGTCTCTGGCAGCCATCGAGCGATCGCAGGCGCTGGCAGCAGAGGTGGTGGCTCTGGAGGAGAGGGTGCTGCGGCTGCTGATTTCACATGTATATTTTTGCCCCTTCCCATCCCTCCCCCCTCTCCCCCCAACCCCATCTGTCCTTCTCACCCCCTCTCCCTCCCTCATGCCCCCTTCCTCCTCAGGTGGTGATGGAGTCACAGGCAGTGAGCAAGGAAGCAGCCCACCACGAGTCTCTGGCAGCCATCGAGCGATCGCAGGCGCTGGCAGCAGAGGTGGTGGCTCTGGAGGAGCGGGTGCTGCGGCTGAGGTCGAATGAGCTGAAACTGGAGAGACAGGCGGAGGGGTTTCAGGCAGAGGCGGAGGCACAGCGGTGAGTGATGTGGATGGTGAATGTCACGTGCACATGGTGATTGTTTGATATGGGTTGAGGTGGTGGTGGCTTTGGAGGAGAGGGTGCTGCAAGCGATTGAAGTCGAACGAGCTCAAGCTGGAGCGGCAGGCGGAGGGATTTCAGGCAGAGGCCGAGGCACAGCGGTGAGTGACTGTGTGATTGGTTGTCATCTTCACACGCTCAGTCTCAGTTGAACAGCAGCGGTGGTGGCGCTGGAGGAGCGGGTGCTGCGGCTGAGATCGAATGAGCTGAAGCTGGAGAGACAGGCGGAGGGATTCCAGGCAGAGGCAGAGGCACAGCGGTGAGTAGCATGGGTTAGTGAATGCAGAGAAGGGTTTAGGGTGAGTGGTGGGGCTGAGGTGGTGACTGGCACTGGCAGCAGAGGTGGTGGCTCTGGAGGAGCAGGTGCTGCGGCTGAGGTCGAACGAGCTGAAGCTGGAGCGACAGGCGGAGGGATTACAAGCAGAGGCAGAGGCACATGTGATTGACATGCCTTGCCATTCCAGCCACATGCCATTCCAACCACATGCCTTCATATGCCACTCACCTGCCATTTCCTTGCCATCCCACCCCCACACCCAGGCGTGCTGCATCGACCTTTGAGGCAGAGAGGAAGGAGCTCCGCGCCGCTGTGGATAAGCTCCATGAAGGTGGGTGTGGTGTGGTGGGGTATGGTGTGGTGTGGTGTGGCATGTTGCGGTGCGGTGTGGTGCGGTGTGGTGGTGTGGTGTGTTTCTTGCCCCGCTATGTGCTGAATGTGTATCTATCAACGCGGTGTCACACCATGCCATATCACACCAACTGACGTGTTACCATGTCGTCATCCCTCCACGTGGGCCCTTCTCAACTGACATGTTATCCACAGAGAAGCGCCAACTCAACTTTTGAGAATTCTCAAAAGTGATACTAAAAAATGAGAATTCTCAAAAGTTCCGTCGTCCCTCTACGTGGGCCCTTCTCAACTGACATGTTATCCACAGAGAAGCGCCAGCTCAAGGTGCAGTTGAGAAGGGCCACAGTGGCATGCCATTCAGAAGTGCTTTGTTCCACTGAAGGGGCGACAGTCACATGACCTTTCACAACACATGACCCCCACCCACCTACCCACCCCCCAACTCCTCCACGTGTCACCTCAGAGAAGCGCCAGCTCAAGGTGCAGCTGAAGAGGGCGACAGTGGGATGATCGTGTTCAGGACTCAGACCTGCAGAACGTTTCCCATAACCATGGGCACATCTCATCTCCTCATCATATGGTAATCCCCCCTCCCCCCCCCCCCTCTCCAAAATCCTCCACGTGTCTCCTCAGAGAAGCGCCAGCTCAAGGTGCAGTTGAGGAGGGCGACAGTGGGCGGCGCACTTGGCGACATGTGGCGGGGAGACAGCACGTCCACGTCAGCAGCAGCGCCAGCTGTACCGTCCGTGAGCCAATCAACATCAACGGATGAGCTGGAGGCGGCCTTCCCGAGCCAAGCAGGGCCGTCTGCCGAGGCAGGAGTGTCAGGCTCGGCATCTTTTGCTGCCGAGTCAGCCGCAGCTGGCTCGAGCACCGAACCAGCCTCTGGAAGCTCAGCAGGGGTAACAAGGGAAGATGGAGGCTCGGCCGGACCTTCAGTGGAGGGTGGGGAGGCAGGAGAACAAGCGAGGAGGAGAGATGAAGAGGGAGAGACACTAGGTGAAGCTGGAAGGAGAGCAGTGGCAGAGGTTCGGGCACTGTTCACGCGAATGGAAAGTGACGGGCGGCATAACTTGGAGGAAGTGGGTGAGCAGCTGGTGAAGATGATTACTGCTGCTGTAGGGGCGGCAGAGGAAGGTGCTGCTGCTGCTGCTACTGCTGGTGGTGGTGGGAGGAGAGGGAGAGGAGGCAGGGATAGGAAGGCAGGAGAAGGGGACAATCAAGAGGAGAAGGAAGGGGAGGAGGAGGGAGTGGTGGATGAGTTTTTGTTGCTGCCCGCTCTGCTGCCCGGATCGGTGGATGTTTTGTCGGAGGAAGAGCAGAGGAGTCTGGAGAGCATTAACAGCCTGCTGGCAGAGGTGAGAAGGCGAGAGGGAGGTTGGGGATGAGAGGGGGAGGAGTGGTGCGGATGAAAAAGAGAGAGGTGATAGGGATGAGAGGGAGTAAGCCCTTCCGTTGGCAGGACGTTATCGATTTTTTTTTGTTTTTTTTTTTTTTTTTTTTTTCGCACAGCTTCCTCGCTGCTTCCATTTGCCCTCACCCACCCCTTACTCCCTTCATTTCCATCCACCAATCAGATGCAAGCAGAGAGGGAGCGCATGGCACGCACACTCAAGGAGGAGGCTGCCACGTCAGCAGAGCTGAGGGTGAGTTGCGAGAAAACCCAACCATCCCATGCCATGCCATGCCTTGCTGTCCCATGCCGTGCCATGCCATGCCATGCCATGCCATGTAAGCTTGTGGCTGCTGGTGGCTCAAACCTCCTGGCAACCAGTTACATCCCACTCTCTGTATCATGCTGTTGACCGTCACACCTTTACTCACGCCGACAACTGTCGCACCCTTATCTGTCAAAGGCAGCAAACGAGGAGCTATCGCACAAGCTCGCCAGCCAGACGCAGCACATGGAGCTGCTGGTGGCTCAACCTTGCTGCACCATCTCCTTGTATTAAGCCCTAACTCACGCTTTACTGTCACGCCCTTTACTGCCACACCCTCTACTATCACAGGCATCAAACGAGGAGCTATCTCACAAGCTTGCAAGCCAGACGCAGCACATGGAGCTGCTGGTGGCTCAAGCATCTCTGCAACCACTCACACCCTTCACTGCCACACCCTCTATTGTCACAACAGGCGGCAAACGAGGAGCTATCTCACAAGCTTGCAAGCCAGACGCAGCACATGGAGCTGCTGGTGGCCCAAACCTCTCTAACACACCCTATCACACCCTATCACACTCTATAACATCTGTTACCCTTTACTGTCACGCCCTTTACTGTCACGCCCTTTACTGTCATGCCCTTTACTGTCACGCCCTTTACAGGCAGCAAACGAGGAGCTATCCCACAAGCTCGCCAGTCAGACGCAGCACATGGAGCTGCTGGTGGCCCAAACCGTCATGGCTGCTGCTTCCTCTGCCTCCCGATCCGCCTCGGGCGTTTTCAACGCCCGTGTGCCACGTGTCTCCTCCTCCTCCTCTGCTGCTGCTGCTGCTGCTGTCGCTTCTGCTGCCATTGCACCCACCCCCGCTGCTAGCGCTTCCTCTCTACCCACTGATCCTGGAAATTCCTCTTCTGCTGCTGCTGCTGGTGATGGTGCCGCCAGTGCTGCTTCTGCTGCTGAAGAGGCGGCTGGCACTGGCACTGATGCAGTCACGGGTGCCAACCCTCCTCTTCTGCCTCCTACCGGCGTCCCTCCCGCCTTCCTCTCTCCAACTGCCAAGTCACTCTCAGCACCTCTGTTAAGCCAGGCAAACGGACAAGTGTCTCCCGCCGCTGCTGCTGCTGCAGCCACTGCGCTGCTGGCAGGGGCGGGAAGGTTAAGTGAAGGCGGAGGCGGAGGCGGAGGCCCAGGAGGAGTGGGGTCGCCTCGAGCGGGAGGGGGAGTGGGATCACCACGCACGCCCGGCGCATCGGGTTACACGGAGTTCAATGATTACCTGGATGAAGGGGACGAGGTGAGTGTGTAAGATTCTGATGTCAGTGCAGGCGAAGGGGGAGGGGCAGGGGAGTGGGGTTGCTGTGAGCGGGAGGGGGGGTGAGATCGCCACGCACGCCTGGTGCATCAGGTTACACGGAGTTCAATGACTACTTGAATGAAGGGGACGAGGTGAGTGCAAGCCGGGCAGGAGGGGGGGTGGGATCGCCACGCACGCCCGGCGCGTCCGGATACACGGAGTTCAATGACTATTTGGATGTAGGGGACGAGGTGAGTGTGTGTGTGTGCGGGGGGGGTGAGAAGTGGGTGGGCTTGGCTTCTTGAAGGGAAAGGGGCTTTGAAAATTCCAGGTTTCTTGGCGCATCACGACACGGAGTTCAATGATTACTTGGATGAAGGGGATGAGGTGAGTGTGAATACGGCTTCTGAGAAGTCTAAAAAACGACTCAGATGTAGTCAGGGCACACGAGTTCTATGACTACATGAATGAAGGGGATGAGGTGAGTGCGTATGTATGGTGACAAGTGGGTGGGCCTGGCTATATGAAAGGAAGTGTGCTCAGAGGTTTCAAGATTTCTGGCGCATCATTGTACACAGACTTCAATCACTATTTGGATGAAGGGGGTGAGGTGAGTGTGAGTGTGTGCGCGTGTGCGCGCGCGCGCGCGCGTGTGTGGTGTGAAGTGGGTGGGCTTGGCTTTTTGAAAGGAGGTGGGCTTCGAGCTTTCCAGGTATTTTGGTGTGTCAGCGAACCTGTTCGTCCCCTTTTGCATACCCATGCTTCCACTCGTACTGTTCACCTCCTCCCTGCCCATCCCTGCTCGCCCTCAGCTGGCTCCGCACCTTTCATATCTGTGATTCACCTCACTTCCCCCATCTGATTAAAATGCTTCCCTTCTTAACTCCCCCCCTTTTTCCATATCCATCCCTCCCCCCTCAGGTCGCTGAGGAGGTGCTTTCTTGGCTGCTGAGGCTGTTCCCTAGCGGCAGACGCAATGGGCAGCCTGTGCAATGATAGGGAAGGGGGAGAAGGGGGCGCGAAGGGGGAGGGGGGAGGAGAGGGGGTGGTAGACGGGACAAATGAGGTCAGGTCGGGATGGGATATGGGATGAGCGGTGTTCCTAGCACCAGATGCAACAGGCTTTAGTGCGGGTGTGGGGAGGGACAGGGGAGGGTAGGGGAATGGGTCATCACGGGATAGAGATCTTTCTGGAGCAAATACTGTATGAATGGGAAGGGTTGAGAGGGGGTGAGATAAGAAGATTGATGGTAGGTCACTGAGGTGACGGTTTGAATTGCGCTTGACAAGCTGCGTGTTGAGTTGAGTAGGCATTGAGTAGTTAGAGGATATGAGCAAAGTTATGCTTGGGTCCATGTTATGAGGACTGGTAGGGGATTGTCAACATGGGAGAGGCGTGCTACCGTCATCGCCCGGATACCGTAATCGCTTGGGACAGTGTCGAATTGAAGACGGGGTGTCTTTAATAAAGGAGCGTAAGGAGAGTTCTGATTGTAAGGGACCCACAGTTGTGTAGTATAGCGAAAATCGAAATAGTGTCTACATGGATGGGCTGGGTATAATCACGGTCATGGATGTGTAAAGACATCCATGATTCATGATTCAATATATGCAATGTACTGCACATCACAATTCTGGAAACTTGCACTGCTATGTTTGAGAAGGGGAGAAGATACGGTACTTTCATGGGGCTGAGAACACCCGCTAAAATGCGGGTCCTCAGACCAGGCCTTGGTGAGCTTATGGGACTGTCATCCTAACAGACACTTAATCCATGAGAAAAAGTCGTCACTGGAATGTGTCCAGAGCACAAGGCCCCGGCTCCTGCCATAACCGCTCCCACCTCAGCCACATTACGAGGGCACCTGGTCAGGTTACAGAATCCCTCTGTTGTCAACTGAGTTAGGCAAGAGAAATTGTCACTGGAACGTGTCCAGAGCAGAGGGCCACGGCTTGCCTGCCATTACTGCCTCCACATCAGCCGCATCACGAGGGCACCTGGTCAGGTTGTCGATACCCTCTGTTGTTACCACCTGAGATGGGCAGGTGGGAGAAAAAGGCAGACTCCTTCGCTGTGTGACTTGAGGCTCTCATTGCAAACATCCATGAAGGGAGGCTGTTTGCAGTCGAAGACTCAAACCTGATCTGTGCTAGAAACTCAGTTATGTACCGCACAGCACCCCCACTCACCACGTCATCTTCCAGCCTCACACCGCCAAAGCCTCGAAACTGAGCAAGTCTCTCAGGCACAAGGAAGCGGGCTACAGCCGGGTCCGCAAGAGCGGGATCCAAGAGAGAGTCGATGAAGTAGCATCCTGGCTCGACCGTGATGACCTGGTGATGGTGAAGGGGAGAGAGAGGTTACGGAGAGAGAGAATACATGGGGAGTTATTGGGGTGCAGGGACTGGGAAGGGGAAAAAGGAAGCGGGCAACAGCCGGGTCAGCAAGAACGGGATCCAAGAGAGAATCGATGAAATAACAGCCTGGCTCGACTGTGATAACCTGGTGGAGGTAGAGAGAGAAAGAGGGAAGATGTTGGAGAGCAGGGGGTTAACATGGAGAGAATGAAAGCCAAAGGGTTGGGCCCAACAGAGTGCCGATGAAATAGCAGACTGGCGTGACTGTGATAACCTGGCGAGAAGAGAGAGAACATTGAAGGGAGTTGTTGAGAAGGAAAGCATGGCAGCCAGATTCAGGCGGGTCAGCAAGAGCGGATTCAGGCAGGCCTGGTGAGGGTGAGGCGGAGAGGGATAGAAGGAAGAAAGGAAGGAATTACCGGGGAGAAAGGAAGCCCGAGTCCTTCCTTTCTTCCCATGCAACAGGCGGGTGAGCAAGGGCTGTGGCCATACCATGCCCAACCTGCCAAAGATACCAACCATGCCCAACCTGCCGTACCATGCCGGGTTCCAAGGTCCGTGTGGTGCGAAGAGACTTGGCCCCTGGCTCATTCGACCTCTCCGCCTGTGAATTGATCCACATGGAAAGAGAGAGGGGTGGAAGAGAGCAGGATATGAGCGCGGTGGTGGAGTGGGGTGGAGGAGTAAGGTGGGGGAGAGTTGGGGTGGGGTGGGTTCGGGCGGAGCGGGATAGGAGAGACATATATCTTCGTGGCTATTGCAGCTTATGTGGGTGCGTCCAACAAGAAGCATATTACAGCTGTGGCACACACATTGAGTGGGACCCTTACATTGTTGTAGCCACAAACATCATGCGTGCCAACCAGCTCTTTACGACAAGGTGACTCGAAAATCACATCGAACCAAGTTGCATTGCAACTACAAGCCCCTGTAGTTGCAGCTTGGTTTGATGTGACTTTGAGTCACCTTGTGGCAAAGAGGTGGTTGACACACGACGATGGTGGTTACAACAATGTACGGATTTGAGTCGACCAGTCACATCAAACCAAGCTGCAACCACAAGGGCTTGTAGCAGTGCGTGGAAGAAGTGGCATCAGGGGTGAGGCCTTACATTGTTGTATCCGCCAACATCATGCGTGTCGATGCCGAGAAAGTGTCCCAGCCCATGCGGCATGAACAAGGCTCCCAGGTGCTGTGCCATCATGTCATTGATTGACCTGCATATGAATGGTATGGTGTGGTGTAACGCGGTGCGGTGCGGCGCGGTGTGGTGCGGGGCGGTGCAAGGGGGTAATATTAGAGGCTGAGATTATGCGGCATGAACAGTGCTCCGAGGTGCTGTGTCATCATGTCGTCAATAGACCTGCACAGGGATGATGTGGTGGAAGGGTTTTGTTTGAGAGGCGCCCCACAAGCCAGGGGCTAGACACACCATGCGGCATGAACAAAGCTCCCAGGTGCTGTGTCATCATGTCGTCAATCGACGTGTGAAGGGATGGCATGGTGCGGTGTAATGCGGTGCAAGGGGAAATCTTTTAGGCTGAAAACATGCAGCATGAATGAACAGAGCTCCCAGGTGCGGAGCCATCATGTCATCAAGCAAAACGTGTCGAGACCATACAGCATGCGGTGCCATCATAACATCACTGCGCAGTACTGTGTTACCTCTCCCACACTCTTCCCACTCACCCCTGCAGCAAACCCCCTTCCTTAAGGTGCTCTGATCCCCTTGTGCCACCTCGCCCACACACACTGCCCCCTGCCCTACCGTCGCACTCACCCCTGCAGCAAACCCCCTTCTTTGAGGTGCTCCAGAATTGTTCGCTCCGCCAGCCTGGTGTGCGGGTAGACAAAAGTTTGAAAAAAAAGGTGCGTAAGCTCAAACTTATGTTTACAGGGACCCTGCCTGTAAGGCTAGTCGCCTGTTCCTGGTCTCTCAGCTAACATACATTTTTTTCTCTTCAGACGCAATTATCATTAACATGATTATCATCATCATTATTATTACTATTATTTTTTTTTTCTTCCGGGAATCCTATGCAGCGTTTCGACTCACCTGTGCATGTCCACCCAGCTGACTCCTGGCTTCATTGCGCCAAAGACGGCCCTCTGTGCTGCTAAGACTGCCTGGATGCGCGAGAGCGGAATGCGGAGAAGGGAAGAGACGAGGATGGAACATAACAAGAGGAGCATGGTTTGGGAATGGCCACTTGACTCCAGGACGCGAACGCGACGAAGGGAGCAAGAGAGGGACCCCTTGAAAGGTTTTGAGAAGAAAAAAGGGAAAAAAAAAATGGAAGAAAAGAAAAAAATTGAATATGGGTCCCTTGGAATTTACTGAAATTTGAGTATGGGGTAAGAGCCACAGGTTGACTTGAGAGAGAAGGAAGTTGAACCCCCTAGCGGCAGCAGCAGATAACCCCCTTGTGGGGGTTTGGGGTGAGGCCTTGTCCCTTGGGGACTGCCTCACAGTTCTTGAACCCGCTCTGGACCTCCCTTAGGGGGTGACAGGCGGGGTGGTGGCGGACTCAGCCGTGATATAGGGAATGTATCAGTTGCTCTGTATGTTTTGCGAATGCCTATACCTTGCATGCATGTAATATTGCCACCTATATCAATGAAAGGACCATTGGAAAGAGTTGAAGGAGACTGGAATAAGGTAATACAAGTGGCAACAGGGAAGAGTACAGCTGAGGGAAACTAGAAATGCTAAAAACGTTGGTGGTGGTGTGTAGTGTGTGTGCATTGCCCTCACTCACCTCATACACCAGCCGTTGATCTGCAGTGAATGTGCCGTTGACCTGCCATGGCAGCAGGAGTGGTGTGTAGTGGTGTGCGGCGGTGTGCGGTGGTGTGCGGGTGGATGCATTGGCCTCACTCACCTCATACACCAGCCGTTGATCTGCAGTGAATGTGCCGTTGACCTGCCATGGCAGGGCATGTCATACCATAAGGCACAACACATGGCAATGAGTTGCATGCCACAATGTCACACATACGAAACGAGGTGCGGGCTGAGAAAAGTAGCCCATGAAGGCACGTGATAAAAGTGTATTTTTGAGAAGTCTAAAACACACATTTTCATCATAAGGCACAACACGTGATAACGTGTTGCATGCCACAATGTCACACAGACGAAACGAGGGGCAAGTTGAGTGAAGGAGGAGCATAACAAGCAAACGTGGCATGACAGCATGGCATGACATGACAGCAAGGCAGCATGGCACGACATGACAGCATGGCGTGGCATAACAGCGTGGCACTTACAGGGAAAGAGCAGGTGATGTCGGCACCATATGTGAAATACTCTGCCCCCATGTCTAGGAGCGCCATGTCCCCATCTCTGCACTCCTGCATGCATGGCATAACGGTGGGGACAGAGCGAGGAGTGAGTATTAATTGATTAGACTCAAAGCACATATGTGACGTATTCTGCTCCCACATGTCTAGAAGCGCCATGTCGCCATCCCTGCACTCCTGCATGATGCAAGGGCGCCGAGATGTGAGCACCATAGGAGGAAGGAGCACGTGATGTCAGCGCCAAACAAGCAAGGAGCATGTGATGTCAGCGCCGCATGTGAAATACTCTGCGCACATGTCTAGAAGCGACAAGTCGCCATCCCTGCACTCCTGCATGTCGTAAGCAGGCAGAGCAGGGGTGTTGAAATATAAAAACCCTGCCAACTTACCTCACAATCGTAACTGCTCACAGTCATCCAATTGGCCCTGCTCATTGCATGTCATCGTGTTACCTGCCATGCTCACCCTTTCATTAGGAGCGCCAGCGTGACCATAATGCAGAATGCTGCTGTTGGGACCCGTGCCGCACACACATGTGTACCCAGCTAGGCGACACCCCCCAGCCACAGCCGCATGGTGCAGGAAATCTGCTTCCATCTCATACTCCATCATGCCGGGCTTGACCCTCCGCATCACCTGAAATATGATTGCAGCGTGAGGTGACACACAGGGCGCAATGAGACGGGTCTCTCACGCTCTCTTGCATGGTGCAGGAAATCCGCCTCCATCTCACACTCCATCATGCCTGGCTTGACCCTCCGCATCACCTGAAATGAAAGAGCAGGGAGGAGAGACAAAGGCTGGAATGAGACGGGTTTTTCATTCATGTTTGCTTCCATGGTGCAGGAAATCTGCTTCCATCTCATACTCCATCATGCCTGGCTTGACCCTCCGCATCACCTGAAAGAGCAGCGTGAGGTGAAAAAGGCTTGTTCATGGTGAGAAGGACAGGGTTCACTTGCATGGTGCAGAAAATCCGCCTCCATCTCACTTGCGGGGTTCACTCCATCATCCCCGGCTTGACTCGCCACATTACCTGAAAGCACAGCGTGCAATGAGACAAATAATTCGGTCCAATTTCATGATGTTTTTTCATGTTACCGCATCCCACAAACAGCTTGGAGTGCATAATCATCCTTCATCTCATGCCCCGTCATGTTCTTGCCACATAGGCGGAAAGGGATTGACTTGCTTGCAGGAGTCAGGTACAATACAACAAGCGCTCGCTCATCACATCATGCAGATGCACAACCCCAAATAACACGGCAGCAGCAGGAGTAACAGCAGCAGCGACGGTGGTGGCGGTGACAGCAGTCATCTGCCGTGTTATTTGGCGGTGACAGCAGCATGCAGTGACGATATTCCCCATCTCCCCCTCCTCCCCTCCCCCTCCTCCTCCCCTCCTCCTCCCCTCCCCCTTCATCCTTCATCACTCATCTCAATCACTCTGAACTGAACAGATCACTCATGCGGAACTAATCACCCACCCACCTCCACATGAGCATCTGACGACACAGCAGCAGCATACTGCATGCAGTGACAACATTCCCCATCCCCCCCCTCCTCCCCTCCCCCTTCATCCTTCATCACTCATTTTGATCACTCGAACAGAACACTCATGCGGAAATGATCACCCACCTCCACATGAGCGTCAGACGACACAGCAGCAGCATAGCGCATCACACGGATCTCCTCCTCAGACTTGATCACGCGGCACTCGCTCAGCTCTGGGTGCAACACGGTCAGGTCCTGGGGAAACGCGTCTATGCCCTGGCCGGTACAGGGCACACGCGTGGAAAGAGGGAGAACCAGAGAGGATGTATGAGTGGAAAAGGGAATCGCCTCCTAAGACTTGATCACGCGGCACTCGCTCAGCTCCGGGTGCAACACGGTCAGGTCCTGAGGAAACGCGTCTATGCCCTGGCGGAGAGACAAAAGACAGGATACAGGCGGAGGATGCAGGGTGGTGGCACAAGGAAGAAGGGACCGGGGACCCTTCTTGGGTTTGATTACATACCATTGGCTCAGCTCAGGATGCACCTCATGATACATCTCAACGGACAAGCGAGTCCGCCCAGGGAGGTCGCTGCCCGGGGGCAAATGGGAAGGGCATGCCATCCGAGGGAGGCATCAACCCTAAACACCTTGTGGCATGGTGTTTAGGGTTGATGCCTCCCTAGGATGGCATGCCATCCGATAAGGTTTTAGTTTTTTCTGCCCGCCGGTCAGGTCGACGGTGGTCGACGGTCCGTCGACCGACCGTCGACCTCGTTTCGTTGAGACATTCCTGGGAGAAGGGTTATATGCACCGATGCAGCAGCCTTGTGTGCCAACTCAGATTGAAGCATGCACTCTCAAAGTCTGTGGGCAACGCACATCAAAGTGGGCTGGCTTGCAGGAGTTGCCGCTGTCTGTGTTGGTCCCCTTCAAGAGGAAGAGAGTAGAGCAGGCATGCTGCTGCTACTTTTGAGGCCCCTCAGAACCGACTCACCTCAAAGTGGGCTGGCTTGCAGGAGTTGCCGCTGTCGGTGTTAATCCCCTTCAAGAGGAAGAGAGTCGGCAAGCTACCGCCGCCACTCCCTGCTGCTGCTTTCAGCACTGCTGCCATATCCTCGATATAGTGCACCTCGTCCACTCCATACTTGTCCTGCTCAACACACATACAGCAGACAGGAGGCACAGACGGAATGAGGATGCTAAACTCAACCTGCTGCTGCTGCTTTTGGCACTGCTGCCATATCCTCGATATAGTGCACCTCGTCCACTCCATACTTGTCCTGCTCAACACACATACAGCAGAAAGGAGGCACAGACGGAATGAGGATGCTGAATTCAACCTGCTGCTGCTGCTTTCAGCACAGCTGGCATATCCTCAATATGGTGCTCCTCGTCCACTCCATCCATACTTATCCTCATCAATGAACTCCAGGCAAAACGCATAGATGAAATGAGATATCTGATCTTAATCTGCCAGTGACGTGATGTACAGATACACCTTGTGTGCTGTGGCGTGTGCAGAGGGCCCGTCATACCTTGATCTGCTGCTGCGTGTGCAGAGGACCCATCCACACAGCATACGAGTCCGGGAGGTGAGGCATGAAGAGGAACGAACGTGCTGGTTGCACTGACACGTCCTGTAGGAAAACAAACGTGGAGGTCGAAGGGCGGAAAAACAGGGGGGGTTTATCAAGCCATGTACTCATATCTTCCTGGCTGTAATCCATCGCTTTTACCTTTGCTCGTTTTGCTACCTTTCATTGAAATCGTTACTCGTTTTGCTACTTTTCATTGAAATCGTTACTCGTTTTGCTACTTTTCATTGAAATCGTTACTCGTTTTGCTACCTTCCATTGAAATCGTTACTCGTTTTGCTACTTTTCATTGAAAGCGTTACTCGTTTTGCTACTTTCCAGTGAAATCGTTACTCGTTTTGCTACTTTTCATTGAAATCGTTACTCGTTTTGCTACTTTCCAGTGAAATCGTTACTCGTTTTGCTACTTTTCATTGAAATCGTTACTCGTTTTGCTACTTTTCAGTGAAATCGTTACTCGTTTTGCTACTTTTCATTGTCAAACAATACTATGAAGCAACGAGTTGCAGCAGCTCTTGGGCAATGGGCAGTACATACCAAAGCGCCGTAGAATCCGGGCTCAATGACTCCGAAAAGATATGAGAAGTAACTCTCCTGCCTGATCCATGCCATGCCATGCAGTCATGCCATGCCATGCCATGCCATGCCATGCCATGCCATGCCATCCCATGCCATGCCATACCATGTCAAGCCGTGCCATACCATGTCATGCCATGCCATGCAGCATGCCAAAAGAAAACACACAACGGCACAAGAAGCGACAGGAATCGGCCAGAGACAACAGAAACGAGAGATGAGACGACGGAACTATGCGGAGACAAGTCGCAAGTAAGCAAGGATACCTGCGCCAGACACAACAATCCTGAAAAGCTATGAGAGGCAAAAACAAGCCTCACCTGAACACGTCCTCGTGGTCGGTGCAGTGGCGCATCTGAGACTCCCCGCCCTGCTTGCATGCAGATGGCGAAGAGATGGAAAACGAAGTGTGATGCGGATGGAAAATTATGCAAGAAGAGCGAACGCTGGCCTGGGCGCACATCATGGCGTGATGTACGCTGTAGCCTGAGGGGTACGGAAGCCTGGTGTACGCCCTGAGGGTACGGAAGGGTTAACAGCGTCATAGTTCCTGATTGAATTCCAGCGTGTGCAATCATTAGAAAATAATGAAAATCAGTTTATCTTTTTCACGGCTCTTCCCCACCTGTAGAAGCACGATGGCATGTTCTTCCCGACCTTCCAGCCTGGCTCGCATCCGCTCTGCGAGCTTCTGACGATTTTCGTTGAACATGGTAACCGGAACTTTGAGGGTCTGCTTTCCGCGCCAGAGGAACCCGTCGGACCACGAATCCGCGAGTGAAGTGCTCGTGGTTGTTGCTTCTTTCTCCTTGTGCTCTCCGTTCGCGGCCATGACGACGAATTTCGCAAGAATGAGGTTCCAAATGTGAAATTGGAAAAAGCTGGGTGGATTTCAGGGACTTGCAGGTTTTTCTACCAGTAGAACAGGTTTCAGAGAGATCCTATTTCTGAAGAAATTTTGTGAACATAATGTACGCATTACGGATTACTCTCTGCAAAGTATAACCACCCGTCAAGCGATGCATGATTCCAAACACGGTACATGTTTCATTTTCGTTTACACATTTCTGAGACATGTGGTAAATTCGAGGCTGGAATTTCCAATACACGTCATTGCCGTCAGCATCGTAGTTGCACGGCACGTGGAAAAGCATATTCTACGAACCAGAAAGTGGGGATTCGCGCCTCGATTGCTAGATTCTGCTTGTTCATTCCACTTCAACGCACCAAGATGTGAGCAACCAATCAAGATCCAGTGTGACAAGACTTCGACCCTCCAGCTGGCATATCCACATCAGCCTCATCCTTCGCCAAATGTCCTCGCATATTTTCCTCAAGGTCACCTCCCTCACATCGCCAAGAAGCATCTGTTCACGAGTCATTTCACATTTAGCATCCTCGCAGAATCATTATCTTCTGAAACTCTGGTGCTCACGCTTTTGGCTGCTCAGGTGACAAGCTACAGGCTTAGTCTGTCCTTTCCGTGCTCGAGTCGCCTCGAGCGTTGCGTTTCCTCCTCTGTTTCTGCGGAAATCTCAGACTCAACCGAGCAGCCATGGCGTGTATCGCCCCAGCAGTTGCGTCGCTGCACGCAGCAACGAGCGCGAGACTGCAGAGTCCGCTCGCCTCGGCTTCCTCCGCCTCTTCCTCCAAGGCTAGCCTGAAATGCGCGGCTTCCAGCTCAAGTGTTCCCCCATCCATCTCCCCTTCGCCGCTCTCTCAACACGTCGTCAGTCAAATCAAGAGCTCTCTGCCTCGGAAATACCGGCGATCCGCTTCCGTGTATGCCACGTCAGCGACCGAAGCTTCCACGCGGGCTCCTGAGAGCAGCAGCGAGAGCAGCGGCGGGCCGTCGAAGGGACGCGTGATGGTGATTGGCGGTGACGGATACTGCGGCTGGGCGACGGCGCTGCACCTATCAGAGCAAGGCTATGACGTGTCCATCGTGGACAATCTCAGCCGTCGATTGTTCGACGAGCAGCTGGGATCGCAGACCCTGACGCCGATCGCATCCATCCACGATCGCGTGCGACGCTGGCGAGAGATCACGGGGAAAACGATCGCACTGTACATCGGCGACGTGTGCGACTTCGAATTCCTCGCCGACGCGTTCCAGACGTTTGAGCCAACCGCCGTGGTGCACTTCGGTGAGCAGCGGTCGGCGCCCTACTCCATGATCGATCGCAACCGCGCGGTGTTCACGCAGCATAACAACGTCATCGGTACTATCAATGTGATGTTTGCGATCAAGGAATTCGCTCCGGAGTGCCATCTGGTGAAGCTGGGGACCATGGGCGAGTACGGAACGCCGAACATTGACATTGAGGAGGGCTTCATTACAATCACACACAACGGCAGGACCGACACGCTGCCGTACCCGAAGCAGGCCAGCTCCTTCTATCATCTCAGCAAGGTACGCTCTGTCGAGGTGTTGTATATATCGCTGGGAAATGAGGCTGTAGCCATGTCAGGAGAACACTTTCCATACTGCAGCCATGCACTCTGAATGTTGTTTCATCATTTGTTTCAGGAGTCGATATATTTTCTTTTGTTTCCCTGTTACCACAGGTGCACGATTCGCACAACATCGCGTTCGCGTGCAAGGCGTGGAACATGCGCGCGACGGACCTGAACCAGGGCGTGGTGTACGGCGTCGCGACGCCCGAGACAGAGAAGGACGTGATGCTCATTAACCGCCTCGACTATGACGGGGTGTTTGGCACCGCTCTTAACCGATTCGTTGTGCAGGCGGCCGTGGGGCATCCGCTTACGATTTACGGCAAGGGCGGACAGGTGAGGGAGTGTGGGTGAAGGCGACGGGAAAGAATGGTTTGGAAAGAATGGTGCGGAGGGTGGAATGGAAAGGAGGGCAGACGGTGTATGAGGAAGAACGAGTAGAATGCGGGGCGAGGGCGAGAGGAGACAAGACAGTCGTGGTTTCTATGAGAGCACACGGAGAGGGGATTCATGTGTATCGCGTATGCGAAATGGAATCGAAAGAGAGATCGTGTTGGAAGGCCAGGTCCGGGATGGATGGCTGAAGCAATCCGACTGACAGAGTGTGGGCAATGTGATTTGTGAGTCGACTCAGAACTTGTCACAGGAGAGGAGGGCGGAGGCGAGGCCATGGAACAGGCCGACTGATAGACTGTAAATATTGAATAAGCGACTTTCGAGTTGACTCGGAACTTGTTGGAGGAGAGGCGAGTGTAAGCGAGATCGCGAGCAGTAACGGCGGGATTCCGAGGCTGACAGGAGCAGCAGAGTCATGGAGAACTGGTTGCATATGGGTTACAGGGACACAGTGTCGTCCCTTACGCATCTTCAACCATTGACTCACTGTCCACATGCCCCGTGGGCTGTTCCAAGCAACACCATCTTTGAGACTTAGAAAACAAACCTTCAACCACTGATTCACTGTTTATATGCCCTGTGCCCAGCCAACACAATCTCTCCTCTCCCTTCTCCCCACCACAACCCATCCAACCCCTCCCAACGAGCATTTTCTCTCCTTCCCACGCTTACGCTCTCCCCTCCGCGCCCTCCCCAATGTACCCTTGTCTCCGCATACCCGCTTGTACCTGGATGTTTGACCCTCCCGACCCCTGTCAAGATGGACGAGTTGTGCGCGTGCAACCAGCATCTCTCTGCCATTCCGCCCCCCTTCCCTCTTGTCCCTCACAGACGCGCGGGTACCTGGACATTCGGGACACGGTGCGGTGCGTTGAACTCGCAATCTCCAACCCCGCCAAGCTGGGCGAGTTCCGTGTGTTCAACCAGTGCACAGAGCAGTTCTCTGTGCGGGACCTGACGCGTGTTCAACCAGCATCTCTCTCCCCTCCCGCTCTCCCCTTATTTCTTTCACAGACGCGCGGATACTTGGATATTCGGGACACCGTAAGATGTGTAGAGCTGGCAATTTCCAATCCCGCCAAGCTGGGCGAGTTCCGCGTGTTCAACCAGTTCACAGAGCAGTTCTCTGTGCGGGACCTGGCACGGCTGGTGACGGCTGCAGGGGAGAAGATGGGCATTGAAGTGAAATCAATCAACGTGCCCAACCCGCGTGTAGAGGTATGTATGCTGTGGTGTGCTGTGGTGGTAGATGGACATACGCTGCACCGTCTTTCTTTTTCCGGCTCAAACGCCCCCATCCCCCTCCTGTTCACCTCTTCCTGTGTTCAATAATCCTAACACACCCTTGCCCGTGCCAATCCCAAACCATTGAAACCTTTCTCCCCTTTGCTTATCGGACTGCTGGGTCTCATCTCAGCCTGCAGCTTCTCCACCTTGACGCGCCACTGGACTCGTTGTTACAGCTTCCCACCCCTTCAGTCTCGCCCTTCCATTTTAACCCTTCCATCCCTCTGATCCCCACAGACCTTTCACTTCCATAGCCACCAAGCGGAGGAGCACAGCTACCATACCATGCGCACCAAGTTTGTTGGAGCTGGGCCCTGCAGCCTCACCCCTCTTTGACTCTCTGCAAGTCTCGCTGCTCAATCTGCACACACACCCATGCATCCCTCTCTACCTCTCTCTACCCCTTCCTATCCCATACTCACCAGGCGGAGGAGCACTATTACAACGCCAAGCGCACCAAGCTGCTGGAGCTGGGGCTGCAGCCGCACTTCCTTGGGCGTGTTCTGCTCAATCCCCAACCCCATGCATCCCTTTTTACGCCTTAGTATCTCATTCTATCCCACTCAATCCCCCCACACCCCACCAGGCGGAGGAGCACTATTACAACGCCAAGCGCACCAAGCTCCTCGAGCTGGGTCTCCAGCCGCACTTCCTGGGAGACGCGCTGCTCGACTCCCTGCTCAACTTTGCAGTGATCTACAAGGAACGTGTCGACGCCAATCAGATCATGCCAGCTGTCTCGTGGAAGAAGATCGGGGTCAAGCCTAAGTCGTCAGTCACTACCACACCTGCGCAGTAGGAGTGGGGGTTGAGCTGGGTAGTGTAGTGTTGCAGAGGCGATAGTTGGGGATAGAGAGACGGTTTACTTGCAGATCTGAGGGCGGCTGAAACTCCAGGATCCAGATCCAAGTTGTGATTACCTGCACAGCAGGATGAGACACTGAACTTTCTACACATGCTACACTGGACCTCCTTGTGCTTCAGCGAGTGCTGGATATGTTCTTCCTGTGTAAAGTTGGAAGTAAACAACTGGCAACAAAGTGGAAATGTAAGGAATTTTCCTTAATTCCTTATTGGGTTGACTGCTACGCGTACAGCCCGATTTTCGGACTTCGCACGTTCGGCCGATTTCAACGCTGCCGAGGCTCCTCGCGTCGCCTTCGGCATTTCCCATCGCCAAACCTGCACCCCAACCTCGCTCGTCCGAGGTTTCCTCCTAGCTAGGCTAGCCCCTACATTAGTCTGTGCCTTCGTTGTATTCTCAGTTGAGTTAATCACAGTCTCGTTATTCGTTTACCTGCGCACTCTCTTTTACAACTCATAACACCTGGTATCAGAGCTACTTTCCTAGTTCACCCCGCTTTTCGAGGGTAGTTTGGTGGCAGGGGTGTGGTTGGTTTAGTGACTACACGACGGTTGGTCGCAGGGATTGTTAATTCAATCCTGCCCGACTCCGATAGTTCGTGTTTTCACTTACCTGGATACCACGGGTACCCACTTGCCCACCAGACGAAGTGCTAGACACATGGATCAGGAGAAGTTGGACGAAATGTTGGCGCAAATGGCAGCACT